GGGACGGCTCGGGCGGAAAACTCCCGGGACCTACCTACCTACCTACCGGGGTCACGGGGCCGCGCGCTCGCCAGCGTCGCGGGAGAATCCGTTTATGCACGTTTGAGGCCAGATTGGCTCAGATATCGTCGCTGGACGGGACGGGGCCGACGTCGGGGATGAGCAAGGGCACCGCGCTGTCGCCGTCTGATCAACGATCCATCACGTCGCCGAGATGAGATGAGCAGTGGGCGCCTTGCATGGGAGGAAGCCGACGCGTGCGGGCCCCAGCTGCCTCACCGGTACTCACGCACTTGGCTCAAGCTGGCCGCCTTGGATCCGTGTCGCTTCAACGTCGCTAGAAAAATTGCTCAGGCGGGAATGCGTAAAGTAGTACGTGATACGGCGCGGCTATCAGAGCCCTGAGGGCACCGTAGTTCGCGCAACGCGGGTAAAGAGGCCGGGTCCGAGCAGCCGGAGCTGGCGTTGTGCCCCAGCTTCGGGAAGGTGATCGCGCGCAGGCAGGCTATGGGCTAATCCCGTTTTCCTCTGGCCGACCACCGTACGCTGCGCCGGGGCGTTTACTCTGCTCGCGGCCAGCGCTGTAACTACCTCCTCCTCGTCCTGTATTATGTCCCAGCCCTGGCAGCCCCAGCAGCAGCAAAACCGCTGGTGGTCCCGCACATCCTCCAGGGACGCCGCACAACCAGACTCCCTTCGCCAGACGCACGCTCATTCCTACACGACACACTCCACCGACGAGAAAGCCGCCAACAAGCTCCGTGCCCCCTCCTACCGACGTGTCCCCTCCGCATCCAAGCTCGCCAACGCATTTGGCCTCGGCAAGTCCAAGAAACAGCAGCCCGAGCTTGCCATACAAGACCCCCCAGACTCATCCAGGCCCCCCGCATCCCCTTTCATCCAAACCGCTCTTCGCCACCAACAGGAAGAGAGGCCGGTCAGGCTCGGTCGCCCACCAGCTCGGTCGGTCTCCACCGTGGCCACCGAGGCGGAGCCCAGGACACCCTCCGACGCTGGCAGAAACCGCGGTTCCGTCCTCACGCTCTCCGACCCGGATCCCTTCGCTGCCCATGTCGTCTCGCCCACCGCTCCTCAGGACCGGTCGCGCCTCTCCGCCTATTCAGACAAATCCCAGTGGGATCAGAAAGCTAGGAAGCCGATCCCGGATCGTTTGTCCTACGCATCTGGTTCTTCTTCGTTATCGTACCACACTGGCGAGAGTTCGGGCTCTGGAAAAACGCGGTCCGTAATTCAGTCCCTTTTTCTCCATGTATCATTCAATTGAGTCCACTGCGCAGGTCCCGTAATATTGAGGCACGCCAACCATGCGCAGAGCCCTCCAAACTAGCCTCTGCCTCCCGCGTCATGGACATATCTCAGTCAACCTCCAGGCAGGCCGCTTCATCCACACTGACAGACGCCAATAGGCGCAGCAATCCTCCTCCAGCTACCGCAACCCGACCTCCATTACGTCCGCGTGGAAAGACAGAGTCGGGATCTTCGACTTCGCGGGAGGGAACCTTTCTTCCCAAGGATCAAACCCGACCAGCGCCTTCTCCCGCTTCGTCACACCCATCGAGTCGGAGCGACTCGCCCGACGCCCCGGTGGTTATCGTTCGCCAGCCGTCTAGCACAAGATTACGTGTGCATGCACCTCCGTCGGCGCCCCCAAAGATTGGCCTTCCGCCTCCGCCCCTGCAGGAGGCGCGGACGGAGCCCTCTGCCGAGGATGAACCTTCCGACTGGTCATCCACTCGGCTTTCCTTTGCTTCATCTATATCGTCGCATCGCGATATAATACAGGCTTTGGAGAGTGCTGGAGCTGGATTCGAGCTGAGCCGGTCTCCGCCGCTTCTGCCTGTCGACAAGCCGCCGTACCCGTACCCGTCTGCCGAGCCGCAAGTCGGAAATACTGCCCCGCAGACCGCCATGCCGAGCAGGATGTGGAGTACACCGGCCTTGACACTACCGCTCAGGATAGACTCGAGTCGCCGGACCTTGAAGAAAGCCGTCTCCCAACAGTCGCTCGGCAGTCAGGCCGCAGCCGCCCACGCATACGCGAGCTCGTGTTCCACGCCTCCAGCTACAGTTGTCGGTGACGACGGTCATGCGCATCCCGTCGGCAGAGCGCCGCGCAAGCAACGTTCTTTCCACACCCCGCGTTTGCCCTTGCCTTCTGTACCCTTGCCCACCCAACTGCGTCACGCCAGCTCCTTCGGACTTTCGTCTACCAACGATGCATCGCCGCGTAAGGACGCAAAAGAACCGGGCGAGAAAGATAGCAGGAGAGCCAGTACAAGTTCCACGCATCAACCAAGGAAGCGACTGTTCTCGGGCCCTACTCTGCGGCGTTCATCGACACAAGCGTCGCAGACGACACAACAGGACGACGTGCGCTCCCTCTTCAGTCTTCAGACCGATGAACAGCACAGTTCCCGGGGGCTGCCCGGTTCCCCGTCCGCTCCTGCCTCGCCTGTGCTTCCGCCCGGCGACGGGCCCGCTCAATCACCCTGGTGGGATGACTCGTCTACATCAGCGGAGAAGGCGCTCGCCGATTCCTCGGACTGGGAACAACCTCAGCAGATCCTGAGTCCGGCGGAGATCACGCAGCTCGAGGCGGAATTCGATGAGCAGGATGGCGAGCACTCATACACGCGCTCGCGGGGTGCATCATTCACATCGGTCAGCACGGCGAATATGTCGCTCAGCAACCACGGTCATGCCGATCGCCCCACCTCGTCGGGCGGGTCCAGTTACATCGCGAACATGCGTTCACGGGATCGCCCTTATAGCGGGAGACTCGGTGCTGATTCTTTCCAACCACTCACGATAACGCCAACGTTGCCTTCGAGGAGTCACTCGATGATGTACAAATCCACGCCCAACCCTTCGCTAGCCACCCGGCCCTCGACTGCCCAATCCCCTCCTGCCTCGCCGCTGCAGTCCTCGACCCAACCACCTCCAAGACCTTTGACGGGTTTATCTCCACCACCACGACGTCGCCCCACCGTGTCGAAAGTGACGGTCGAGGAGCAGACAGTCGGCCAACTCCTGCTCCCCGGTGAACTGCCCACGAACACCGCGAATAAGCGTGCGAGCATCGTGCCCGTCAACCCCCTATCGCCTCCGCCCATCAGACGAAGTAATCCGTCAATGCGCAAGCCGACCATCGCACAGACGCTGCTGTCGAAAGCGCAGAAGCCGTCCTTTCTCGAGATCGGTGACGGGAACATCGCCGAACGCGGGAGGTCTGGGCCTGCACGCTCGGACCGGCGACCAGTTGCCGACAACTTCCTGGACCTTGACCGGTCCTCTTTCGACACCGTCCGTAGCGATACTCTGGAATGAGGATTATCGACATTGGATGCCTTCCGCCCCTTTTTATTTGCTAATATGCTGTCTATTAGTTTGAATCCTTTGCGCCACTCATTCTCTACGATGTGCGCTATAATTCGGTCCATAATGCTTTGAGGGTATCCACACATTTCTTCGTTCTTTGCTTCGTGAATACAATCACTGGACATACCATCGTTCCTTTCGATACCTCGAGGAATATTTTGATCTGTAGCTGTGACCATGCATATAATCCCCCGGAAATAGACTGCGGCATAGCCCAATGCTAGAATACACAAATCGGTCGTAACTAAGCAATTAGTCTGTTTCGTCGGTGTGGTATCCTGCTCTGCGCATTGCTCCGAGACGATGGCGAGCTGCACCGAGCTCCTTTTCGAGCCTAAGTATCTCGACTTGTTGCTCCATCTCCCTTCTCTTGAACTCGAGCACTGCCATATTCTTGTAGTCGACATCCTCTTCTTCGGCTTGCCTCGCGGATACCGCCTTGACCTGTCGGACGAGAGCCTTCACCGCTTCAGTGACTGCTTTTGCAGCCAACTCGAGCCGTTCCTGAGTCTTCGACATCAAGCTCGCTTTCACGCGCGACGCCGCCACGAGCTGTGCGGTGGCAGCAGCAACCTCGTTGGACGCCACGATAAGTTGCTCCAACGAATGGGTACCTGACAAGACGCCGTCGGCGCTCTCAATGAGCAAATTCGTGGCAAATGCAACGGCGCGAGCCGCAGAGATGAGGCCCTCGGTCCACCGGTTGTTGCGCTTGTAAAACTGCGCCGTCGTGCTGGAACCCTTTCCTTGGGCGACGATCTCTTGTTGAGATTCTGTCGCAGCTTGGATCAGACGTGCAATTGCATTAGCGATTGCCATTGTGGCAGCGAGAATCGAGTCGTGGACCTTGATATCGATGGCGCTGAACCGAGATGAATCGCGGGGACGAGATATGAGCTCCTGCAGGCGGGCCGTGGCAGCTTCGATGGCTTGCGCGGCGCCCATCATCTCCTGCTCTACGAGATCGCCAAGATCGCCGTTGGCTTTCGCCAGTGCGCCGCCCTTGTTGCCCTTGGGGACGAGCCCGTCGATGATCTCCGATAGCTTGGTGAGGGCCGCTCGAACTTCTCCATTGCTGCGCATCGCAACCTCCTTCCTTGCCGCAGGTTGCATGAGATCCAATTTGTACGATTGCAGATTCAGGAAAACTCGCAACCCCGACTCTCCAGCTGTCCTGGCCTGGTTGATGATTTTATCCGAAGCGTCGTCATCGGGGGCTAGCCGAGTGATGCCTTTGGTGCTGATCAGAACGTCAGACAGTGATTGTGCGAGCTCGTTGGCTCCTTTGATGACTTCGACGTGGTCTCCGCCGGTTTCGCCACCAAGGTAGAGGTTGAAGACCATCGCAAAGTCCGTCGCCATTCCATTCGCCTTTTCAATCATCGAAAGGGTATATTCAGGCGTGGAATTGAGATTGCCCGCTTGTGTAGGCGACTCCAATTCATACAGGGCATTGTCAACCTTCTGCACGCAAGCTTGCAAGATCGAGTCTGAAAAGAAAAAATGTCGGTGCCGACGTCATGAAAGCTTCAAGAAATCCTACCGATGATCTGGTTGAGCTTCTTCCGGTTATCAAGAATCAGAGTGTCAATTTGCGCGTTGGTTGCTTCCTCGGCGATGTTTTGATGCTAAGAGCATATATTGAGTACGTCTCAATATCACATACTGGTCGATTTTACCTGTTGAGCCTCCGACAGCTGAGCAATCGTGCTGTCCATCCCCTCATTCAAGATTGCGATCTCCTGGTCCTTCTCCTCACGGAGGCGCTCCATGTCGGCAGCTTGCGCGTCAATCTTCGCGAGTAAATCGTCGATTTGAAGTTGTTTGGCCTGACAGTGTCGACGTCAATGTCAGCTCACACCCGATACGCTGTAATGCGAAGTGGAGAAAATCACCCGTAAGGAATCTTCAAGCTCCGTGAGCTGCCGATTGTATTTCGACATGACAGTCGAAACTTCGGAGCTCTTCGATCGAGAAGCATCTTCCGCTCGTTCGTTGGCGAAGTTCAGTTCGCGACGAAGACGATCTAGCTCATCCTTGTGGGATGCCTTCTGTCTATCAAGGTCAAACCTGGCCCGGTCGCGCTCGCGAATCATGTCCGCTAGCTCGATGTTCTTGGCCTTGAGATCCCGCTCCATACGCTCCATCTTGTCGATAGCCTCTTGAGCAGAGTTAGCCTTAAGCTGGAATTGCTTGAACTTCGCCAGCATGTCCAGGTGCTCCGTGCGCAGCTGGCTGTACAGTTTGGCCAGTGCCTCGTATTTGTTCCGCCAAAGCGTAACTTGATCTTGAAGTTGCTTGATCAAATCATCCTTCGAAGCCAGCTGTTGCCCGATGTTCATGCCAACGGTGCTAAGCTCTCCCTCGAGCGCTTTCACTCTCTAGGTACGCTTATCAGATAACAGCACTGCCGATGCCAGACCGGCCATTTTACATACTCGATCATATTGCTCGAGCATGAGTTGATTGCGCTCGTATTCGCCTCGAATAGCGAGGAGCTGACGTTCAAGCTCGTGGACTTGTGCTGCAGCCTGGTTATTATACTGCATCATTTGCTGTTGCAAAAGCTGTTCTTGTGCAAGTCTTTGCTGCTCGGCTTGCTGTCTTTGACGTTCCTCGAACTCCCGCTGTTGCTGAGCCTCGAGCTCGAGTCTGCGCCGTTCTTCAGCTTCACGAGCAGCCTGGAGTGCCTTCTGCTGTTCCTCATACTCCTTGAGCATGCGTGCCTGTTCACTGACCATGGCGGCATCAGCAGAAGGCACCGGAGGAGGAGACGGTGCAGGTGCGGTGGTGGGGCGGGCAGGCATGGGAGGCGCCTCGCCTTTGTCCGTAAGATTAGGAGGATCCTGGCAGAGATCAATGGTCCGAAACACAAGAGGGTCACGCTGCCTACCTGACCGAGTTTAGGCACGTTGATAAGGCCGGTAAGATACTTCAGATTTGAGCATTCATAGTAAAACTTGCGCAAAGCGTGGTGTTGAGAGTTGTACCGCTGAACCAAGGGAACCAGAGCATCTGGGTCGTTGGTCTCTGCAAATGTTGATCAGCAATAAGGATATCTCAGGCACTGAATCAAGCCTACTACGATGCATGGCCCTGAGCATGCTCGTGATGAAGCGATAGATGCCCCAGCTCTCCTTCACCAACGGAACAAGGGCCGAAATGCGGCATTCGTTGTTTGCAGAGCCTTTGAAATGAGCAAAAATGAGGCGCTGGAAGGAGTCAATTTGGTCTTGAAGCCCCATCAGATCTGAGATAGTCTCATAGCTGATGCATGCCCTCGGTCAGTATATGTCGTTTGTCCACAAAACTCGGTATCCATACCCTTCATTAGGATCGTCTATCCCTTTCAGGCTTATATACTCTTCATATTCAAAGAGACCATTGAACTCGGGCCGTAGCCGATGGAAGCGGAGTTTGGCAAGGATGAATTGCACGTAGCTGCGGATGAGAGGTCCATACCCTAAAAAGCTTCAGTCAGTACTCCCCCCAACCAACGATGATTGACTACGAACCCCGCGGGGTTTCATGCCCAACCGTCCGAGCGCATGTTTCGAGCCATCCTGTTTGTCCGTGAGCTTCTTTGATCGTCTATAAAGTATGGCGGTCAAGCGATACCCGAAGAACAGTATGTTGCTTAAAACTGACGATGGGATGGCCTTCTTGCAGGACCTTGTGAACAGTGATGAGCGCCTTGAAGGTCTGAACTTCATCGGATAGGATAGGTTGCACGCGCAAGCCACTCCAGAAGGATATCGACGAATGATAGTCCCATGTATATACGATGCATTCTAATGATAATTGATGAGCCAAGTTAGGTAGCATAGACCGTGAACAGCAGGCGTACTGCGAACGTGTTTCTGCTTCGGGGCAGTCTCGTCTGGATTCGTGGCTTTCTTGATGTTGATTGCGAGCTCCGATTCCGCCTTGTCCTTGTCCACCGGTCGAGTTGGATAGTGGACCTCGTCACCGTCAATATCGAAACCTCCAGTTTGCCGCGTGCGGCCACTCCCGTACCTGTCAAACAAGACAATCAGCTGCAGCCACCTTGTACGAGTGAAATGAACGGCTTACATCGTGAGTTAAGGATGAGGAGCGAGGATAATCGTCGCGGCAGGTCGCCTTGGGCGAGCGCAGCCCCGGCAGTTGCTTACGTCATATACGCGCTGCACCGTGACGCCCGGCGCGAAGCACCTTCTCCGGATCCGTACTGTATGCTTTTCTCCGTCGCAGCCCGCTTTGTGCGAAGGCCACGCACATATTTCTCGGCATGGAACTCGCACAAACTGTCATCCGCATTCTCCCCTAGGAGTTGCATATCCACCACAACCAACCCGACCACTCCGTATAAGGCTCGCGGTTCGTCCGTTTCGACGGCCGCGATGATCATCACTGGGTTCATACCTATATCCTGCTTTGCACTTGGTACCTGGCAGGTCAAGAGGCTCAAGTGGAAGGTTGCATTGATTGATGAGCTGGAGGAGAAGATGGAACGTGATCCACTGCCATTACCCAGCCGCGTCAAGTAAGTATAAGCTTGCATAATTCGCTCGAAGCCGATGACTCATGTATGCTTCCAGCCTGGATGTGCTATCCAACTTTGCATATCGAAGAGTGGTACTATCCGGAAGGTGGGACCACGCGCATACTGTCCTGGTTGGTCCGCGCGTGCGTGAAGGTACCAACGGATACCACGTCGTTACTCCACTCGTCAGAGAAAACGGTTCGACTGTATTGGTCGACCGTGGTTTTGTAACAAAAGACGCAGCCGAAAATGCTCTACGCCGTGGAACATCGGACGATTCTGCAGTGCAGGTGTACGGGATCATCAGAACCGGTCAGAACCGCAACAGGTTCACTCCAGACAACCACCCGGAGAACGGTGAATGGCATTGGCTTGACATCGGTGCCCTAGCAGAACATGCCGGCGGAGAAGCAGCCGGTGTCCAGCCGGTGTTGATCGAGGAAATATTTGGTGAGCAAGTATGCCTGCTTGCAGTGTGTGACATGACTAAAGAGGAGCAAGATGGACACGGTGGTCAAGCGGCGTCGAGGATAGCCAATGCTATTCCGGTTGGTCGGTCACCGACAGTTGACGTGCCCAACTCACATTTGTCGTATCTAATAACCTGGTGCGTTGCTACATCCGTCCCTGTAGAGTAGAAGATTAACATGGGATCAGGTATTCCCTGTCTGCCTTTACCTCTGTCATGTTCCTGCGGCTGTTTCTCAATCGTAAACGAGCTCGCGGACGCCTGCGGCTATGATGCAGATGTGCTGCAGTTGCTCGGCACGTATCCGATGCATATTGGGGCAAGGATTCCGCGCCTTCGAGGTACACTGGCGCAGATGAAGCACGAGTCTCGCACAACACCGCTGTTGGCATGCTCTCTTAGGGCGACACGTAGCCGCGAAATCTTCGGTAGCACTCTGCAAGGTCTTCGTATCGCGGCCCTGGTCTGACCGTGCTTTATCGCGCGAGCCATTCCTCTGGAGGTGCTATGCACCTCTATGCGACGTTTGCGACGCATGGAAACCAAAACCAAGTTCCTCCTTCCATGTGGTGATACATATCCAGACCCCCTGCAGCTCGAGCGTTGCGAACTCCAGGTCACTGCTTGAGCCTTAATTTCAAGTGCTTAACATCGTACAATATCGTTCTCAGCGTAGTGATGACTGAGTACGCGGCATGTCCGAACAACGCCGAGATTCACGTGCGCATTAAGAGCGCTGGAGTGCAACCGAGGGGCAGCACAACCGAAGGGCCTCTTTGCCTGATGTGTGCTCCCGTGGAATCCTGCAACCGCACAGGACATTGCAGCTGACCTCCTAACTCATACCACCTCCACGTTGATGGCAGAGACTGTACCTTCCGATGAACGTACTGTGAGCAATCGCCAAGGACGTATTCACTTCACCGGCGACAAGCTTTCGCGTACGTCCGGTTCATCCGACGGGTCCAATGCGTATAGTAGCCTCGGTCGAGGGGCACCTCCAAGCCAACGGAGGAAGAACCTCGCTTCAACAGGAGCCGCACGTCCTGCTGACCCCATTGACGACATTCGGCAACGCGTTCGCTCGTTGGAAGGATTAAACGGGATTGCTGGACCGTCTCGGCGTAGTAATGCCGCCGTCGCTGCTACAGGATGGGTCACTTCTGCCGGTCTTCGGGGGGCTGATTCTTCGCCTCGCGGGAAAGGATCTGTTGGACCTTCGGACGGAATAGCTGCTCTGAAGAATAGCCTCGGGTCCTTCAGTAACGAAAGCTTAGGTATGAGCATGTGATTATCTGCGCTACTCGAGCTTATTTCTCTCGAAGCCCAGGATGGTGAGTAATTGTGCACAACACCCCCGATTTTGACTTATTCAGTCAACCAGATCCTGCAATAGTGGAGGATGTACAGCGTATCATGCGGGCCAAGGCACGCCACGACGCCCGCGTCAGGAGTTCACAGTCAAGCCCCACGAATAATACCAGCTCCTACACTACCGGTATAGTGCCCGGAACCAATAGGTCTTCGCCAATACCTTTTCCTCCGTCAATTCGGGGGACGCTCGGGGCAAACGCAGCTACACCTGTGCCAGAGGCTGATATTGACTTCAGTCCTTCCGTTGGCAACGATGTTGCTCTGCATCCAGTCCCATTATCGGTCAACGACGGCGCGACGTTGGACTGGTCTGTCCATGACGCCGCAGACACACGTCACGAACGCAAGTGGAGCCTCACCGTGGGGAAGCGCAAGGGAAAACACAAGTCAACATCCCCCGCAGGAGTCGTGGAACAACAGGACTCATTATACACAGGTAATGCACCCTTTCAACGCCTAGGATTTCGAAGTCATATGAATCGAGCTACGTGTTGGCAGACAGACTCAGCAGGATCAAATCCAGGGCATCCCCGCGCACTTTAAAAAAGGCGCAGATCACTAGCGACCAGCTTTCTCGACGCTACGGTCTACTGTTTCCGTCACTGGCAGCGGGAAATAAGCCTCTGGATATTGCGCAAGTTGCACGGTGGTTTAATATGCAAGAACCTATCGTCCGTTCCTTCTTGGACCAAAGTGAACCCCTGACCTGGCTCAAGCACCTCGAGCGTCGACAGCCTGAAGTACAGAATCGACTACCTTGGCTCATGACTGCACGTATTGTCGAAGAGTACTGCAAGGCTCATGCCAGAAATGATGCCGCTATGGCCACTATCCCGGAGGACTCCACTATCACAGGCGACATGTCCATGTTGGACAAGTCACCGTCATGGAACTCACAAAATGTTGTGAGGTCTCGCCCAGTGTCCCTCTTATCTCTGGAAGCGGCGAGATCAAGGACTCAATCTAGCCACGCGTATGATGTCTCGTTCGAGCCTTCCGTCGAGTCCAGACGACATGCCCGCGGCAGCCATTCCATCCACAGCATAAACGGTTCTTCGACTGGCCACAAGGCGGCGTACATGGTCGACAGCCCCCGAAGCTCCCTCAGTAGTATCAATCTTCCTCGCCTACCCCCTCATGGCCCATCGCCCGGGCACTCGCCATCAAACAGTCTTTCCCATCGCCGTGACTTTGCGAAGCGCTTTAGCGGTCGCGGCCACGACAGTGACGACGGTCGTTCGTCAGCGAGAGAGTCCTTCGAACGCAGTTCGATATCAGATGACGCTCAAAGCCGCCCTGTATCGGGCCTACATACCCAGAAGCAACCTAAAGCTATCATGCGTCCCTCTGCACTGCACGTGCCCAACCGAGATACTGGTGACGACGATGAAGGAGGGTCTCGGCATGATGTCAAAGCCGACGAAGATTTGGAGACGGAGTTACCGGGATCTTCGACTGCCAAACCGTTCCCCCTTGACACCGTGAAAGTTCGTCCACCGTTGGAGTACAGGAGATCTCAGACGGAGCCGAACGCCGCTGTCCCAAGAGAGGGCACGTACCTCACGACGCCTCGAGCTATGCGTATCTCTTTACCATCCTCTGACAAGCGCCCTCGGCTGGAGACGGTTCCCAGTCACCAGCGGGTTGCAAATGAGGAGGGTGAGCGAGAGGCTTACGAGAAGAAGTCCCGGTATGAATGCCCATTGCATCTCAACTCAGCCTTTTCTGACCTCGCCAACAGACTGCTGGAAGACGTCTCAGCGCAGAACCACAGGTTGAGACAGTTGCTCAAGCGTGTTTCTGGTATTGTCAATGAATACCATGATGTTCAAACTACCGTCGCAGGGCTATCCAACGGGACCGCCAACTGGATATCGTCTGATGTTGTGGACGCGTTCTCCCACGATCCGGCAGCAGTCAGTGGCACAGCTCGCCGACTGAGGGGCTGGAAAGCCGTCGAGGATATTCATCGTAGGATCCAGCGCCAGCGTGAAGTACTCGACCTATTTGCCCAATCAGGCGCGGATGAGCAATCATTGCTACCGGACAGCGGTCTATTTGACCCGCCTGTCAAAGCCTTAGCCACCCTTCTGGAGCAGTTGGAAAGCGAGCGCAGCGACATCATGGCGAGGGCAGAAGATGTCGCGAACTTGCTATTGAGGGTCAAGGAATCGCATCAGCCCACGAAGCAGGAGTACAATGAGACGTTGGCTCATGTTTCCGTGGTCTACCCCGAGGTAAGTAGCTTGAATTTCGCGTGCCCCACCGACCATGACATGCACTCGCAGCTTTCCCAAATCGCTGTCCTGGAGGAGAGCTACAAGGATCATTACCAACAGCTATGGGAATTTGGCATGGACGTGCTGACCCTTATCCTGGACACCGTGACACCTTTCTGGAGATTCTACGGTCGAACCATCGCTGACGACGTGCAAGCATTCCTCGTGATCCCGTGGTATCGCAACGAATACACCGGGGAGTCTAAGAGGTACCCAATTGAACACTTGCCACGGCGGTCATTTCGGCACTGGATTGGTCTGCTCTTGTTCGGTATCTCGAGCGTTATGCTTGCTGCAGCGGAGGCGAAAGTTGCCATCCTTGCAACCACTCGTTATCGCATTCCGTGGCTCGCTGATTCCAGCTTACGGTGGTTGATCATCCCGTTTTTCTGGATGGGAACTTTAGGATTGTGGTTCGCGTTCCTGATTCAATGTTGTATTGTTGGATTGGAGGCTGGGGTGATAGCCTGGTGGTTCGGATGGTTAATTCGAATATTCTCGTAATCAACGCAGGTTCTTCGCTTTCGATTCACTGGAATTTCCTCTCGTTCGTCTGTATCTTTATGGCTGTCTTGCTATCTGAAGCTCATTGGACATACACACATCAGTCGCAGCTAGTGCATCGTAGCATTCGTATGTCATTATCGCTGAGTCTGTGACGTTGATGCTGAGGGCTCTGATATCAAGGACGGATTCGAAAGATTGGGCACCCTATTCTCTTCAATGCACCTACGACAGAAACCTAGGACGAAGCAGTGATTTATATTGGGACATCCCTATGGACCACAGCACTCACGTCCGCCAAGAAGTAAAGGAACTCCTGTAGCTCTACAGCCGTGGCATGCTATGGGCTGCCTCTTGATGGCTGCAGCTTGCAGAATGGTGTTGCTGCGCCTCCTCTTAGTAGGCAAGGGATCGCCCAAAGCTGACCCGCTGGCTGGGTTGTTCAGAGCAGTCTCCTGAGATTCTGTCGGCCATGGCGATGTATCCGGACGAACAGCTGTGGCCACCGCTCCCTGTTCCATCTTCGACGTTATCATCGCTGTTGACGAGGAAGCCTGATCCGCGACCCTCTGGTTGGGTGATTCCAGGCTCGGCCCTTGCACCCTGCTTTTGGAATCGGCCTGTTTCCGCTTTCGGGTCGCCGAATTTTTGCGGGCAGAGGCAGCCAAGTTCTCGGGAGCTGTAGGGTCAATAGGTCTCATAGAGTAACGGTGAACGAATCGCTGCGGAAGCATGAGCACGCAGAAACCTGCACATGCAGCGCAGCTAACACGTACGTCTCGCAAGGTGTTAAGGAGTGGACCATCTGGCAATCGATGTTGTACATACTGGCGCTCGGGCAGAGATTCGATCTGAAAATTATTCAGTGCATATAGGATGGCAGAAACCCAGAGCCATACGATGCTTTGCAGGATAGATTCGTTTTTGTGCATCGTTTGCTCTCCACCTGCCCATTGTTGAAGTAGTTCCCATAGACCGGCAGGCGGATTCATGAAACGGAACGTGACCACAGGCGCTTGTCCAGACCCTGAGTTACTATCAGGCAGCGCTGAGGCAGGTTCGACCACCGTAGTCACAAGTATCGTAGGAGCGGCGTTGAATTGCGTGGCCGCGACTCGCTCACATACCGCCGGCTTCCGAGGGAAAAGCCATCTGGTGGAGGTTTTTTCACGGAATTCAAGCACCAGGTCGAAGCCGGTAGGCGGACACGAGGAAGACGGCTGAGATGGCGTGACTGTGGATTGGACAGGTGCTGTAGGAAGCGCCTGTATCAGTAGACCCAGCGTCCTGAGTTGTTCTGGTGTCGCTTGTCCCGTGGCGGCAGTATGTAGTAGCGCAGTGAGTTGGGGGCTGTTTGCCGCTGCCCGGTTGACTTGGGCTATAAGCTCGGACGACACCGAGCTAGATGCGGTGGAGGGAGTGGGTTGTGCCGGCGTATACTTCACCTCGACAATTGTGGTATTGATGAATGAATGTGGTCCTATCTCTACATCACATCTCCCAAGTGTGCGAGAGATATGCGGAGGTGGTACGACATCAGGTTGTTTTCCTGAGCGAGCTTTGACTGAGAATTTCGGCAAGTTCGATTGCAGCCATCTCTGGCGAGCTAATTGAGCGCGATGTCAAGACAGATAAAGCGGAGCAGATCACGCGGCGTACACTGTCTCAACGTCTGCAAGACGGTGAAGCTATCCGGCGGCTACAGTTATCTCGATCATCCTGGCACTCGGAGCGTAACCAGGCGCACCTGTCCGCTACATCGTTCAGCGAGTCTTCTGCGTCGCTGTCTTCGAGCTCCCAGTCCGGGTAAGGTCCTAAGGGCAGTTCTATCGCAGCCGCCATGATCGCAGGCAAGCGGTGGGCGTTCACCCCTTAATGAGTGCGCTGCTGCACGTGATCGCGCGCGCTTCTGCACAACCTCGAACGATCATGTCAACCCGCGTCCGTGAGTTGCACATCCCCGGTTGCAGGAGGCTGCACTCACATCGGCATGTATAGAGAAGGGGGGCACCTCGTTCAAGCCTCTTGTCAAGTCCCGGCTCAGAAGCATATCCACTTCTCGGCAGCCGTCAGCTGCAGCAGAAACCTCATCTCCTGTCCAACTGGCGGGCGGGCAAGTTACTGATGCCGCCCCTCCCTCTCGTTCATCCGAAGAACATCGATACGGTGACGCAAGAAACGATGAGGATGTGTACGCGAACCCGCTCGTATCCCCTCCGCTGCCTTCAAGAGACACATTGGAAACAACGGACCAGGACGAACCTCATCCGGTGGTTACCCGCGTGACCAAGGGGAACTCCATTGTGGTTGGGCGATCCAGACAAATTCCACCCGTAGTCTCACGGGCTCCTCGAAAACAACCTGCGTGAGCACACATCGCACTCATTTCCGTGGTTCTGACCTAAACCATTTGCGTACTATAGGCATTCCTCTTTGCCAGAGCCGAAGGAACAGATACCTACCCAACCGTCAGCGCCTCAAGTCGTTCCATTCAGCAACGCCTGTGGAACCATCTCTCTCCCCAGTGACCATGAAATAATGATACCGTCCGAAGGAACAGCTCCTGCCGGTCCTACAGATTTATCAGAAGCCACTGAAACACGAGCACATACCGCGCGCGAGAATGACGGCAGTTCAGCGCCAGCACGTAGGAAGCCTCACCCTCGCAAGGAGAAGGGCTCTGAAACGGCGGAGGCTGTTGGCTCCGCACAGGACGCTACCTCGGCCAAACGCAAGCGCGCGAAGAAACCTGCCGGTAACGAACTTGGAGACGCGGAAGCTGGCGCGGATTTGGCGAAGGGACGTCCACGTCGCTCTTCAAGCACTCCCACTTCTCCCTCGCGGAAACGCGGCCGGCGAGGAGCTCCGTCACCGCCTCCCTTCGACGCAGACCTTGATCCCGGCGAAGAGCTTGATCCCACAGCTGTCACCATGGCCGCGCTCTGCAGTGACATTGGGGTGGGTAGGGTGAGCTCCAAAGCGGCCCTCATTCGCCAGAACCACGCGAACTGGAAGGCGGCGAGCAAGACCGAACGTGCCCGTATATTGGCTGCACGGGAAGCAAAGAAATATGGACGCCCAGACGAGGACGTGGGAATCGATCGACCTGCTACGGAGGATAATGTAGACCATGCCGGCAAAGATACTCCAGATGAGCCTGCAGCAGGGGATCCGTCCACTAGTGCGGGAGTGACTCGGCAGCAAGCCACTTCCACCACCTCAGAACAAGATCCATCCGACGGTAATTTCGATTATGACCAGGCGGTGGGGACAAGCAAGTACAACGTGCAGGTCCGTATCGGTCCGAACGGCGAGATGGTTGTCGACGAGCAGTCTCTCTACGTGGATCGTGCGGAGGACGAGGACACCAATATGGAAGGATATACGCACGTCGAAGAATCGGACGCGACCAAGTTCGTGAATTCCATGTCTTACAGCAAGAAAGCGAGAGGGTCAAGATGGAGTGCAGAAGAGACTGAATTATTCTTCCAAGTGAATATCATCCGTCGCCATGCTCGCAACGAAACGCTGACTTATTGTACAGGCACTGCAACAATTCGGTGAGAACTACGAACTCATTTCCCTGATCCTCCCAGGAAGGGATCGAAAGGCGTGCAAGAACAAGTTCAAAGCGGAAGATAAACGCAATCCCAACCGTATAACATACTGCCTCAAGAATCGCCTGCCTTACGGTACGCTGCTGGGCAGTCGACGTTAATCATGCCGTGCATTGACTGCCTCTACGTCAGACATGCAAACGTTGTCCCGCCTAACCGGCAAAGATTTCTCGGGACCAACGCCCGAGATCGCCACCCCGGCCGATGTGGTGGGGGAACAGAGCACGACCCCGGGTCACAACGAAGAACATATCGGTGAAAACCAACCCGATCACGACGACAGGCACGGGAGGAGTGATACACGGGCCGCGACGCGCAAGTCTACGTCTAAGTCACGCTCCCCGCCGAGACGATCAAAGGAACGGAAGGGTCAGCCAAATAACGAGGGGCTGGAGGTACTTGGGACGGTTGATGAGGACTGGGACGACTAGCCCGAGTAGCACACCACACCATTCTGCTCTGTCGTCGCTCCGGACTTCTATTTTGGAACGCACGATATGCATACATGTGGATGTCTTACATGCGGATGTCTATTTGCGGACCTCGTGTTCCGAAGTTTTTGTGCGTTCGTAATACCAAATAGGCGCGGTGGTCGAACAGCTGCTAGTCGTCGTGCTGTTTATGGACTTGAAGCGCCCATATTGTTCTGAATTACGGTGGTGAGTATTTGTTACCGTTAGGGCATCGAATGACAACTGACCGGAACCGAGCACATGAGAAAAGTACCAAATCTCCGACAGGACAGTGGAATTCTTGCACCCGATGTACGGGATGGCGCCTGTCTGCGCTGCAAGCGCATTTTGGATTTGGGACAGGCTGTAGGTCGTCTTGTTGGAAGGCAAGATACCAGCGGCACCGAGCATGTCGAACGTCTGAAACGCGAATTAGCGTGAAGACGTCATCGAGCTGGAAAATGTTACGTGCAGGATACTGCTTGAAGGCACGGATGACGGCGTCGAAGAAGTTTACAACGTCTTGGTGCTTCTTGTAGTTCTCGCCGTAGCAAGCGACGTCGAAGGTGGAAGTGCAGGTCGCATGTTTGGAGAACTACAAGATGCCATTGAGCGGAATGGGACGTGGTGGGCATATACCTATCGTACCTCATGCTGCCAGAAGTCCGTGTTTGACGCGCCTTGGTTGATCCAGTACTTTTCCACTGAGGCGAAACAGATCAGACGGGACCCGGAAGAACGATGACACCAACTAGGCACATACTGTAGTCAAGCAAGTCGAGGCGGCCAAAGTCTTTGATCCAGTGGTCGATGCTGGTACCGTTCCAGGCAGGAACAACGGTACCGTCGGGAAGCACCGCGGGTGATGGGTCGGGATCATATTGACGAGAAAGGTCGCAGTATTGTTCGTAAGAACCGTCACAGTTGTCGGGCCTGAGCAAGGCTGTGAGTATTGTCTAAGGACTCGTCATATATGAGGCGTACCAGAGGCCGTGGATGGTCCACGAGTCTTTTGGAAGAAGCTGGCCCTTCTTCTCCAGCCCGGTGTACGTGCTCCAGAACTGGGTCTGCAGCACGAGGCCGCCAGGAGTCGGTGTGCAGCAGGTGTTCTTGATGGTCGTGGTGTTCTCGCAGGAGAACTCGGTCACGGCATTGACGCCCAAACACTGGGTAAGGTTGGGGTATGTGTTGGGGACGGAGAGCAGGTGACCATGGGTGCTGGCTGCAGCCGCAAGGAGCGCAACGAGGGTGAAGGTGGCGGCCATTCCGTGTCGGTGTACGAGAGAGGGGGACCTGGGCGAGCAAAGCTGGTATGCGCAGTGGACGACGGAGGACTTTTATGGGGGCGCATGTCGGTGGTGAAGAGCGAGTGCGGTGACGGAGAGACCGCATGGCCAGGAACGGGGTCGCGGAGGATCATGCGTCTCCAGGAAGATATGATAGGACATGATCGCCACGCACCGTCGACGGCGATGGCGACGGCGTCGCTGGCGGTCGCTGATCGTCATCAGGGGCGGTGGCCACGACGATCCAACGACGGTTCCCAGCGAGCCCTGATCCGCCCTCGTGCGTCCCGTGCGCCTCTCACTGGTCCGCCCCTCGCAACTCGTGCAACAACACCGATTGGTCTGCATGTATGTCGTACATCCGCGCGTCAACCGCTATCTAGTCTCTGTCCCACCGCCGCAGAAACTTGAACACCCTCCGCTCTCGTGCCACCACACTCGGCATGATCTTCTGCCGCCATGCCGTATCCATCGCTTTCTTGTACTCTTCCGTCTCAAACGCCGCCTGCGACGCCCACTCGTGGACGGTGAGATACTTCGGTGGCGGTTCCTGCTCTGCCGTGCTCTCTGCGTCGACCCCCATCCGTCCAGACTCCTTCAGCACGAACCGCCTGCTCCTGATCCACCCATGCACCTTCGATAGCAACGGGATGTGCTCCTCGTCCTGGTACCGGTTCCACTCCGCCTCGTCCTCCGACTTGATCTCGTTCGATACGAATACCACGATGGGGGCTGAAATGCCAGGATCGTAGAGGTTCGACGGGGCTGGCATCGTGTGCGCATCGTAGGCTTCGTAGGTCCGCCTATCCAGTAGCTGCACGCGTTTCAGCAGCTCCTTCTCTCGCTCGCTGCGCGTCTCCGCCAACGTGGTATATGGCCGTTCCTGCATCGCTGCGTAACTTTCCAGGTCATAGCTTGCCGCCCATGAAGGCTTCTGCCCATCTGCTTGCTCCCAACGCTCCCATGTGCGGAAGGTGGGAGTATTGACTCTGAGAGGGACATGTTCCCCGTCATACCTGCGAACTCGCCTGTTAGAAATCTTTCGTTACGCTATGCGCACATTGCAGTACCAGTCATGGAATTCAGACAGTGTCACATCAGGACCTGGTTCGGAGAACACTAGTAGGAGTGCAGGGCGAACCATGGTAACATGCGAATGCTAAAGTTCGTATGAAAGGCTGCGAAGTCATACTTATATAGTCGCCCGATAACGCGCTTGATCAGCGGCATGCTCGCACATGACATGCATGACGAGTTGCACTAGGTTAGACTATACTTACTTACGATACTTATTGCGTTCGTCTGCTTGAAATTTTACAGGGTGGAGATCCAAGCAGATGCATTTCCTGACGTTGTTGATGGTCTTTGCGCTCAGAAAGCTGGCTGGACTAAGCCGCTACTTACATAGGGCATGTTGTTGGCCGAGGCCGTATTCCCGCCACCCCGCGCACTCTTCTCCGCGATCACCTGATTACGTTTCCGCGCCCGCTCCCTGAAAACATCGCCTTTCTCAGCATATGTTTCCGAGCTATTAATGCGGCAACGACAGCTCCATGTGCCGTTAAACTCGAGAAAACCCACCGCACGTTTGCTATCCGAGGTTTATAAGAGGTGCTTGGAACCGGTGGACGCGGCCAGCATTCGATCACCGTCAGGAACGACCTACTACGTTACAAGATGTCGTGGGCGTTAGCTATCATCGCAGTAGTGTCTTTGGGCTATCCACCTCGCACACTCTCTTCGAGTCCTTATACTATTCCGAATCTGACCGCCTGTCTCGACGAACCATCATTTTTCTCGTGTGAGAACACCACGGTCGTCCGGAACGCTTGTTGCTCTCCATCACCGGGAGGACTCGTGCTTCAGACACAGTTTTGGGATACATGGACAGGCCTTGAGCACAAGGGACAACTCCTTCCTCGAGGTTCATGGGGAATTCACGGGCTATGGTCAGTCTGCTGCGTCCCTATGCGTCCGGGGGCTATTCTCATGTCATGTCAGGCCTGACAACTGTGACGGGCGAGTCCGGCAATACATCGTCCGCTACCCTCTCATTCATCTATGTTTATGTAGATCGTTCGAGCAATACTGTGATTTCTCCCGGCAGTTCGATCCCCAACCTTCCCCGGCAATCTTGCCAAACGGTACTGTGATCCCTCCATGGAATGGCACTACCATAGATACATTCATCAAGGATTTTGGACGGTTCGACCTTTTGGAATACAGTAACTCAGAGTCTTTTCACCTCGACGTGTTGCTAATTATGGACAGTGAACAAATTTTGGATCAACCAAGGCGCTCCCAACACCGATTTCTGGGCTCACGAGGTACGCCCCAGAGCTATGTGTGTATATATGTACTTTCACGCACAGGTAACCCTCTAGTTCTCCAAGCACGCAACTTGCACCTCGACTTTTGATGTCTCCTGCTTCGAGCCCGGTTACAAAAAACACGAAGACGTTATCAATTTCTTCGATGCCGTTATAAGAGCTTTCAAGATGTTCCCTGTATGCCATTGATCAGCCTCCTTTCCCTATGCTGTACTGATCATAATGTCAGACTTACGACATACTGGCTTCGTATGATATCATTTTCTTTCCCCTGCTTACCTTGTCGCTTACGTCGCATCCGAAGAGCTGGCATTGTACCCTCCAACAAGACGGCCTACAGTTTGAGCCAAATACAGAATGCTCTGAAAGTTCAGGCCGGCGCTGTCCCTTTTCTTGGTTGCGCTGGAAACGGCACTATCCTCAACGAGGTTTGGTGGTTTAACCACATACTCGGTATGACGGGTCGTTGTTACATTTGCCGCCACGATAACCTTAGTTCAGGTACCGAACAGTATGGTTTCTTTAAACACATCGACTCGGTGACGCCAAGTACATGTTCTTCGACAAAGCCTATCCGCTACTTTGAGCGTTCGCCGGGATCCGAGCGTGAAGTGCATTGAGAACATGAATGGTTAGGGAGTGACTGCATAGGAGCGCACACTCTCTTCCTCATTATTTGTGATTATTCGCTTAGCTCCTTTTCAATCATGTAATCTACGTACCTGGATTATTAATACGTGCACCCGCTCGTTCCATGACTTCACATAAAAAACAACCGCACGGGTATCGCTCAAGAAACTCAGGCTGGGGCTGAGTACTGAGTGGCTATGCTGTTTCCCGTTCGGGGTGAATCGTTTCCTCATTCGGTCATACCGCTGCGGTCAGTTACGATGCGTTGCCGCAGAGAAGCACTGAACAGGCGGATGTTGGACCGTTTACGTCAATACTTCAGGCCGCCACGCTTCTTGAGTTGAAGTTATAGTGACCATGGCACGGTGCGCGTCAGTATATAAACCCTCGCAAACAACCACTGGGAGATATCGAACGTACTCAGCGCAATCCTCACTCACATAAATCAATCAACCTCTGCCTGACCTCTTCCCCACTCCTTCGCCATGGTTAATCCCGGAAACGTGTGCGCGCTCGACCTTGGGCCTCCGCGTTGCGCTGATATCACTTCTGCGCATGCATGTTGCTGGCGGCCACAAAGCAAACATCAACAACCCGAACACGTCCGACCAGTCGAAGGAACATTCGCGCCAGGCGCTCTCCGAGATCGAGGAGTCTGGCTTCCTCGACCAGCCCAAGCACGCTAAGAATCCCAACAACGTCGCGGGTGGCCACAAGGCGACCCTCAACAGTGGGTAAAACCTCTCGCATGATAACGTTTTTGACGGGGTTGACCGCAAAGATCCGAACGTCTCTGAAGGCGCTAAGGAACACTCCAAATCCGTTCTTGAGCATGACGACATTTACGGTGAGTCCAACGCGAACACCGAGCGTGACGCTATGTACGAGCGTGATTAAGTCTATATATCACAATATTGAATGTAGCGACAGATATGTAAGCCATTGATGTGTTCATCGTCAATGAATCGATTCTTCTGGCTGGTCTGGATGACAATGCGAAAGTTGCATCGTTTTTTTCGCGACGCGGCTCGACGCTCCTTCCTGATCCCAATCCCAATATGGGCAAGTCATGCCATCACGATGAGTATGTACATATGCTAGAGGCTCATATTTTCATCATTCACTGGCATCACCAGCAAGGCGCTGTAGATATGCATACAGCCTTGTATACGCGCAAATCTTCCCAATTAGGCAACGACTTGGACGGAGAGACAAAACTTTCTCATTATCATCCGGGACAGCTGTATTGGAATGCAACAAATGCGTTGCTTCTTGTCATTATTCATTTCACTCAAGTAGCTTGGTGAAGTGCATCCCCAACACACAAATGACTGCTTTATGTAGTAACGGAGGTGTGTTTTCTTCGGGCAACTCGGAAATGAACCGGTCGTTGAAGGTCCTTGTGTTTCAGGTGTTGCGGCGTTCGCGCGCAGCACCATCAGGGAACATCGCCAACGCATTGGTTTCCACGTTCCAGGCCCAGGCATGAACCCTTACTTGCGGCACTTAGCTGGAAGAAATTGTCGGCAGCAGCAACTTCGAGTGTTGCAGTGAGTGATTTGTGTGCGAGCGGCGAGGACCGTGGCTCATGGTGTTATTCATGTTTGTTCGGCGATGCGAGCGATAACGCGCAATTTTGCTCCCTCGCATCTTATCCGTTTGACTGCTCGACTGTAGAGTACCGTAGCAGACAAACGTTCTCATCCGGTGATCTTTCGGAGCGCAACCTTCTCGATCGATCACATCGAGTGCACTGGATGCGGGCATTTCGTCGAGACCGTAAGTTACTATTCAGGACTTATGTCAGGTTACCCTTTGCCGAGCGCCGGTGCGCACGGACAAGTTACGTTCGCATGATGTTCCTGGGCGCCTAGCCAGGTGATGGCTTCCACTCATTATTTGCTCTAGTAGGCTTAGCCGACGTCTGTAGCCTACTTATCAATCGGCATGCGAGCGCCATGAGACCTACACGCTCGCACTCTCCCTCACCGCTCCCTTACGGGGACCCTCGTATCAGCCATGCTGTCCACGGTGCAGGAAATCATCTCAATACTACCCATCAGCTAGCGAGTGGCAATGAACATGCAACTCGACAGTAACTAATCAAAGTCTCATGGCAGTTACCCCGTCACAAGACCATGGCGGCGTAAGAAGCTGACAATCAGCATTCTTGCAACGCTTTCAGTGAGCCCCGCCATATTCGTACAGTATTCATAGCCAAACACACCAACTCGTCGATCTATAGATAGTGGTCTACGCCGCCTTGACAACATGGGTGGGATATAACCATCACAGTCGAGGGTCGTTGATGAACGCAGCATTATTAGAATGTCTTGACGCAAGGACGAGAACCTTCTTACACCACCGTACTAAGGACGACCATGCCAAGTCAGCATGATACGAAGACGAAGTGCCAAGTACGGACCCTCCAAGTGGTATGCCTAAGGCTCATCCATTCTGAATTTGCGCGGGGGTTCATTCTGGTAAAAGGGAGACATGATATATGCATCCCCCAGTGGCGCTTTCGCGTGGTCCATAACTGGCGTGGATTCGGGTGCCATGCAAGGCTCAGGTGGGTCGCCCGCACATGCGTCCAAGCCAGCCCTTGACCTGTTTCACAGATTTCGACGTTGGCGTAAATTACGCTGGTGCTGCAATGCAGGCAAACGTGACGAGTCTCGGCATGTTCTACTACTGGTCCATACAAAGCTTCAAGTACGGTGTATGCGCCAACGCCACCGTCCCGCAGCTCTCGGGCAAAGGCAACAACGGCCACTCTGTCGCCAAAGCGACCGACGGTACAGTGTTGACGACAGTAATCACGATGTGCGCTCACTTCGATCTGGACTCGTCTGATGTGCCTGCTTGGGCTACCGCGGCGCAAACCCCTATACAAAACGCTTTCTACGACTTGGCCATATATTTCCAAACGTAGGTCCTAATAGTACCTGAGACCAGGGCTTCATCCTGTTCCTAGGTTGGATTTCCCGAACGGGACTTTTCCCACCTGCAATTTTCCCCCTTACTGCGACCCGAACACGCACTTACCGCCCCCATTGGACACGACGATTAGTCCGTAAGTCTGTATAAAAGTGTGCTGTACTCGCCCTTGCGCTGAATACCCCCCAGATCCAATGCTTACGATCTTACAGCTTGGATGAGCGGTATTCGCTATCTGCCGGAAACCACTGGTATCAATTTCACGACCACTGGAGGAATTCCCTTGGGTGAGGAACATGCAGTTATCGTCACTGCCGATGGGTCCAAGACGACCCTCGTCGATGCTTTCGAGAAGACGTACGTCAACGGTGGGGGAGCCTCGGGGAGCAACATCGGATTGACTGGCATTGGAGCCATGCACCTCCTCACCCAAGCTCAGAACTCGGCTCAAGGATTCACTGAGCCAGACGCGATCACGACCATCCGTAGCGGTGCATTGGGCGTATTAAACATTCTCGGCGTATGCTGCCCATTCCCTTGCTTGATCATCGCTCAGAGTATTCGTGCAGGACACAGCTGTCAAGGACCTCCATGACCGCGTTATCGGTTCTTCGTACCTCTGCACAGTGACGGGCTCCACTTGGAGAAGTCCGCTCAGTCTCATAGCTATGATACTGGGTAACAATGCGTCGTTGTTTGGCCTCTGGATTGTCTTGAGCGTGGCGATTGCGCGAAGATGGGAGCACCGCATCTATCGTCGAGGTCGGGCTGATATGTTACGTTGGCGACCAGCACTGACCATTACATAGAAATCATGGAGGAGGAGATGAACTATCCGGAGCCCATGACGCCTGTTGCACCTAGAGGATACCAGAGTGAGTGTAGTCGGAAACTCACTGCATGCTCTGCCACAGGATGATTGCTGAAATTGTTATTCCAGGCGATGATGAGAAAGATGAAGTTGGATTGAGCGTGCCGTATTCACCACCTACACCTTCCCATCATCAGCCAGGCTATCCGGAGGTCAGTCTCCACATCCTTGCATCGCCGTATCTTCCCGTAATGCTTATGTCGCATTCAGGGATTGAGCCGGCTTTTACGGGAGCGCTCAATGTAATGACCGCGCTTCGAGGTGTCCTCGCCAAAATCCTCGCGGATGCTCTGAATGATACTTACGATGTCCATGAGTGATTACATTACAGATTGATACATGATGTAAGATATGTTGTAGGATGAATAGTATGGACGACTACGCCGTTGGCTTGACCGAGTCTATCAATACCTCCATCTTCAACCTGGTCCCTGTCCTACTTCGCGCACGGGTCGTCCGTGGTGCGGGTGCGGTTAGATCGCTCTTTGCCTGTTGGCGCTGCTTGATAGCACCAGTGAGGCGCAGAGGCACGTCAGCATTGTCCTCCTCGTCCTCGTCTTCGGACGAACTGTATTCCACACCGTCGAGACCGTGCTTGGACTTGGAGTCGCCGTTGGCCAGATCTCCGAAGAGCATCCTCCTCTCTGGTATGTGCATGCTCTGGTCACCCTCCAGAGCGAGTTTCTTCACCCGCATGGTCATCGCAGTCGTCGGAGTCAGGATCTCCATGCCACGCTTCGCAGCTCGTTTTGAGGGACTGCACTCAATGTCCGCATCTCTTTCAGAGTTTGGGTAATGGGATGTATGCTGACGCCTTTTGCTGGGAGAGCAAGGAGTCGTTGGCCGGAGCGACACGGGAATATTTTCCGTGTTGTCGTCTCGCCTATCCCCAGGGGGCGGTACCTTCGGAGCCAAACCCTTCGGAACACCGGCGGCTGCAGCTTTAGTCTTCGTGGCAGCGAAACCTGAGGATCCGGCCAGCGTTTGTTGCACCTCCCAGTCTGAGGGTCGCATGCTCTTCCACTCCTCCTCCACGCGCGCAACCCATTGGTCACATTCAGCTTCAATCCAGTAGTCGATTATACCCTCCCAGTCGGCACCAGGAGGAGTACGGTTGACGAAGACGACCCGGCCAGCCAGCGAGTTGATCAGATTTTTCGCGTTCTTGGGTGACGCCTTGCAGGCTGCCTTGGAGGGTCCTGCCTTCGGTCTTCCATGGGCTTTGTTAATGTCCGCGGCAGTCAAAGAAGGGGCAGCGGGTTTAGGCGACGAAGCGTGGACAGCTTTGGCGAAGTCCTTGACCAGCTTTTTGAGCCCGTGAACCTTCAGCGACGTGCCTAGTATGATGAGCATGTCCGGTTTCTTATTTACGTCGGCAGCGTGGATCGCTCCTATGTCGTCACCCAATGGATGGGGCTCGTCGTACAGGACAATTGCGGGCCGAAGGTTTCCAATCTTCAAAGCGCGTGCAGATCGTGCGACACGCGCCTCAGCTACCGATGACAAGACTAAGAAACACAGCAGAAAGACTGAAACAAACTGCTTACAGCGCGACGTGCATTCCGGGCAGTCAGGAGAATCCCCTTGTTCGAAAAGAGCGAGATGTTGGGCCGTGCAAGGGTATTCTTTCGAGCACATGGTACAGCGCACGCGATGTATATCGCCGTGAAGCTGAACATTGCGCACGTCCCGATTGCGAATTTTCGTCTTCCCTTTAGCGGTTATCCTGACAGTCTCGCTAGAGCTGCCAGGCAAGCCTACACGCTCTTCCAGGCCGTCTATGTTCTGCGTATAGCTCCTGAGCAGACGTTTCTTGGAGTCTAACGTCTTGATGAATTTGTGAGTCGGTGACGGTGCGGCATTGTCGATTGACCGCTTGAGCTGGGAGATGAAGGTATAGAAGACGGACGTGGAGAGGGGATCGCGGAAGAGGGAGGCGTCGAAGAGGTCGCGGCCCTTGAGGACGACGTCGGGGTATTGTTGTTTGACTAGGTTGTAGAGGCCGTCGGAGGAGCGGAAGTCGGGGATGCCGGAGGAGCAGGATATTCCTGCGCCGGTGACGACGACGATGCGCTTGGACTTGGCGACGGCGAGAGAGATGTTTCGTAGGGTGTGACGCGTGGTCGGGTCCCGGGCGGCGGCAGCGAGGTCGAGTTTGACGGGCATCGCGTCAGGCCAGGGTGGGGACCGTGTCGAGCTGCATATACCGCATCCGGCTCCTGCGCGAACCAACTTCCCTGTTTGGCCTTGCTTGCTTCACCATGTGATCTCACGCGCCTTTCGCGTCGCGTCTGTCACGTGATCCGCACTCTTTAGGGCAGGTCCCGCGAACACCCACTACGAAATAAGATGACATGGAATCACCATCATCGCCCCTCTTTTACGTAGGTTCTACATAGCCCCGTACCCTGCCAGTCCAAGCATCGAAGGCTCTCGAAGGGCAGGCACCGTGTTGCGATGCTGCATTACGATGAATGCGACCAACGTCACTATTTGTTCTGAAGAGTTCGGCAATCCCCATAAACCTGGTAGCGATAGCCTGTAGGCATTAGGCAGCATATGTCTGACCGAAGAGACGCTGATATATGGGTCCGATTCGATGAGTGTTTGATGTCAGCAGGCTGAAGCGAGCGTCGGAACTGACATGACAGAGGATAACATGACCATCCCTATCACTCGGTGATGAGTTCAGAGACGCTCCAATCCTCGAAGCTGCCATCCGGTAGAAATCGTCGGATGATCAGCGGAATTTTCCGCTGTGACAACTCCTTGATGGCAATCTGGAGAGCATCCGTCTCCCCATCCAAGGGAACCAGAACAGGGGCATTCATACTAACATCCCCTTTCGTGAGCGCAGCGCAAGCCGACTTCTATATAGGCATACCTTATCTGTAGGGCACGAGTGCCAAGGATGCGAGCGCGTTCATATTTGGTGAGATACGGCGTCGTGACTCGGACTTTGTTGGGCTGTCGCTCGCCCTGGATGCCAGCAGGAGCATGGGGGCCGGATTCCTGCTGTGTTCCGTCTCCATTCATCCCATCTTGCTCATGGTCCATGCCATTCACGCCGTTTGCGTCTGCATCTTGTCCAGCCTCGTCTTCGCCGGTTTTCCCTTCACCATCCGCGTTTTCATTGGCCAGAAGATCGTACCCCTCGTCCTATGAGTAGCAGGAGAAGACTGGTAGTAAGCGTCGATAGCTCCTTTCGATATAAAGCGAGCGCACAAAAGTATCTTCGCCAAAGCTAAGGAGGATTGTACTTTCAGCTTCATGCGAGATTCCAAATGTTCGGAGCATACCCGCCGCCGCCGTAGTCGTAGTCATCACCCATCCCGCCATCATAACCATCGTCAGACATTTTGCAGCAGCGTCAGCACCGAGCTTGTGACTAGTTACAGTGGCTGGGGGGATATAGCCGACGAGGTCCTAATCGAAGCTGTCCGGGAAGGATAGTTGGTCAATGTCTTCTCTCTTGCACGTGACTTGTATGTACTGGTACTTAAGATTCAGAATTTACGTACTCAGATCCTGGAGACTTGTTACCACTAAGTAATCATAGCAGCTCATCCATGATACAAGACAGACTACCCCCTGAAATCTGGGCGTGCATATTCGAGGCCGGTCCTCGCCAATCCTTGGCAAAGTTGAACCTCCCTTTCGCGATTCTTGTTTCGCATGTATGCAGGCATTGGAGAGACTTGGCGATCGCTCTCCCCACTATATGGGACGACATCATCATCCGGACGCATGGAAGCCTAGCCATCTCGTCCTTATACCTTATTCGCTCTCTCGACTATCCGATATCACTCACGATCATCCCATCGCACGAGGGCGATGATCATGAAACACTCGGGGAAGACCAAGCACTTGTCGTATCTTGCAATATCCATCGCTGTCGTCGACTCACAATCTACGGCGCATCCGATGCGACTCTTCAACACTTGAGCGTGCTTTTGGACCGAGGTTCGATGTCAACCCTTGAAACGATGGAGATCACTGCTTCGCGTTTTTCCACCTTTCATACAACACCATGGCCTTCGTCGTTACGCCAGCTTCGCCTCCGCAGTATCGGTCTTACGTCCATGGCGTATCCCATTCTTGGTTTAACATACCTCGAGCTCTGCCCTTCTTCGAAATCCGTCGCACTATCTGAGACGTATACGTATGATACCTTGAAACATGCGATTTTGGCGAGCGCTTCCACTCTGGAAAGCCTATGTCTCTGCTTTATAGACGTCACATCTGCGCCCTCCCCTGCCTTATCCTTCCAGTCCATCGAGCTACCCAAACTGCGTACTCTCGTTGCGGCCGGGAGCTGCGGCTTTGATGACGAGGAAAATATGCATTTATGCGCATTGCTCAAGGCACCGAGGTTGGAGTCTTTGGAACTCCGAGAACACCATCTGAACCATTGCACTCTCTTACGACGGCCGAAGACCGCATTGTACCCCTACGTGCGGGTGCTGAGACTCTCGCACTATGATACCTATCCAGAAGCCATCCAAGAATCGCTGGTATTCGCCCTTCCAAACATCATTGCATTAGAGATTCGAGATGTTGGTGGCGATTTGACTCCACTGTGGCTACTGCTCTCCACGAAGCAGAGATGGCTTGGATTGGAGCCTTTTTGGCCGCGCCTACAACGCATATCGCTGGATAGCAGAGGATCATTTCCTTTCGCAGACATGATGACATACCGTGCGGCGTTGGGACATCCCATCCGACATATCCAACTGCTTGGGGAGGACATTATGCCACATTCCGTCCTCAAGTCTATTGCAAAGGTTTCTTCTATAGAGGTTATGGAGGACATTGATGAAGTAAGCGATGGGTCCGCTGCGTAAGGTTTCCTTCTCCCTAAAGCAATGTCCCTCAGAGTTGTCAGTATAGATCACGTATCAAACATTCACCCTTTTGACCATGCCTTCTGAAGTGGGCGTCTTACCGTTGCGGCCTACTATGAGATTTTCTACAGCCGCGAGGTGAAGCGCAGCATATCAAAGACAGCTTCGTTTTAGGGATTGAATTCCCCCTGCCCTTGGGGGACGTCACCACATCGGGACCAATCGCTTCTCGGGTGATCGCGGCGCATATGCAATGCAACGGCACCTTAGCTTGTCCGAGGCCAAAGGATCCTTTGTTTTGTGCCCACTGCACGGTCGTGGATGAGTAAGCTAAATGATGCGATTTCGCAATGATGCTGTTTCGCGCGGTGCTCACTGTTAGTATTGGCCAAATTCTATAAATCCCCGTAAACAAAGAGGTCCGCGAGCTGACGGAAGTCCGCTCTATCCTGCCATTACTCATACTGAACAATAGAGCGCGCACGACGATCGTCGATGTCTACAAGCCAAGCTCCAACGTCCCGCCAGAACTGTTTTTGCTTCGCAGTCGCCATCCAAAGGGGTACTAGTGAGAAATGATCACAGTTATCGAGCGCATGCACGTCCCATATACCAGGTCCAACGAGATGTTTCCTATGACCTTCGTTGGGACTGGCATAACCCGAGAGTGGGCAATGATGGCATCGGCTTTCTCGACAACCAAACGGGTGGAACTGAGAAAACGTAGGGACCACGCCGTCATTGGCCCAATGGTTTTCTCCGACCTCTTCTTGTGAAACGACCGTGGCCTCGAAAACACCTTGTGTCGAGTGGACAAGACCATTTGCGCTGTCCATGGTGCCAATGAGCGTCGCCAGGGTGGCCGTTGGGTGGGCGCGCATAAAAGCGGGTACCGGACGTAACACCGCGAAGTCGAAAGACCCCATCAGTCGAGAACATACATATAATGGTAGATTGAGCAGGTATTTCAGGGGTGGAGCGTGCTTGACATCAGTCTGTCGGATACGTCGGGTCTGAGGGATGTAAGCACGATATGCCCTTGGGGAAAGCAAGATTGTTCACCATGCATGCGACGTAACTACGGTAGAAGGTTCCATCGTGAGGGATGCCCTCACCAGCTGACTCTCTCTCCTCTGCACCTTGAAATGTCATGTCGAAAGGGGTTGCATCCCGGCCTTCAGCCCAGTCGCTGCGGTACAGCTGGCGGAGTAGCGATATGAAGGTCGTCTCGCGGTACGAAAGAGCCCTCGACTCTGTGTGCATATCAAATATCCGCGGTAGGAGCGGGGAAAGGTATGATGCGACATGAACCATTTTTGCCACAGCTGCACCGACGGAGATGGGGCATACCTGGAAATGTTCGTCAATACGAAACGATATCACAAGAGGGACATACTGCTGGTGCACCGTCCGTGCGTTCTCCAAGTGTGTATACCAGTTGTGTACCTCGGAACGGTGCAGACACTGATAAACATGTTGGTACGCGGGCGTCGAAGGGATTATAAACTTACCCGTCGTGACCGAGGACACCATACTCGGGTGCATGTTGGCACCGAAGAACCCTTGCGCAATCAGCCACTGCATTTTCACGATGGTAGGTCCTCCCTAATGGGAGTCATAGAGACCGAGTCCTATCCCCCCAAGATTTGAGATTGACACTCACGATGGAGTGTCCAAAGAAGTGAAGGGGATGCTCCTGCGACCACTCCGGACATAACCCTGCGGAATGAGTCCGTCCGAATCGTCTGTGTGAGTGACGTCGAGAATGATCCACTCCATAGTCTACTGTGCCTCCTTTCAATGCGTAGAAAAGCTCGCATGCTCTGTCATGCAGGGAGCTTACAGGCCCTATACTACAGTTCCGCACTGAGTTTCGCATGAACATATATGGCGGCATAGTACCCACCTGACAAAGATGGTACGCCTCTGAAGGTATCCCGGCCCTCCGTTGCTGCAGTTCAGATACGTCTCGAAGTTCCCCCATAGGACAGATCCGGTGCTAGACAGAAATCCCTCGACAATCACCAGCGGTACAGTTGCGAAATCAGCCATGTCAAGACGATATGTTCAAAGCTGGTTGTAAGACGAACATGCATGGAGTGTCAGAGTGAAGTACATGGACCGTCACTGTTACAGCTAAGTTACAGTACATGGTTACGGTTCATCACGTTGCTGTGAGGAAAGCTCGACAGCTTCGAGTCGTTTATTTATGAGCACAGCCATTGCGAAGGTTCTTACTAAAGTAGTACATGCATATCAGACTACATTGATTGATGACATTGGTCACAGCAGTATAATAGACGTAAATAACGCCAGGAGCAACAGACTTCAAGCAAATGGCATGCAGTGAAAACGGATGAAAGCGGACATCTGATGTGTGGGGATGAGGCAAGTACAAGTGCGTCGGGTTCCGGTCATAACATTCGTAACAATCGGCGATTGTAAGCAAATATGTGACAAAACCTAGCGGAGGAGGGTCAAGACAGCGCCTCCCACGAATGCAAGGACACTTACAGCATGCATGGGGCGAGACAGTGGACATGAGGGCATAACTGGACATAAGGGTGAGACAAGGATTAGGCCAATCGGAGGCACTAATGATGATATACAGTAAGAGCGTTGTTTACAGCCCGGTCAGTGACTCACTAGCGTGCAGGTGGCTCGTCACGTCCTTTTACTAGTGTACCATGATAGACCGACGCTGCCGACGCCATTGATACATACACGAGCGTGCAAGCGGCAGACCTAGGCCACGATCGTGAGATATCCACTAAAGACCGGGATGCTGGTCTCACTGTGTCTGCGACTTCATTATCTCTGAAGTGTACTTCGAGATCGCCATTCGGCATTCGGATGAATTGGCTCAGTTCTCCGAAAGACTGAGGATCGCGCATCAGTTTGGACGGAGAATAGAGATAATCGACATCCTTACTTCGCACCACTGTTTGACACCTTCGATGCGTTTCAAGTCATCCTTCTTGATGCCGCTGATGACAAGCTTGCGCTTGTACTTGCTCTTGCTCTTCGACGTACCAACCCTCGGTAGACAGAACGTAAGCTCCTTTCGTTCCGTGTCATCCGCCATATTGTTGGTCAGTGTCTTCAATGATAGCGGTACGCGTACAGTCTTCACTGGGGTCTCGTCCGCCAGGGTTTTTGTAGAATTGGGAGGATCAAACATATGTGTAGCGTTGGTCGGGAGGGACCACAGAGAGGGCCCGGATGATCTGAACATCGAGCCAGATGATTGCCCAATAGATCCAAACGAATACTTTCTAGAAGAACTGAACGTGGAGGAAGATGTCACCGAAGTGGTCGAAGTCGAGTACGTCGTCGTTGAGGACATGCTTGGCCGCGAGGGTGGCAACGAGGTATCTTGCGGCCCAACTGCTTGTGGTACATATGGATCGGAGAAATGGCCCACTACACTTGGCCTTGGCCGTCGATAGGTCCATGTGCCCAAGGCTCGTGATGTGGGCGTCAGCCGAGGTTTCACTGTGCCATGTTCCACCGTGTCTGCATGGCGGAAGACGGATAGGCTGGAGCTTCTTCTGTGGCTACCCTGCGTATCGGAGTCGCTCATTTCAGGACAAGCCTTCGATGAGATGCCACCTTGCCTAACTGAAGGAGTGTTCGCGGACGGTGAACGAAGAGATGCTGAAAGAACACGATGCCAATGTCGGAGTGGAGACGCAGGCTTGGAAGAGCTTCCATGCTGACCGGGAGTCGCCGTATGTTCTTGAAGTGACGATCCCGAGGGGCATTGCAGATCCGGCGTTCTTGGCTGCTCAGCATGTATGTCCTAGACGCGAGCTCAACGACCAACGCACAACACGCGCCTGTGCAGGGTCGAACGTACTTCATCAAGGTTGATAACGGATGGGTTTTCTGCCACATCTTCCTGACCAAGGATTATGTAGCTATGCAGAGTGTGCGTGTCGTCGTCCCGATCGGCTGCACTCCATCTACCCAGATGTGGGTACGCGAGATATGGATTGGGAGGTGTGCCAACGTGGGGCACCGCTGATCCATCGCTTTCGTACAATAGATCAAGGGTCGTCTGCTCCTCGATCCATCTCTGAATGCGACTCGCGCGTCGGGGACGAGGCACTGCAAGTTTCGAAGACCAATCGCTGTCTCCTCCAGCTGGAATCGCGTTCGAGCTTTGCGGCAGATAGCCAAATAGCAATGTCTCATCTATTACACTTTTCAGCTTTTGCTGTACACACAACGCGACCGGCACACACAAACCTCGAGGAGGCGCATGGATGGTGCTTCTCATGGCAGGAGGTGGTGCAGGACCGTGGCCAACTGTCCGTACCGGTGAGTTATACGGTGTGCTGGATAGGCCAATGAGGTATCGTGGGTTGGGGGTACAAACGGAAGAGCGTCTGGTCAAGGCCAGGTATGCATAGGCAAGGCAGTTGCGAGGCAGAGGCCATGTGCTGCGCGCAAGTCGAACATTGACGTGAATCTACACCTCGAGGCCGGGAAGAAGGCGGATGGTCCGGTGTACGCGCTACCCAATCTGGAACGCATCAATTCACACGGATACTCGGGCAGTCAACGGACCCCATTCTACATCTTCGTTTGTACAGCAGCCGCGCAGCTTCAATCGGTGCAATAGGAAATAGCCACAGTGAAGTTACATACTTCCAACTTGCTGACTCCGATGTAGTGATTACGACCGGTAGACAAATGAATTTGGGACACGGCGCTCATGCCTGAATTGATATTGCCGATATGCGCGAATATGCCAACGCCGTTTACGTTGGACTCTACGTGAGCTGCGCAAGACCTGTGACCTTACCATGCTAGAGCAGGTCAATTGGCTGGAACTTTTTTCTTGCCAGAGCTGGGGCCGGTGGCTCCACGCGGTTCTGTCGCAAGAGTCCCAACGCAACGCGATATAGTGTATACAGGATCAGACCTGCGGAGTGGGCTTGGATAAGCACCATCTGAGAAGCAAATATAACAGGAAGATGAAGACGTACTGCTCAGTGAGTAAGCATTCAGTTCTCGATTTTTGTCAACGTCTCGAGGATTGACGCGACGATGGATTTGAACAGTAAAGAGGACGTCGTCTTCTGATACTTCTTGAGTACATCGAACGAACCGTCCGTGTGACCATCCTCCCGATCCGCGTCCGAGTTCTCGGCGGCATCCAGCAAGGTCACCAGTTCAGAGTCCACCGGCAAGCGGCCAAGGTATGGTAGCTGTTCCCGAGTTGCCATTTCCTCTCCTCCACCCGTGGAGAAGATGTTGCTAACCTCGCCGCAGCAGGGGCATACGTAGCCACTCATGTTTTCTATGATCCCTAGGACAGGCAAGGAGACGTTGCGCGTGAATGAAAGGCATTTCATGGCGTCCATAAGGGCAACGGCTTGTGGTGTGGTGACAATGACCGCAGACAGTTTATGATGCACGGGTGCAAGGTGTTCCAGCAAGGACAGATGTTCATCCGATGTACCTGATCAGGATTGAAATGCCGATCGTGTAGTCAGTGATTGGACTGTTAACATACCAGGGGGTGTATCGATCACGAGGTAATCCAGCTCAGCCCATCGCACATCGCTGAGGAATTGCCTGATCATGGCATTCTTCTTTGGCCCTCTCCATACGACGGAATCTTCTTTGCGCTTCAAGAGGAAGCCCACGCTCATGCAGGCTAACCTTGCCTCCGATCCGTCCGCGTAGACGGGAACCCATCCATCGCTGCTCTGCACGACTCCCTTTCCATCCAAGCCAAGCATTCGAGGTATTGAAGGTCCGGTGAGGTCGACATCAAGTATCCCTACGCGAGCAGAGGAAGAGGACGCATGCAAAGATAGCGCAAGTTGTGCTGTGACCGATGACTTGCCAACACCACCCTTGCCTGAGAGAACAACGATGATGTGTTTGACCGTGCTGAGTCGTCTGGATACTGGTGTTTCCTGCAATGAGGCCATGGCACGAGCCAGAGATGTAATAGGGATCACCACAACATGCTCGAAGAGGCTTAAGCTTGACTCAGCAATGCGGCATTTTGCTAAGATCGTGGCCACGTGGTTATCGACTGGAGTCCGAAGGTAACGAATGTAGGACGTCGTTTTGTCACTTATGTAGGTGCTTAACAGGCCATGACATATAGAACATCAAGGACAGGACACTGCAATCATGATACGGGGCCCATAACTTAGGTTTGAAATAGTTGCGGCCTCATGTTCTACGGCAGGGTTCAGTTTACTCCAGACGCAATACTCATGGGAGCTCGACGCACCATTTTGCTCAGACGAGCTATCAATCCACCAAGCTGGATAATTGTTCCCACCCCTTCGAGAATGCGCATATGCGTGAAGCCGATTTCCTATGGTGAAATGAACATTAGACCAGGTTATCGTGGTCATAATGAAGTGGATACCTTAATATACTCCAGCTCAGTATATTCCGGAAGATCGTCCATGGTCTTCACCACCCTGAAAATAGTCACGACAATATCCACAGCACTGTACCCCTGCTCCCATAGATCGTTCAGCTTTTCCATGGCCGTGTCAAGGTCACTCTTTTGGCATGCCCGGATGATGGTTTGTACGGTGATCGGGTGAGGCTGGTCGCAGACCTTGAACACATTGTCGCCAGACACAAATCCAAATCCCGACCAAGTCGATTGTAGGTTGTTGATTGCTTGCCGCATGTCCCCTTCGGAGGTGAATATGAGTGCGGTGAGACCGTCATCGTTATATTTGACCTTTTCATATGTATTAGCTGAGTAGGGGACACATATGCTTTATTACCTTCTCTAGTTCGCAGATTTCGAGTAGACGTTTGAGTAGTTCCGTGTCTCGCAGCTTTGAATACCTGAGAATCGCGCAACGACTCTGAATAGGTTCGATGATCTTGTTCGACATGTTACATGCCAAGCAGAAGCGTGTTGTGTTCGCGTATATCTCCATTGTACGTCGTAGCGCCTGCTGAGCACCAGCGGTCATGCTGAAACACTTTGATTTTATCATACACGACACGAGCGGATAATCTTCCCCACCTGTCTGCCTCGTCAAGTATCACGATCTTGTGTCGACCAGGGGGTAATGTTACTTTCTTCTGGGCGAAAGTCTTGATCTTATTCCGCACAACCTCGATGCCTCTATAGGTCGCCTTTCAGCTAGATGACAACAGACCGAGAAGATAGCAGATACAGACCTTTCATCCGACGCATTGAGCTCCAACACCCCTTCCTTGTAAGCATTCCCCAGCAGTTGATGTGCCAGACAGTGTATGCTGGTTGTTTTGCCTATGCCAGGCATGCCCTGTTTCGTTGTTGTGGCTTCAGCTCAGAGACAAAGCGTTAATATACAACACTCACAGAGATGATGATATGAGGGCAGTTTCCATCCCGTGCTATAACTTTCAACCGCTCTATAGTCTCGATGTTGCCGACGACGTCGTCCAAAACCTTAGGTCGATACTTCTCGACCCTGCGTCGTCGTAAACGAGATGACCAAGCAACAGTAGGTATTGTATGTACCAGGGAAGTTCGTATGCCACAGTGCCGTTCGTTGCGGGTCCTTTTCCTTTGCCAAGAGTAGAGGTCATCTCGAAAGCGCGTAGCGTGACGTTGTGACTTCACGCGTCTCGTATACTCACGGAAGTGGAACCTCGGCCACTGAGCGCATTGTGACAAATGCGACGTTCACTCGGACCCTTGACTTCAACGCGCGGTACGTGCGCCGTATAGTCCATTCCAATTGTCTCTCAGTGTGTATCCAGGGTATCAATGTCGCAGCTACGCCACGAAACGGCTCGCCGGAGCTGCATCGGAGGTTTCCAGCTTGCCTCCTCCACGATTACGCCTCAAGACGCTCTCCGAAAGCCCGGACGCTGCAGCTCATAATGCCGCAACCCGCAAGGCTCAACTGGAGCCGGATACGTTCATCAAGATCGCCTCTCTCTACACGGAGCAGAAGGAGCTGCAAAGCGCCTATAATACGAAGGTCCACGTGCAATCCACTGTAGGCGACCAGATACGTACTATCAGGGATCTGGACCAAAAGCAAGCTGCCATAGAGAAAGCGAAGCGTCTCAAATCGGAACTGAGCTCAATTGATAGTAAACTGAGCGAGACTAAGAGTCAGTTGCTTCAACTCGCCTTGTCCGTCCCGAATGACACCCACCCCTCCACACCTCTCGGACCCGAGTCTGCCGCAGTGACGCTCTGTACACATGGTCCAGAACCTATGCCGCAGGATTCTGCCAGAGACCACGTAGCTGTTGCACGCAGCTTGGATCTCCTCGACTTGGAGGCTGGCTCCTCAACTACCGGCTCTTCGTGGTACTACCTCCGTAACGAAGGCGCCATGCTCGAACTCGCTCTCACTAACTACGCGCTATCAATCGCGCTCAAGCACGGATTCACTTTTGTTACAACGCCGGATGTTGTCCGCTCAGACATAGCAGCCCGATGCGGCTTCCAGCCACGAGATCGGGATGCCTCACAAATATACCATCTGGAGCACACCAACCCACAATTGGTCCTCGCTGGCACCGCAGAAATTCCCTTAGCAGGGATGCTGGCCAACAAGATTTTTACGGAGGACGCACTTCCGATCAAAGTTGTTGGGCTCGGCAAAGCCTTTCGCGCTGAAGCGGGTGCTCGGGGTGCAGACACACGCGGATTATATCGAGTCCATCAGTTTCAGAAGCTGGAACTATTTGCTGCCACTACTGAAGATGAGAGCGAAGCGATGATGGAGGAGCTACGATTGATCCAGACGGAGATCTTTGAGGGACTGGGCTTCCCTTTCAGGTATGTTGGCGGATGTTACTGATCCAGTGCGTCTCAACGCAATCTATGCTTCACAGGATCCTCGACATGCCGACTGAAGAACTCGGCGCGAGCGCCTATCGCAAGTATGACATGGAGGCGTGGATGCCTGGGCGTGGTGCTTGGGGCGAAATATCCTCCACCTCGAACTGCACGGATTATCAAGCTCGCCGGTTACACATCCGGTATCGACGGACCGTCCAGTCCCAAGCAGATGCAAGCGGCTTACCCTTCGTGCACACATTGAACGGGACGGCAGCCGCCATTCCTCGACTCATCGTGGCTCTTCTGGAAAATGGGGCGATCTTTGACGAAGCTGGTTCCATCTGCGGGATGGATCTCCCTGAAGTACTCCGACCATTTTGGATAGGGACCTCCACCGAAAACAAAGTGAGATGGAGATAATACACCTGTCAAAAATCCTATTCCAGGTCGTGATATTACAGGATAAGCCCACGGGAAGGCGGCATCATCGATAATCAAGATTCAAGCGTTGATGTTACCATTTCATTCCATGCTGAACCTCCGTCCCTAGCGTAACACCCTCGTCTTCGGGATCTACGAAAGGGTCTGCGAATGGGTCTTCCTCCAGTAACCCCTTGTTCGGCTGAGTCCCGGGTTCTTCGTCGTCGGACACGTGGACATAATTCCTCCCTGAGGAGCCAGACGCATATGCGTGCTTATCATGCGCCTCTTCATCCGATGACTGGTAGTCGCTGAAGTCGGAGAGTGACCCGCGACGATAACCATCATAGCCGTAATCATCGCTGGACCGGGGCGCATTGGGCCTCATCGGAGGCGGGAGCTGACTGCAAAATAGAGCGCGATGAAGGCCTGATGTGCTTCTAGACCAGTAATCGAAACTTACCTCTTCTCGTCTCCTATGGCGCCGAAGCTTAGATCCTGTAAGTCGGGGTGCGCCGGTGTGGCCCTCTGAGCTTCATACGAAGATTCCTCGCGTTGCTTTCCGCGCGTGCTCCCGGCCTTCACGGCCCGCTGGACCGCAGCACGTTGTTTCTCCTGCAGCTTGGACACTTCCGATTCGTGAATATTCGCCTTCACCAAACCGGCTTGTACGTCGTCGACGTCCTTCTCGGTGACCACAGGTTTGGAGAGCTGCCTGTGCTTGAGTCCTAGTTCGAAGTGTTGAGATGAGGTAGACTTACCGTGTCGTACATCTCTAGGGCCGCTATTATGCGCTCATTGACTTCGATCAACGTTCCGATGAGGTCTTCGTTCTCAACCAACTGGTCAATATCCAGCATGAGCTACGGGGTCCCTATCAAACGCGGCGAATGTTACCTGAATGTACCGAACGATAACCTTCCGAGATTGCTTCGCTTTCGCAAGACAATCTTGCACGCGCTCATTGGCTTGCAGGCTGTCATTGGCCGTGTTCACGAGCTAGTGGACATCAGATGGTATGTACTAGAGAAACGAAACTAGACGAACCGTGATCGCATTCACGAGATTGCTGGACGCTTGCGATGCGGTCGCAATCGATTCTAGGATCTTTGGCTTCTCCTGTGGTGGAATGATCAAGTCAGCGAGAATCGTGAACTCCGTGCCCGGTGCTTGCCTGCTCAAACACGAATGGCTTCCTGTTCGCTCGTGCCCGTGCCCTCCGAGCCTCTTCCTCCCTCTTCCGTTTCTCCGCCTCTTTCTCTTCCTTGGCACGCCTCTTTGCTTCCTCCTTTGCTTCCTTCTCTTCCCGGCGTTTTCGCTCGTACTCTTCCTCCCGCTTCCTCCTTTCTGCATCCATCTGCGCAATCTGGTGGGGATCGACGCTCCGCGGGCGTTCAGGCTTGACCTGCTTGTATAGGCCGGCTACAAAAGACATGCTCGGATCGTCTTTGAACTGTTGATTCCAGGAAGCCAGAACATGGAGCAACTTCTTCTTCACTTTAGGGTCCGTGGTGGGGTCCGTCGCGAGGTGTTTCAGAGCATCGGTAAGTTGGTGATCCGCGAACGATTCTGTCCATCGGTCAGTCAGATCGGTGTACCGGCACAGATCAAGATACACGTACTTTGGAACCGCGGCCCCCCATTCTCCACAAGTGCTTTCAGGATCTAACCTTGCTGTCGGCTGGAGCCTTACTCCGTAACGATGGCTGCACCTACCACTAGCGCCCGATACTGATTGTGCACGGTTCCGTGCTTGATCTTCTTCCGTATTGCTCTGGAGGCTTCTGCAGGTCTGCAGAAAGTTGAACTCATCAGGGGGTAGATGTACGGAGATCATATATACCCGGTCGGCTGCAAGTTGATTGAATCCACGATTTCGGGGATGCTGATGTCGATGCATTAGTAGCGCACTGATTGCGGTAGGACTATGCCGAACCCGTCATATGCCTCGTCCTCATAACTGTTGGATGTGACAATATCTATCCACTGCGTGATAGACGACTGCGTCCTGCAGTTAGAGCAGGCGTTGTCCTTGGAGGAAGAAGTGCGCACATGGGGTTTATCGTTGCTGAATGCGGAGAACACTGTCTTTGCGGCGCTGATGGCGGCCATGGTAGAAGCTTCACAGACCTCCTCGGGGTCGGACGGGCCAGGTGTTGAATGTAGCTGCTGTAGATAAGTCACTACGATAGTTATACTGAGCGACCCATGTGAGTCTGACGTCAAGAAGCGCCAAGCTCGCGTGTCACGACCTTGAGTGCCTGGCTGAATATTGATAATATTCTTGCCAGACGCGATGGCAGCCGCCCCGCCAGATCTGCAGAGGCTCAGCGCAGACTATCAAGTCCTGCAGAACCAGCTCAGCTCTACAATCGACGCCCGCCAGCGCCTGGACGCACAGCTGACGGAAAATGAAGCCGTTTGGAAGGTCGCAGAATGACCACCTTAGCTGTCCTTTCCTCGACTGATCCCCGTGCCGCAGGAATTTGGCCAGCTCACCACTAGCAACACGGTATATAAACTCATCGGACCGGTATTGGTCCAGCAGGACCAGTCTGAGGCCAAGCAGAACGTTCAAAAACGTTTAGAGTTCATCAGGAGCGAAATGTGAGCATCTGTGATTTGCTGTGCAGGACCGCGTCCATGCTCACATATGTGATAGAAAGCGCGTCGAGACTCAGATCAAGGACCTGGGCACCAAATCCGACATGAAACGAGATGAGGTAAGAATGTCATCGAAAACTCGTATGGTATGGGCTGAGGATCCACTAGTTGATCGCTGCGCAAGCGCTTTTGCAACAAACGCAGCCCGCTGCATGACAGCTCAGATCACATTACGATGGACAGAGTCCCTTACCTCTAATGATTCAAGACTTAAGAGCCCGTTTGCGTTTCAGCCGCATGTTATCATGGTCGCATTCGCGGAAAGATCGTTGACAAAGGATATTCCGCATGAGCTAAACCGGATGAAACGTACCTATCGCTTGCGCTCCGCCCGCCATTTGTAGACCCGCGGCTTGTACGTCTTCCCGTCTACCTTTCCTCGTTTCTTGCCCGAGGTATCTTCGTCTGCGTTTTCGTCCTCGCTCTCTCCCTCGACCTTCTCTACTCCAGCTATCTTTCGCCGAGCTCCCTTGCCCATGAGCATCTTCTGCATATCGAGCTCCCGCTCAGCGTACCGGAGCTGCTGTTCCCGCTTCAATCGAGCAGAAAGCTCCTTTAACAACCGACTCCGATGCTCCTGCGTTATGTTAACACGGGCCACGCTTATAATCAGGACACCACACATACGCGAGCCTGCCCCGATGGCTCCTCTGCCCCTACACTGGCGTTGCTCAGCTCATTACCAAGTCGACGGCGTTTCTTCTGCATCAGGCCCCGCTCTGGAGTTTTCCAGCCTAGGTCGACCGCGGTGTCCGTAACAACGTCGCTCTCATTCGTTGTTCTGGAGGGCAATGATACGGATCCTTGGGGTGCTACGGAGGTCCATGAGCGAAACCGGATGAGCGTGGAAGGCAACATACCTTCTTCGACCGAGTCAGCAAATACCGTATGACCCGGGCCGCTCTTCCGGCGCCGCGATTTGGTCAAGCGACACGATAAGATGCCCGCGTCCTCGAGTATCCCTATTTCTTCTTCGTCCAGGCCATGCGCATCATTGTGGTCAACGGATGAGATGGGGCGTAAGAGGTCAGCCAAAGCACTCAGTTCAGCTTTTAGCTTATCAATTTTCTGTTCAAGACATGAAAGAGGCAAATTGTCTAACGTGGTGGCAATGTCATACCTTCAGCCCAACCAAACGCATCGTGCGGATATAATTGGCATCTTGCGTTTTGAGCACCTTCACGAGATCGATGGGCAAAGCAACGTTTCCTCTCTCTTGAACGTGCACCCCATTCTAACCATGGGTCAATCAGCATCATGCGTCGAGGGTGAATTGGTAGTGATGCACCTCCGTCCGCTGTCTAGTCATGCCGAAGTAGAATTCATCCTTGTTGCGGTCTGCCGCCTTTTGCTGCAGCCGTTTGAGCCTGTCTTGCTTCGAATGATAGTCGCGAGCGCGGAGAACATAATCCTTGTGTTTCTCGAGAATTCCAAAACGTGTACGATGTGCAAGCTGAGATCGCTCCTTGTGATTGCGACGGTGCAACGAATTTCTTAGCGACGACATAGTGGTCAATAGCGAAGTGTGTATATGGCACGTGACACAAGGAGGCCATTCTAATGTCTTCCCGCTTAATGAAATGCTGGTACGAGATAAACCGTATGATAGAGTACGATGGACGAGAACTATGCTAACTCGTCCGGGGCGTACAGGAGTAGGCCCGGAAACGTGGGTGAATTATAGACTACAGATACGATATCGCACGGCCCAAGCTAAGGGTCCTCACCGGGCCCAACTCCGCCATCGCTGGGATGTGGTGCGCTTGACGCAACCGGACTCTCCAGATACATGCGGATCAACACACTCTCTAGAGCATGAACAGATTCTGCTGGAAAGTTGAAATCACGAGCCCTCTCTCTAATGCTCTGGAAGAGCACGCCGATTCGGTCCCACCGTTCTTCAGTGCCGGCCAGTGCAGCTACAGGTGTGGTTGGAGGAGCGGGTGCGATGTGTGGAAGGGGAGCAATCATGGATATGGCGGAGGAAGGCCCGGTCGACGGGCCAGAAGCGCTCGCTGGCGCACTTGCTGTATCCGCAAGAGCAACGATTCCTCGCTCGCCGACATTGCTCTTACTGCGGGCATTTATAATTTTCCGACCCTTTCTTGTGAATGGGAGGTTGGCTGGTCCGATTTCGTGCGAATGATCCGAGATGTCTACGCTCCATATGAGCTCAAGGCACATAGAGAAACAGCGACTCGCTTACACATTACTCGAACTTCCGGAGAGTCGTGATAGGTCTTGTAACTGATAGATGCAGGACAGCCTGTACCTTCGATCTACGCCATGTCATTCCAGTTGCTTCGTAGGTGTTGAGAATGAGCGTCACCTTTCTGCTCGGGACTTTGCGTTTTCGCTCGGGAAATTTCTTGACGTACTTCTTGCGGCCACTGCGATTATGTCGCGCGCAAACCAGTTTCGTATGTTCCTTGAACCGCGGTGGGACGGCTTTCGATATATGGGTATCCCCTTTCACGAATTCGACCACCTTCACCTCCTCCTCTTGGGCGCGCCATGCTTGGAAGGCATCGATAGTCGGGAAGACGAGCGTATAGCCATCGTCCATATCTCCGGAACCATATGGGAGTTTTGGTCCGCCATTTTGTAACTGAACACGGAAAGAAACGCCTGGACGAGGTGACGGGTCGGAAAATGGTTGTTGATTCGCCGAATCGGTGTTGGGTGGCACCGAAAATGCTGCCAATCCTTGCGGTGGTAACTCCGAGGGAGTAAGACCTTGTATACGAAATCTTTGAAAGCTCATAATATCCTTCGCGGACAGGGATGTCTTCCGACTCTTCGGGGTCAAAAGCGTGTTGAACACGTGATGGACTCATCATGTTTTGGTATCCACGAGCTACTATGCATTACTGATGTATTCATCGTCCGTGTTGTTATGCTATGTTACACGTAGCAGGAGGAGATTATGCGGATCTTAGCATATGAAAAGAGGGTAGGCGGTCCGAAAAGCTCAGAGTATAGTCCATGCGCTGAAGAGCATCCCTCCCAAAATCGTGAAAGCGGACAAACCACCTAGCTTCCACGGTATTGTCGAAGTTGGGACGCCACCGCTACTGCTACTGCCGGATGAAGACGTCGATGAGGTCTGCGACTTGGGCGTTGCGATGGGAGTTGACGGCTCGTATGTTACGCCGTTTGCTGTAGCAGCCACCTGGAAGACAGATCCGCCGCCGTACTCGTAGAACTGGAATATGTTGAGCACTGAGCAACGAGCGACCGAATAGTGTGGGCTCACATCAACCAGCATGAAGTTGGGATACCTGCCGTTCGTGGCTACGCAAGTATCCAATGCCTGTTCTCCTAGAGAACCCGTGCCAGAAACACCATTGGTAGTATTCGCGTTGTCAACGTCAGGAGCCGGGCTACCAAGGACCTCCTTATCGAGGAAGTGGTTGATGAGGTACATCTCGGTGGAAGTGTCTCCTGAGGAGCGGTTGACGTTGCAATCAAAGGTCGTGTCGGTAACATCGAAAGCGGTTTCCCATATGTTTGTGAACTCTGTTGATCACGATCAGCACTGGGACTGGCGCCGCAGAGTGTGTTTTACCATCAATCAAGTAGGTCACGCTGTTGAAGTCCGCGCCATGGTCCAGAAACGTGACTAGGCGTGTTCCGGAATCAATCATGTTACCGAGTGTCGGCCAGTCACTTGCTGCGATGGCTGAGGAAGACGGGGAGTATGAGATGTTGGACAGCCCCGCAGCCTCAAAGACGGCAGCGAAGTCAGATGGGGAGAAACCATCCGAGTTTACGATGAGTAGCGACACCACTATGCTGAGTTAGGCGACGGTGACTCTCCTGGCATTGCATATGCACTTGCCATCGTTTGTGTTTGTGTCCATCCACGTTTTTACTGTCAAAACAGTATGAGTTAAATGTTCGGATGGTGCATACCATATCCACCTTTTCCAAGGTAGTCTTGCAGGGTGCCCCCATTGTAAAGCAGCTGTACGCGGCATCAGGAAGAGTCCGCGAATAACAAGGTAACTTGGCTATTTACACAACTTGTATGGCACAGTTGTATGATGCCACTGTCGTTGTGAGCTTGCATTTGGAGCATACGGATGCCATCGTCAAGTTGCTGGGTAACTTTTGGGAGAGTCAATCGAGTAGCATTGGGCACAAAGCAGCTTCACCGACCATCATAGTCCTGGTTGACGGCAACTATATTACCGAGTAAGGGCAGCGTCCTGGCCGGATTACACGGACTCACGGTTGTTTGTGCCTACGGCGTAAGAATCATGGGCGCCAACGAATGTGACGTTTCCGAAGCTACGATCACATAGCTAGCCATTTTTGCGCATTAGAGCACGGCTTGCTGGCGGATAAGTGGTCTATCACCTCGGAGTGGCCATTACACGTGCTCGCGCGTTGGACGATGGAGACAGCGTGCGCAAGGGATGGCCCGAAAGCAAGCGAAGAAAGAGCGACCTGCGCGAGAATACTGAGGGCCGAATGCATGTTGGCTCAATGCTGCAGAGCGCGAAATAGGAATTGCGTCGTGAGCTTGGCTGAACGGTGTTGGAGTAAGAAAGAGGACAAGCCGATGGGCGCCCTTCAACCCGTGTAGATGGAGAAGAGACAAAGCTGTGTCTGCCGGGGCGCAGCGGATGATCGGCCGCCCTGGCGTTTGTGCCCCTGTTCTATTGTCGACCACGGCTGCTGTTGCGGTCCGCGTTTGCTCTGGGCGACGTGTCGTCCTTTGCCGATACTACATAGAGACCTAGTGCATCATGGCCGTGGTCGCAGCTAGCGCCTCGTCAAGACCCCCTGCTCCCTCGAGGAAACCGCGCTGGCTAGCCTTCCTGGATCGGGTTAGCATTCTCGCACACGCTTCCGCTTGCCGTTGCGCTCAATACTTTGGAAGACCAATGTGACGGTCACTAGTATCACAGCTTGCTTCCTTCTGTACTCTCGTTCAGCTGGCATCGCGTATTTTTGTATTGGTGCTGTCGCATGCTCTCTCTCTGTAAAGGTGGTCAAGAAAGCTCTCAGGCAGCCTCGACCGATGGGCGCGACTCACAAAATATCTTATGGGTACGTGGCGAGCTCACGAGTTGGATGGAATACTCACCCTAATGAGTAGGATGCCATCAACACATTCGGCCACAATATCCTATTATGCAACATTCATCCTTCTCGCTTGTGCTCATTCAGCGATCCATCCGACTCTTCCAGCGCACCCTCTTACCCGGATCATACCACCCTTGATTGTACTCCCGTGGGCATTGGCCATCGCAGCTTCTCGGGTATGGCTTGGTCATCATACCGGGGCGCAGGTTCGTTATCGAGGTCTGCTGATGGCGTTCGACTGATTTTGTCGCAGGTCGGCGTCGGTTGTGCTTACGGTGTAGCGTGGGCAGCTGCTTGGTATCACTGGTGGACTCACTACGGCATAGAGTACGGCCGCATACTCGAGCAATTTGTGAATTCTCACATTTAGAATGACGAACCTACAAGCTATGTAAACACCAACTGTGAGTACGTGAGCGACATAAGTATCTGCAACACGGTGCTGCTGCTATTGGGTCGAATCAATGTACAAAAATGATTTGAGAGCTTAATCTGCGGTTCACGCATTGATTGGTGACAATCTCGAATATCGTTCTCGCCCGCGCCCAGTGCACGTCACGGCCCACCACCGTCACTCGCACCCACGCCTCTGTACTTGCCATATACCATGAATGCACAACAACGCGTGGTGCTCGTCACCGGTTGCTCAGAGGGTGGTATAGGATTCCATTTGTACGTACATCAAGGGGTGATTTTTATGCCTGGTCTGAACTTGGCACCTCGTTCCCATATATTGATATTGTATATGCGTTTCAGATGCGAAAAGTTCGCGGATGCAGGTTGCACAGTCTATGCCACGGCCCGAAAGATGGAGTCGATGGATTCCCTAACCCATCCCAACATTCACAGATGGACGTTGGACGTAACTAGCGACGAGGATATACAAAAAGTGACACAAACCATCCTTCGAGACGAGGGCCGCATTGATATCTTAGTCAATAATGCGGGATTGCTGGGATCCAGTACGTATCCGTGAAGTTGTGCCTATAAGGTTTCTGGAAGCATCTTTAGATCCGATTTTGGATGTGAAGCGGGACATGGCCCTGGATATCCTGAACACAAATGTTGTAGCACCTATACAGCTTTCCAGAGCTGTTGCATCCTCTATGGCGGCTCGAGGACATGGCCGCATAATCAATATAGGATCCATTTCCGGAATCATGTACGCAACTTGATCGTGATAGTCTTCGGTGACGCTGATAGTGAAGCCAACACGCAGTCCAACTCCATGGGAAGGCTTGTATTGTGCATCAAAAGCCGCCCTCAACTCGATCACCGAAACGCTCTGGATGGAGTGCCATCCCTTGAACGTCGACGTCATGCTGGTTACACCTGGTGCCGTCAGGTCAAAATTATCCACCAACGCGTCAGGCCGTTTCGCGCTGGCCTCAGACAGTCTGTACAAACCGTACTTGGACCACATAATCGCTCGGATCAACTACAGCCAAGGAAGGGGGTCTATGCCCACACAGAAAATGGCAGAACAAGTGGTAACGGCGGCGTTATCGAAGAAACTACCTCGTTACATCACTATGGGCGGAAATAGTACTATAGTGCATCTCCTGGCATGGTTTCCCCGTGGACTAGTACTCTGGCTTTTTTGGAAGAAATTTTCCGGTGAATGGAACTGGGCCTAAGCCCACCGCTTGCTCAATCAGATCATACTACTGACATGTCCGATGGACCCATGCAAGCGCTGGCTGATAGCGCCTAAAGACTCGATTTGATAAATTGTCCGACCGTCCACGTAGAGGCGACAAGAAGGCCTTTGAAGCGAATTAGTAATCGCCATGTTTCTTTCAGTTTAGTTATTTGCACATACCCAACAGGGAAACCGAGCCCAACGCCGCCAATCCGGAACCGCGCTGGTTATGACTTGAGTGAAATGGGATAATTCTTCACCATAATGAATGAATTACCTTGGACGCGTCGCCCTTGGAGTAGTTGATAGTATAGAAAATACGACCGAACACCCATGTAGCACAAAGGCCACTGGCGACTTCCGGATATTTGAGACCCGTGATCAAGGTCCTGGCAAGGTTGTACGCCGTTAATTCCCGGTAGCAAACCTTGAACGCCAGCTCCTTACATAGTCAAGGCCAGGGGCAACGCCTCAAGAGTATTCTGATGAGCGCCTATTGAGCTGGTTAGCGTACGTGTAGCGCAACAGGGTCGATACTGCGTACGCTGTGTGCAATTGAAAACTTGTGCGGCTTTCGAGGCTTGGGCCTTGTTTTATCACACCGTCAATTCCTCAAAAACGTACGGAGAAATTTGATATGCCTAACTTCAGCCTTCTCCGCATAGACTAGAGGTAATGTGAGGCAAGCTATCGCGGTCAATAGTTGCCAGGAACTCACCTTGAGGATACTGGATTCCTGAAGCCTTCCGTGCGCGACCAACACGGAAAGTCTGCCAAACACACAGATATACGGTGGACAGGCCCGCCGCCGCCACGTACGAGAATCTACAGAATCCCAGTGGTAAGAATACAGGTCAATCGGCCGATACGAGGACACATACTTCTCCGGAAGAACGATAGCGTTGGACATGACTGGCGTTACGATGGGGAGGAGACGGTATCTGGCCGTGCCTTATATAGTTCCGTGGCAGTCAGGTGGCAACGCGAATTCGGAATTCATTCTAGGCTGGAACATGCAGGAACACAGACACGTCAACGCGCCGGCAGGACGCGTGTACATTTCAGAACTGTTGGAGCCGGCTGGATGCATAAGCATAATGAATGGCGGTTTGTGAGCAACGCTTAATGAAGCGGTTCTCTGCACAAGAGCATTTTCATCCGCCCTGGTGGGGGGTATGTGACGTAAAAGGAAATTCCCGACACACCCTCACGTGCCATGCGTCCATTCCATCCGCGAAATTTCTTGGCTCTGTCTCTATCTCTGCTAATCACAATTATCATGTCAAAACGATCCATAACTGAGGTACAACCTACGTCACACCATGGTCAATCGTTCCCAAAAGTGTCTGTTGGTGCCGCCAAACGCGAAGATGTTACACTCGAAGAGATGGGCGAATTCGAGGATGCATGGGAAGACGAAGTAGATAGTGAGGAGGAACTCATCGAAGGGAACAATAATACCAATGATGGTACGTTTACCTTCTGCTGTATGAATCTGAATATTCATGACCTCCTGCTCAGGCATGGATGTTGATGAAGTTCTGCCGGCGATCGAGGAGTCGGAAGAACAGCCTGCAGAGCCGGAAGTCTTCATACCTGGATCTCGCGCACTCGAACAAGATGAGGTCCTTGTCGCAGACGATTCTGTCTATGAAATGCGTCACTCCATGAACGTAAATTGGCCATGTCTTTCCTTTGACGTACTGCGCGATAACTTGGGCGATCAACGGCAACAATTTCCCGCAACAATATATCTCGCCACGGGGACGCAAGCGAATATTGCCAGCAACAATGAGCTTCTGATATACAAGATGACTTCACTACACCGAACGCAGAAAGACGGTGAGCCTGTTTCTGACTGTAGGTGGGCATCACGTTTATCACTGCAGCTGTAGGTGACGATTCTGATGATGATGATGATGATGCGGATGATTTGGACGAAGATCCGATTCTCGAGTTCCGCTCTGTTCCTCACGTTGGCGGTGTTAATCGGCTGCGAGCTCAGCCTTTACCCCCTTCGCAACCCCTACCTCCCGTTTCTCGACCGTACTACGCGGCTACATGGGCTGATACCGGCAAAGTTCACGTGTGGGACGTGCGACCGCTCATCGAATCAATGGATGTTCCCGGCTATGCTTTCGATAAAGCTCGGACCCACAAACCTGCATTCACCATCAACTCGCATGGAAGCGCCGAGGGCTTCGCGATGGACTGGGCATCGTCCGAGAGCAATCCTGGTTCGCTACGGTTACTGACTGGTGACGTCCACGCCAAGATATATCTGACAACCGCTGGGCCAAGTGGTTTCAACGCTCTATTGCAACCATTTCTATCCCATACTTCCAGCATTGAAGACATACAATGGAGCCCAAGCGAGCCAACAGTATTTGCGTCATGTTCCGCCGATCACAGCGTGCAGCTATGGGACGTTCGGAGCAAAGGTCGCAGAAGTGTAGCTGGAATAGATGAAGCTCATGAGACCGACGTGAATGTCATAAGCTGGAACAAAAACACGAGTTATATGCTCTTGAGTGGCGGGGACGAAGGCGGAATCAAAGTCTGGGATCTGCGCAACGTGCAAAAAAGAGGGTGAGCGGTATATCCACATACATCACCACGCAAGACGCTCAACATACGCTGCAGGTCATCCACGCCGTCAGCTGCGCCTGTTGCGTCATTCAACTGGCATACCGGCCCAATAACCTCCATCGAGTGGCATCCAACTGAGGACTCGATATTTGCGGCTTCGGGCGCGGACGACCAGATTACCCTTTGGGATTTGGCGGTTGAACAGGACGACGAAGAGATGGGAGCAGCGAACCCGTCGTCTGAGAGTGGTCGCGCGGTGCCTCCTCAGCTCTTGTTCGTGCATCAAGGTCAAAAAGATATCAAAGAAGTGCACTGGCATCCACAGATTCCCGGCGCGGTGATTAGTACTGCTTTGGATGGATTCAATGTCTTCAAAACAATATCCGTATAACGTGTCCATGATGTACCCGCCGCATACGCTACGCTTGTCCCCGTTCTCGTGTTTGCACTTCAGTACATACCACCGCTGTTGTTGCCTTTGGGAGAACGAAGCTAAGAACGGGAACATCAGTTGATGACAAGCTCCAGTCTTCGTTGCGCGTACCTTCGCGATGTTTTTGTGAACGATGTCCGTTAACACGGCATAGATGTTGCGAAGATCGTGCAGGTGTTGGCGCGCGAGATACAGTTGCCTTTCATCCTGCTCCCTCACAGCACCCTGCCCATGTGGTTACAAGGTGGATGTATGAACATCGGCTGATCACGTACCACGTAGTCCTCGACATTGGGGTACTTGATGCGTTTCGAGCAGAGCTTGGCTCGATAAACGTGATGCTGACGAGCGAAGTCGCGTAGGTTGTACGCACTCTCCTGGGAGCGGTGTAGTTCGTTCAGAACCTCTGAAAGTTGTCGTCAATCTTGACTGACAAACACACAAATACGGTACCACTGGCCTTCTTGCACTTGGACGCCGAAATTATCGCCGTCTTCGATTCTGCAGGCCGTCCATCAACTGACGCAAGAGTAAGAGTGGCGCGTCGCACCTCGGCATATTAAGGTTCACCCATAGTTTGACTCGGTCGCAACAGTCCACAAGTTGTTCGCATTCTCTCTTGATGAGATCTTGAACCTTTTCGAGTCGCTTATTGGATAACACTTGCTCCGCATACCGAGCACTGCTAGGATCCGTATTTGCGGGGGTGCCGTTGCTGGCAGAGATTTTGCGCTTTTTGGTCCCTGGTTCATCAGAGGTGTCCTTGGGTGCGGGTGGAGGGTGAACGGTAACATCTGTGAATTCGTTGACATGGGAAATATGAAAGGGCGAGGTGGGTGAAGACGCCGCATCAATCATTTGCTGACGGGGTCTTCTTGTGGCGTGGCTACACTCACGTGACTATTTCTGTGCTCCGCAAGCCGGCACTGGCTCGGCTTGAGCGTGCCCCATTCGGTTACCATAATAACAGGCAATTAGGAGCGGGGTTCGATCCAAGATCCCTGAAATTGGAGCCCAGACGTGACAACCGCTAGGCTATGGGACACTGGTTGGGTATCCATCCAGAACATTATCTCCTGTTTGGCATGCGCAAATTCGAGTCCCCACTGCGCTACTTTTAGAGCTCGCCATGTCCCGAATTGCTTCCACCACCATTCTCTCCACCGATAGGCAGAATCAGGCAGGCTTCAAGTGCTTGGCGCACGTACAAGGATCTTGTCCGCTGCATCCAGGACGTGCTAATAAAGAACCTGGAAGAATTTCTGAGAGCTCTGAAGTCCCCGAACAGGCAAACAATGGGAGCAAGCAATGAGAATGGCAGGAACATGGACAAACCGAGCACGGAGACGGAGACGGGGATGTGAACATAGTCGGGATCTGGACCCGATTGAGACGACAAGGAGTGCTCTGGTGCACAACTAGGTACACTGAAGTGTATTAGGCGACGGTGAGCTGTGAAGCGTCTCGGAGAGCTCCGATCCCATTTTTGCCCCGAAAATCGTCAATTCGGGGCCATGTCTGATGTCAAATCCCCGAAATTCGGCCTCTTGGGACCTTCACCGGAACCCCGAAAATGGCCGAAATCGCCTCTTTGAGGGATCGGAGCTCTGGTGGGGTTCGCACCGGTCCTATTACGCGTCTGACGCGCCAGAAAGACCGTCGAGGAATTCATCTTCACCGCGGGGCCGCAAGCTCAACTTCCAACCATGACGGCAAAACTAGACAAGGAATTGAGCTCTAAACTTGAGGTGGAAACTTATCTATACTTATGACCAACTGGATCATGCTAACAAGAATTCGCAGGAGTTCAACAAATCAGTTGCCGCCACCGCGGACGAGGTCATCTTCCGCGTATTCCCTTCCAAGGTGCTGCCAGTTACTGCGTCAGTTTCCATGTATCTAACGCGTGTTATGTAGATTTTGTACGATACATTGACGTTTGCACAGATGCTAAGTCTGACGCCGCCATAGAGAACTAATAGCCCGTTCAGTCTTGTGCATGAAGGCGTAGGCGTTGCAACCCATGAGCTGATACATCGCACATGCATGTAGAATTGCATTATATGCATAATATCAAGTGGTACAAACATATGATATGCAAGAACTGGGAGTACAGAAGCTGTTCCGCGGCTCAAGTTGTATGTTTCCACGGTCGTATGTTTCCAAGGGCAACGGTAACGCCACCGTAGGTCGTTAGGGGTTGAGGTAACACCGTAGAGTAGCCTAGTACTATGTACAATATCCCTGAGAGTACGAGAGACGAAACGAGCCCGAGTGTGTGCCAGGAAGACCGTGGGAAATCCAGAGTGACAGACTATTCGGGATGTCGAGCGAGAGCGGCTGGACGTAGCCCTTAACGAAGGCTTCTAAGAGTGTTCCGGTAGCTTAGTTTTTAAGGGGATAGCGATTTTGTAGTGCGTAGCAAACACTATGTTGAAAATGACTTGATTTCACTTAGTTGAACTTAAATAGCACACCAATTGCTTGGGGGACGATAAGACATTATTTTGAGACCGTCAGGACATATGTTATGGGCTTACAAAGGTATTATATCGTCAGGAGGCCCGTATCTAGGTACACAGACGAGTCACAATAAAACTTCTAGGAGGGAAGGATAGGAAGAGGAAATTCGTTCTGGAGATAACTAGGGCGCCCAGGGTGGACTCTCGAGCGCTGGAGACTTGAAGAGGAACAGGAAGAACATTAAAAAGTGTATAGGATGTATAGGATGGTATTACTTAGAGTCGGATAGGAGGTGTCGAGCGAGGACGGGGCGCGGTGATTCCAGAAAGGAAAGATTCCCACACCCAATTAGGCAGGTGGCGGGGCTTCGCTCGCGTGGCCGCGTCGGGCGTCGGGCGCGTCAGGAGGCCGAGGGTGCGTCGCTCACGGAGATCTCGAGACTGGATTGCTCGTGTGCTGTCGTATCTTGTGCAACAATTTGTTACGATCTGTTATCGCCATAACAATACTACCCTACGATATCGAGGGCGCGACACTCACTTCGTGTAAAGCAGCGGGTGCATATAGTAGTACTATTACTCTGCATCAGCGGGGTTCCAGAGGTCCACCGCAGCTTAGATTGTGCCCACATGGCAGTTGTTGAGCTCCGCCACCCGGCATCGGGTCCGAACTCCGCGATTTTGAGCGTGCCCCATTCGGTTACCGTATGTTATCGGAGCAGACCAGGATGTAACATTTTGCCCTCTACCCCCATGTTTTCGGGGTTTTGGTATCGGAGCTCGCGCCCGTAAACGGGCGTTTTTCGGGGATTTTGGTGGCTGTGTGGATCGGAGCTCTGGCGGTATTCGCACCGGTCCTCGCGTAATGTCATTCTCCCGCGATCCACAGCCACAACGCCCAATGCCTGTGTCTCTGTACGCTTCGTTCATAGTGCTCGTCAGCAACAACCACGACGTGCATATCTGCCCCTGTACATCGGCCAACGCGCTCTTTCTGGGGCTGACCGTTAGTGGCACTGCTACGCTTGGTTACTGCAGGATACTACAATCACCGCCGAGGGCTAGCTGTTCGTGTCGCCGGCAGACTTCAACGCTACCAAGATGTCTAACCACGAAGAGAACGATGTGATTGGGGCGCTTACGGGCTTCTCTCTCGATCATGTTCTTGCGGGAATGTCCCTGCCCTCATCCTCGGGCCTTTCCAACCAGCTCGGAATAGCTGGCTTATCCGCTCTGAATTCGTCTCAGATTTACAAAGACGATTGGGAAGAAGATGGCGCTGTTGGTGCTGGGGAGGGTCAAGACTGGGAGGACGAAGTGGATCGGGAACTGCAGGATGAGGGCTCAGAGCTGGGCGGCATGGTGAAGATGGAAGCCGAGTCACCCAGCGCGCTGCCGCAGAGGCAAAAGAGAACACGGATCGTTCGACGCCTGGTGGAGCGGCCTAAGTCCGTGTATGAGCGGTTTCCCGCATTCGAAAAAGAAAGGGTCCTGGACTTCACCGAATTGTTCAAGGGTCGAACAGTCAAGAAGTCGCGGCTTTCTAAACGACCGTTCCAGAGTCAGTGCATCCATGCTAGTCGTGTTCATGGCACTCACAGATTCCAGTCGAGACTGCCTACCCCCGTAAGAGGGACGTTCATAGGGGGTTCTTGGAGGCGGTGGTGGGTGATGCGCAACGTCAGGTAGAACACAAACGAGCAGAAGAGGTGGTTGCCGCAGGAAGCGTTGATGAGGACCTTCGTCGCGCTCTTGACGTACGTTCTTCCGGTCAAAATTCTTATCATTGTCTGACTCGTGGCTGGGCAGCAACGCGAGCGTGTAGGGACACCGTTGTCCTTACCGCTGAACGATCGCTCCTTCGACTTGGTACTACTGTCCAACTGGGAAGAACAAATCATGTACGAATCCAAGATGGACATGGACGAAGACGCGCGATCCCATACTGCCGCGGATCTCGCCCCTACAACCCAGACAAGCCTGACGAATCCCGTCAACAAGACCTTGGAGTCGGGAGATTGGACGCAAAGTATCATCTGGGGCCCAAAGGTGCCTTTCCGCGATTTCACACAGCTGGAGTTCAACCACGAGGACGACGTTGTCCCCGAAGAACGACAACCAGGTGGGCAGTTCTCCTGCATCTCGGGTCCCTTTTTTGACGAGTCGCGGACGCAGAGTGGCATCGTCCAAGAAAGCGTTTCCGTACTGACGCTGCGCACCGAGACAAGTTCAACTTGTCGAACGACCAATACTACGAACTCGCTAAAGACGGAGGCCGGCATCGCGTCCGCCAAACCTTCGGTCAGCTCGTGGTGGAGCATGCGTACCCAGCACAGAAGTTACAACTGCCCTTTGTAAGCAAAGCCGATTACTCTCTGTATCCTTCACGTCTACAACTACAATTTCAGTACAAAACTCGTCTTTCCAAGCAAGAAGGACGATCCTGGCATCGCCCAGCCATGCAATTCCCCGCCAACATCGAACTTCGGTTCAGCAAAGTGCGCACAGCCAAGAAGAAGAAGGACAAGGCAGGCCGCAAGCTCGGTAAAGGTGGAAATGTTGGTGAAGGCTTGCGCAAGACTGGGGATCTGAGTTTACAGGATACAAGCAACTTTGTGTTGTGGGAGTTTTCGGTAAGCTTTATCAATCTGCCAATGCTCGCCACGTCGTTGACTTGTCCTCAGGAGGAACACCCCCCGATCATGTCCAGTTTCGGCATGGGAAGTATCCTCGTCAATTACTACCGAAAGAAGGATGAAAAAGATGAACACATTCCAAAGGTACCGGATATGCCCTAGGAAGCTCCTTACAAAAACTCACTCGTTGCAGTATGACCTCGGCACGCCGTTCGTATTGGAGCCTCAAGATGAATCACCTTTCATGAAGTTTGGGTCTGTTGCTCCAGGACAGACAGTCCCTGCTCTATACAACAATCTTCTTCGTGCACCTTTGTTCAGACACAAGCCATACCCCACGGACTTCCTCGTCATCAGGTATGACTCGTATTCACGGCTTCCCACTCATATTCACGGCTTCCAGGAGCACGCACAAAGGCGAGGCGAGATACTTCATTCGCGAGATCAAGAACCTCTTCGTGGTTGGCCAGACATACCCTGTTACCGAAGTTCCCGGGCCTCATTCTCGCAAAATAACCACGACAATCAAACACCGCCTTCAAATCATCGCCTTCAAGCTGTTGAAAAAGAGCCAAGGGGAGCGATTGAAAATTACTCGATTGATGAAGTATTTCCCAGACCAAAACGAGCTTCAAATGCGACAACGTCTGAAGGTACTATCACCCGCAGTTCTGTTTGGATTGTTCCCTTAACTCGTGCTGTTAGGGTTCGTTGAAGGAATTCATGGAGTATCATCGCCGCGGGCCGCATCAGGGATTTTGGAGGTTGAAGGAAACATGGTCGATTCCCTCAGACGCTGACATGCTCAAGATGGTCGGTCCGGAGCAAGCTGTGTTGAACGAAAGCATGCAGGTCGGGCAACGGCATCTGCAGGACCTGGGTTATAGCAACGAGACGGGCGAGGGAGATGAATCCAACCTTACGGTGGAACAGCAGCTTGCCCCTTGGATCACGACGAAGAACTTCTTACTCGCTACTCAGGCCAAGGCCATGCTTAGGCTGCATGGAGATGGTGATCCAACAGGGCGGGGAGAGGCCTTCAGCTTTCTACGTGTTTCCATGAAGGACATATTTGTTAAAGCGGGCGAGGATTACGAGCAGAAACTTGGTCAGTGTTATCTATGATTCGCGCTCTTCCGTCGAAGACTCATTCCGCGTAGCCGAGGCGGAGAATAGGCCGAAGTCGGCGCACCGGTACAATGTTGCGGAGCAACAGCTGATCTACAAGTCGGAAATCGAACGCATTTGGAAGGCACAATTTGACTCTCTTAGTCGTAAGGACGAACCGCTGCTTACCCCCGAAGATGAAGAGAAAAACGCCCCGCCAAAGAACCCGTCTCAGCAGCGGCGTATGTCGACCGTCGGCCCGGATGGCTCGTACGCTGCAGCCATTTCACCCACTGCCGGCAGGTATTCCGTGCCGCCCTCACCAGCTTTCAGCCGTGCATCTTCCATGGATCGCGACCGGGAGACAAGTCTGGGTCCCGAAGCTAGTCGCCGAGTACTGCGCATCAGACGGATGGTAAAGTTGGACAGTCTTGGTGATACAGTCCTGCTCACGATATGCTATAGGTTGACGGACATCCTGAGTACGAGATAGTTCGCGATCCGGCAGTTATCGCGGCATACGTGAGGAAACGGCAAATACTGGAAGAAGAGAACACGACAGCCAATGCATTGGCACCTACCGGCGACGCTGAAAAGGACGCCCGAGCCAAGAAACGGCAAGTCGAACGTCAGTTTGCCAGTATAGCCATCTAACACCCATGGATACAGGCTGGAGGAGGAAATCGCCAGGATGAAGAAGAACCAAGAACGCCGTCTGCACCGCAAGAATGCCAAGATTATCAAGGAGGGCGGCATGCCCTTGCAGTTGAACAGGCCTGTCAAGCCGGACACCACCGTAAGCCAAGATAGTCTCCGTCTCGCCCCTTGAGAGCAGCATGGCTAACTATGGCACATAGCGACGCTGCGGACACTGCGGACAAATGGGTCATATGAGTGAGTTTCCGATAATATCGACCCAAGCATCGCTGCGCATCTCACACATCGTCGCTCAGAAACCAACCGCAAGTGCCCACGCTGGGCTGAGTTCAATTCCGGTACGGCACCGCCGCCGCTCACCCCCAGCGTCAGCGGCGGTCCGTCGGTGTCCTCGCCTCTGGTGCCCAGTGCATCATCTCCGGCAGGGTTTGCCAAGCCGGCCGATGGCGTATCGGTACTCCGGAACCCGAGCTTTGCTGCTGCGGTCCCGTCCCCCTTGGCGACCAGTCCGCCGATGTCTGCGATGGACGATGGCACCGAGGCGCCTTCTGCAGGCCCAAAATTGAAGCTCACTCTGAAACGATAGACAGCGACGCCGACTTTCTGGTAAAGTACATAGGATAGTGGAAGCATTGTAACAACACATGGTACATTATGTACAGTCCATAATACGACATCATACACTACACGCTCAGGCAGCGACCATCTCAACGTCCGGGCTCCTTGCGGGTGATTCAGAGAGACGAGTCCGTTTGCTGTAACGCCGCCTGCTCGTGAAGTCGTCGTTGATGGCGACGAGGAGATCGCGAATGAGCTCGGCGTGCCGCTTTCTTTGCGACAGGCTCGCATCAGACCTCGCCAACCGGATGTTGTCGAGATTGCTGGCAAGGTTCTCGCCGTCGTCGCCATCTGCCGCCGCGGCGATGGTGCGGAAGCTGGGGAGCACCGTAGCCTGCATTGCAGGGGACTCGCCGCCGGAGCTCGGCGTAGGGGTCGTCTCGCGCGAGCCCTGCGATCGCGGTGAGGCGTCCGGCGACGGAGACCTGTACCGGCCCTTGATCGGGGCAAGCTTGAAGTCTTCGTCCTCGATCTCCGAGAGCGACGGGTACATGCCTCTGCTCGATATGCCGATGGAGCCGGCCTCGAGGTTGAGCTTGGCCGGGGGTCCACGATGAGCGTAGCGACGGATGCCGGGCTCCAGGGGCTCAGGTCGCTCGTCGGTGGTCCTCGCAGCAGGCACACGGGACGGAACGGAGCCAAGCTGAGGGATCGCCCGTTGCGTGAGCTGGCTGTAGGTAGGAGCGGCGAGTCGCGGGGCTGGGGCAGGTCTATGCGTGGGGCGTAGGTGGTTGTAGGATGCCATGCCATCGTCCGTGCCAAAGTCTACGATCTGGATGCCTTGCTGTTGCATGACGGCGGGCTGCATGACGGCGGGACTGTGGTGGTGAGGCGGCGTCGCTACTGACGGCGTCGAGGCAGGTGAGGGACCTCCCATATAGTGCTGTGGAGAGTCTAAGGGGGGCGTCGGGTGCAGGTGAATCTGTTGGTGCTGGGGAGGAGACGGATACTGCGGTATAGCCCCAGCGTAAGCCTGGGTACTGGAGATCGAAGCAGATCGGCGTGCATGACTGTACTCGCGCGCAGGAGTGTACATTTGTGACTCTTGAAGCGCGGGATACATCGAGCCGTACTGTCCAGACTGGACGGACGGATGGTTGGACCTGGGCAACGGCGCCGATGGCGCGTAGCCGTGCGACGCGTACTGCTGGGAACCGACGGAAGGGTTCGAGTAGCTGGAGCTGTCGGAGCTGAAGGACGACGAGAGGCCAGGCATGCCGGCGAGGCCGAGGTCTTCCAGTGCGGAGGCATTGAAGTAGTGTTCCGGGGAGTAACTGACCGCGCCGTGCTGCTGGGTCGCCGCGGCAGAGTTGGACGCAACGTCGCGTCCGAGGGCAACTAAAAACTGATTGACGGCGGCGAGCTCTTCTTCGGAGCGGATGTCCAGAGAAACTTGGCGTGGGTTGAAAGAACCGGCGTTCGGGGCCGATTGGTAGACAAGGTTGTTCAATCGTTCCACCATGTCTATAATTGATGCGCCATTAGCACGTCGCGAAGACCACGCTTGTTTGCACTCACGAGGGTCGTATGAAGGAGTCACCCGACGTTTTTTGACGTCGGTGATGAACTCGCCCAGGCCGTAGTCGTGCGAGCGTTTGGTGCCCGCCGTGGTGGTGGAGGTGCCGTCCGACTGCAATGCTTCCCAGGTGGGCATGCTGTTGTTTTCCAGGTAGATTTCCTGGGGTTCAGGCTGCCTAGGCGCACGCACGGTGCTGTGCCCCATTTCCGGCGATGGGGTCGGAAGAAGGCCAAGGTGGGCTTGGCAGAGAGAAGCGTCAGAGAAACAGCCACGGCAATCGAAAGTATATGCCGGGATTTACCTGCATGGTCCGGAGACGGTTTGGTCCGGTTGGCGGGGGCCCTTGGGGCGTCCGCAGCCTCCTGACCCTCAGGTGCGCGTGTTCGAACGGTGTCCGTGACGGTGATCGCCTTTGAGTGCTTGTGTTGGGCATGGTGCTCTTCCGTGTGGATCTTCTCGTGCTTCTTCAGATCTTGGGGGCGCTTGAAGGACTTGGAGCAGATCTGCGAAAGGGGGGAGGGGGGTCAGCAGTCGTAGGAAAAAGGTGTTCAGCACCCCTCTGGCTCACGTCGCAGGTGTGGGGCTTGAGTGGGGTGTGCACTACGATATCGGAGTCAGAATGTCGGGATGGCGTCGTGAAATTGCACTGCATACCTCTCAGATGGCTGGTGATGTGATCGCGCTTGGCGCAGGTGGTGGAGCAGTCCTTCCACTTGCAAGTGAGGCAGAGGTTGTTGGTGCTTTTGCGGCCGATGTGGTCGTTGCAGAGATGGCTGTAGAGTACCTCCGGGTCGGCGAACGACCTCTGGCAGTCCTGCCAGAGGCAGAGGTGGGAGGAGAGATCGGGGGCGCCGGGGGAGGCAGAGGAGGCGAGGCTGTCGCTGTCGGGCGGGGAGAGGGAGCGCTCGCCGTGTGGCGGGGTGTGGGGGAGGACGGTGAGGCCGGGCATGGGCTGCTGGCGGATGAGCTGCTGGAGAGTTTGCTCGAGATGCGCGAGCGGAACGAGAGTACGGGGCGGTTGCGGATCCATGGCGTATATATACGCCGTGCTCTTGGCGCCGGTGCTGGCTCTTGGCAAGGCTTGGCGTCCCAGGCCCGGGCCCAGCCGGCGCCGCCAAGTCGCCCTGCGTCCCTGCGCGGAGTTGCATTTCAAGCGCCGCGACGCCGTCCCCGCCTTCGCCGCCAAGCCCGTCCGCCGACCCCAAGCGTGCTTGGCCCGGTTCCCAAGGACGTGCACCGCGTCGGCCCACCTCGCTCGTCTCCTCGTCCGGTCTATTTCCAGCCCGGGCTTATTCTCGTGCACTCGCATGTCCAGCAGCCAGACGCTGCGGCTCTCCTCGTCCCCGTCCTTGGCCGGCACCCGCGGCGAATGGCGTCGACGCCAGTGCCGGCCAACCAAGACGCAGACCGTTCCGAGAACCTGATATCGACCGTGGTGTGGCTGTGCCCGCGCAAGAATACCGACGGCGACTCTTCCAAGTTCTTCGACGGTTGCATCGCAGTTGGTTTACTTAGGTCAGTGCGCGATCCGGGCTGCCGTCGCTGCGACAAACGCTGCGCTCGGCATCTCCAGCTTTCGCCCCCAACTCTCACAGGTCGCACCGTCTGTCCGCCCGGGTGACCTACCCTTATCTTTCCCCAGCTTCGATATGCGAGCAGACGGCGATGTTTCGTTGTCCATCTGACCAACGCGCACCTACGTACTCCTACTAGCTCGAGAGCAGGCGGAAAAGACGCCGAATCCCCCCTCATCGATGCTTCATGATCCAATTGATGACAGCGCCCGGATAAGCCTGAGACTCCGGCGCGTATACACAGTTGCAGCCGATCGTGATCACACCCTCTCTCCTACTACTCGCTAAGCGCCCGCCCTTTCAATTTCGTGAACCCGCCTCGCCCCGCCATCTTTCGCCGAAGATGTCCAAAATGCCTGTCGCAGTTCCGTGGAAGCGGTATGAGCCGCCGCTCGAGAACGAGCGCTTAGAGCTCGACGAGGATCAGATCACCTTCTTCAAGACCCTGACAGGCATCTACGACGACCAGGCGCTGAGGCGGCACCTGTTCATAATCCAACGCAGGGCTTACGATGCGCGTTCCGTACCCTCGACGTGCACAGATCGAGTCTGATCAGTATAATAGGTATACCCGCACGGATGCCTCCGTCGGCTGGAGTTCACCAGGTAAGCTTCTGTCCGCCTCCCCCTCCCGTTCGACTTTCCGAGACCGCGATTCAGCCTCCAGATTGCGCGCCATCCGATATATCCTGACGTTCAAGCCCTACTGAGGCAACGGCCTGACGCCATCCTCCTGGACATGGGAGCGTGTCGTGCGTCGACGTGATCATCGACACCTTGACTCGCGTTTCTAACACAGATCGCGAACAAGTCGGCAGCGACCTGCGCAAGGTAGTGTTTGACGGATGGCCCATGCAGAACGTCGTCGCCACCGATGTACGCCCCGGTACGTAGCATCCAGCCCGCCCGACCTCGTCCTGCTGTCGTCCGCTTACTTCGTGCGCGCTCCAGCTTTCTGGATGGTCGGCCACGAGCTGTTCAATTCCACTCCGGATACCTGGCCCGTCCCGCGCATCGTCGGAGACGTCCTCAACCAGAACTTCCTCTCCCCTGCCCCGCCCTTCTACTCTCCGCCCGGCACCCCTCGTCCGGACCTGCGCACCCTCCATAACCTGAACATGCTCCGCGGACACGTCTCGGTCATCCACGCCTCCAACTTTTTTCACCTCTTCGACGAGCCGCGCCAGAAGATGATCGGCCAGGGGCTCGCCGCGCTCCTGACGCCCGGACCCGGCGGGATCATCTACGGCTCGCAGGGCGGCCGCTTCGAGAAGGGGTTCAGGATGGAAGTCGAGAATGCCGCGGGGACGTACATGTTCTGCCACGACCCGGAAACCTGGGTGAAGCTCTGGGACGGGGAGATCTTCCCGAAGGGGACCGTCGAGGTCAAGGCCGAGCTCGTATACCCCGAGAAGCCGGACTCGCTCGGATTCAAGTTTGCCAAACTCATCTGGTCGGTGAAGAGGCTGCAGTGATGCACGCCGACCTTTACCTGCAGGAATATGGCTTTATGGCTTCGTCGGATACCAGGGACCGTCCCCGGCATATACTTTGTACTTACTGTAGGATGCCATGTATGATGTCATAGGTCATCGTACCGAAGTGCATCGCTACCCAGCATGTCTTGAAGTGCAACTCTGTCGACCATGCCTACGACCAGACGTCAAGCGAAAGCTGCTCTGGAGACCAAAGCTTCGAAGGAACAGGAAAAAGAAGAGGAGCTCGACGTTGGTGAGAAGCGACCCGCGGAAGAGACGGAAGCACCCGAGGAAGAAGAACCACCCGCAAAAAAGACCAAGAAAGAGGAGGAAGATGATGAACAAGAAAATGGCGCTGGAGACATGGAGGTCGATGACAATGACGAGACTGCGAAACAGCACCCACAGACAGGTACGGCGCTCTCGAATCAACTAAACAACGTCAACAATGTCAAGGCTCATTGTCGGACCTTTCTCAGGGGTGATTGAACGCGGTCATATCTACTTCTTCTACCGGCCCAAGGTCGACGTGGAGGAAGCAGGCTCCATCGACGACGTCCAACGATTCCAGTTCATCCTCGTGCCCCGTCCGCCAGAATCTAACGCAAACGCCGCGGTACCGCAAGCGGAGACAAAAGACAGAACCAGGAAGCGCTTCCGCATCGTGACCGTCGGCAAGAAACAACTGCCCCACCCAGAGGAGGGTGGCTCGGGTAAAGGCAAGAAGCGAGTATTGTGGGCTACGATCGGTACCGTCGGCGAAGACCTGCAGAAGCTCGAGGACGGACTGGATGAGCGAACGTACGAGACCAAGACGAAGGGTAGGTTCGATTGGATGTCGCATCTCATGTCCCTACAAGCTCAATGTATACCTCAATCCTCAAGGCGCGCGTCATTTGGAGCCAGCCAGACCTGCTGGGCGAGGCGCTTATGTCATCGTCAACAACGATCCCGAGGTACCTTCCAAGAGGGAGACTCACCTTGGGTACTATCTGTCGCACCCCGCCGAACCGGGAGATATCCAAAAGGAACTGGGTATCTATCAAGCATCGTCGTTCGTCTTGCAAGTGCGGAACCCAGAGGCGAATGTCAGTGGCCCGCCGGGGACCGGCTTGCCGAAGAATAAGAGAGCCAAGTATCCGGAGGAGATCATGCTGTCCGTCTTCGGGAAAGGGGGATCCAAGGGAAGAGAGCCGAGCGGCCTGCGCTTTACACCGATCGAACGGGTGGATCTTCTGGATTACGAGGGTGCAGAACTCTTGTTGATTGCAGCCCGCGGTGGTGAAGAGGGATTGGAAGCTTCGGTGGGTGAAGAGAACGCGAAAGGTGCGCCACGTATCGCAGATAACTATATGATTCGTGTCCTCACATCCGCGGATAGCGTTGGAGAAAACTGAAAAGAAGGACAGAAAGGAATCAATCGATGATGTGTTCAGAGAGTTGACCCTGGACATCGAGCGTTTCCCTGTGGACGCACTGAAAGGCCATTGGATTTAGATTTCGGGTTGAAACTGGATAACGATGGGCAAACTCGCCTAATTTGTCAGATATGCATCAGCTTGTTAAACAGAGATAATATCAATACATGGCGGTATACAATGCGCAGGTCTGGGTATCGTTGCAATCACAAGCGTACAATGTCCATCGGACGACATGTCCATCATAACGTCTCGCTGTCGTTATTGTCATCGTCTGCGTTGATTCGCAGTACCTTGACCCATTCTCGATAGTTGAAGTTCCCTTGGCGATCCGTATACGGCCCCTTGAGGAACCGGTCGATCTGGAAGGGGAGTCAGGAATGTCGATTGGTAGAAGACGTTGCTCATACCTCCTCCTGATCCATTCGTTCCCCAACTTCGCTCAACCATTTTCGTATTTCGTCGCACTTGACCATGCCGGTATCATGCTCGTCGAAGCACTCGAAAGCTTCTAGCAACTCCGCCTCGGTGTCAAACTCGAAAAGGTGTTCGCCCATCATAGTCAGAAACATGGTGAAGTTGATCCCTTTATCTCCACCAGCGTCGTCTGCACCGCTGACGGACTGGTTGCGGTTACCGGGTCGATCGCTGAGCAATGCGTCAAGCATCTGCTTGGTGGGGTTGATCCCTAGTACACTCATTTAGCCGAGCGGGGAACAAGCGTGTAAGAAATGCTCACCAAGACTGGAGAAGATCTCCTTCAAATCCTGTTCGCTGACCACACCATCGCGATCTTGATCTATGAGCGAGAATGCCTCCTTGAACTGTTGGATCTGGGGTGGTTGAAACAGAGAGAACACGCCAGACGGTTCACGACGCGCTCGAGACTTCTGCGCCTTTGTCAGTTTGTTCGGACTCATGTCCGCAGAGAGATGGGCAGGATAACGGGACATGGTGAGAGGTGCAGAACGCGTGTTGACGACGAGCGAGACACGGTTGTGGGTGGCTTGAGCCGCGCTGTTCGCCGCATCCGGTATCTGGTCGCATGTATGCCAGTGCTTTCTTTCACCGTCTACCCTCATAAACTCCCAGTCTACTCATGGCATCCACCAGACGCGAGCGGCTTCTAGCTTCGTTAGCCAGCCGACCGACCTTGGCGGCGACATCTTCCGATTTTGCTCTCAACGTGAGCAACTCGAATGCGAGCACGTCTACAGATGCAACGTCCCCGCTCATGCTTCGTTTCCGGCGTCCCTCCTTGTTGAGCACAAAGACTGGATACACTGCTGAACCGCTGATTCAAAGCCCCTTGGCTTCTGCATACAACCCACCAACTAGGGAGCCCAGCCTTCGCTCGGATTATGAAAGTGACAAGGATGCGCCTATGTGCACGGATAGTCCTTCAGGAAGCAGCTCTGAGAATGCCACGCCCCCGCTCGGTCCTCCCATAGACGTGGACTCCATCGCCGACGGCCCTTCTCGTCTAAAGTCAAAGAGACCTCGCAGCCCATCTACTCCGCCTCGATTATCTGCTGCAGATGGCTCTGCCCAGCATGCCCGACATCACCTCCGCCGGTTATCGCACCCAGTGAGAAACCATCTTTGACTTATGCCGCGGACAGGTCGTGATCTGACGTTGCAGCTCAAAGCACCTCGTTTATTGAGTGTACTTCAAGAGTCCCGTCCAGAGGAGAGCGAATATAAGATGGAGGCAGCGTTCCATAGGTTGGCCACCTCTTTATCCGACGTGCCGTCTCCCGCACGTACGCTCAGACCTCCTTCGGATCGCGGGAGGTACCCGGAAGAAGCCGTGGCGGATGAGCCCCAGCGAGACGATACCCCAAGCGACGACGGCGTGGACGACAACGACAGCCGTTACCCCGGCGGGGAGCCGATCTCCATTTCAAAGCCGGTCACCCCTGCCCACAGTGTGAATGGCGACGAGCAATACTTTGGAATATCTGAAAGTCCAAGCGCAGGCAGCGTCATGGACATCGATGTCGTACGTCCAGACTCGGATACGAACGTTGACGTCCCGGACTCACCACGATGTTCAGTATGGCTCTCCATCTTTATCAGCCGCACAAGCTACTCAGTGGCGCTATACGCCACCTCCGACTGCCAATGGTCCCGTCCGTTCCAATAAACGCAAATGTATGGTGGCTTACACGAGCTACATCCCATATATACTCATTATCTCTCAGTTACCGATGCCGATCGCTTCGAACCGTACCCGACCGCTAAACGGCGAGCAGTCTCACCTTCGTTATCGTCATTGCGAGATCCGCACTCGGCCTATCACAACCCACGTACTCCGGGATCGTCGCGAGGACCCATTCCGATTTCAATCCCAACTGGAAACATCAACTCGGGATTGGCATCCCCGACCATGAGCCAAGCTGCCTTGTCTTTCTCTGTCATTAGTGGTTCAAGACCGGTGAGCGTTGCTTCCAGCCCAACGGTTCGCAACATGATGTTAGCGAGCCCGGTCCTGAGACCGTCGTCTCGGTACAGCAGACGTGGGGAGGAGGACGAGCGTTCCGTAGATGGCGCGGGAGAAGGTGTTAGTGGCTTGAACATCGCATAAAGCGTCTTTGCGGTTTGGTTGCGCGTTCCTCGACTTCCAGCGGACCTACACTGCGGTTTGCACCATTTATGTACTTCTAGCATTGTCAGGTTCATTCACATATTGCGCGGGCCTTGGAACTCCGACCATGGACACGTGATACATACACCACTTGTAACTTTACCTTCAAGTTCCTGTCCAGCTCGGCCGTTACGCATTTACCTCGAGGCTCCTGCACGGCTTTCATACTCCCTGCTCCACCACTGCCCATATATCTGGGGTCCTTCTAACGACATGGATTCCACTACGAAACTCACGAAGAAGCAGCGGAAAGCCTTCGCGTTCAGAGAGCGAAAGACAAAGAATAAGAAGAAGGAATCCGATGACCCAGAGGAGCAAGCCGTTCCTGTCATGGAAGACCAGGATATGGCTGAAGTGGAAACTTTGGCGCCTCAAGAGAGCTTGGAGGGGGAGCCTAGTCGGTCGGTTTCTGCGAGGTCCAGAGAAGGATCGCAGAAGAATTCCTCGAAGACGGTGGACAAGGGCACGAAAAGGAGTCATGACGCAGAAGCCGTCCAAACACCGAAGGAGGCAGGGAAGAGCGGAAAGAAACGCAAGCACGATGAACGTGGGGTGGTGGAAGAGACTAGTGCAGTCGTCCCCAATCAAGATCCTGCCGAAGCACCAAGAAGTGCGAAGAAACGAAGGAGGGAGCAGGAAACTACTTCGTCTGCTGATGGGGTAGAGGAGGCTTCAAACCCTTCAAAGCCGCGGAAACAAAAGTATATCCTATTTGTCGGTACGCCCATCATCGACTCTACTCGCCTCGTTGCGCTCATGGGAAGAGGCAGGTAATCTCAAGTACACAACCACCAAGGAGGCAATTGCAGCGCATTTCTCTTGCTGTGGTACGTATATCTCCGTCGCTTCGATGATTATGTCGTTGACTCTTGTAAAGAACCGCAGCCTCGTATACGATTACAAACACCCAAAACAGACAAACCTAATATTAGACAGAAGACGAAGGGCTTCGCATTCCTAGAGTTCGACGAGAAGAAACCGCTCCAGCAGGCGTTGAAAATGCATCTTTCTGTGCTCGACGGCCGAAAAATCAACGTTGAACTGACGGTCGGAGGAGGGGGCAAAAGCGAGGCGCGCATAACGAAGCTACGAGAGCGCAACAAAGAGCTACATGCCCAGCGAGTGGGTCCGAGTCATCGCATGTCCCATCGTAGATCCTAATGCACTCCAATAGCAAAAGCGCATTGAGAAGCGGAATTCGGAAAGCAAGGAGGGCGAAGAGCATACTCGTCTAGAGGCCCCTCAACGTCATTCCAAAACATCTGGCGTTGAACACACGCCCGCAACCAAACGAACTTGGTCCGTACTGGAGGTTGATGACGGCTTGACACACCGCGGCGGGAAAAAGCATGCAAGACGACCTCAGAAAAACTTAGGAACTGGGGTGAACTCGATACCAGTGGGATGACCAGACTATTAGGATCCATACTATGCATACTCGTGCGATAATAAACAAAGAGAACGATGGTCCATGGTGAACTCAAGATACGAGAATAAATATGAGGAACTGGGATTATCAACGCCTTGTTAAGATGACCTGAACGGATTGACTCACAAAAACGATCAGTACGCCGAAAATCTTGAGCATCAGCCAGCGATTGCTTGATATACTGGCGTAGTATTTGAGAAGTTCTCGCTGTGCACCGCCAATATTCGCCGCAATATCTTGCGTATCGGCATCGATTCGCTGCACAGTTTCTCGCTGTTCCGCCACCATTTGTGCAAGCTGGGTGAATATTTGGCCGAGCTCGGCAATTGTGGACTCTATAGATTCTATAGCAGTGGATCGTGTTTGTATGTAGCTTTCCTGAAGCGGAAGGGATGAGTGGCGCGGGCAAGGCGAAAACCGAAACATGCTCACTTGCTGTTCCACAAGCTGCATCTGCATGAAAGCGCTTCCGCCAGCACCTTCCGTCGCTGTACCCTCTTCCGCCGTGACGAGGTCCATGGCAAGAATATCGCCATTTTGGGGAGCGCGGCCTTTTCCTTTGGTACTCAGGGCAGTTGTTCCACTGCTACCGTCTCCCATGGGATCCGGCGTGCTGGGGCGAGGTCGATTTCCGAACAGCAACGAGTCTGCAAGCTACGTTACAACAAATTACCGATAAACTTGTGAGTTGAACACTCACTGGTCGGCGCCTGCGTAGCAGCCGTGCTGGTGGAATGCATGAATTGCTGTGTTCGATCCTGCGATTCTTTCATGTTCTAGAGGACAATTAGTCTGCTCGCCTGTGATGAGAAAGAGTGATATTGCGCGTACTTGTGTACGCAATTCCAGCACGTCTTTGAATGCCATACTCGTGTTTGCCAACTTGCTCTGCAGGAGCATGACGACATTATGGTGATGCTCGTCTATATGTTTGCTCTCGGCCGACTTGGAGCCTTGAGCATTGCGTTGCTTGATGACTGCCTGTAGTGTTGCTATCTGCTTGTTGAGGTTGGCAATGTCTTGTTTGATGATGTAGGTGAGTTCCTGCGAGCGCCCCGTTAGCAAGAGCCTGCAGTATGAATGCAAGGATCAGTACATACACTGATTTCCACAGGCCGATCATCAAACAAAGTCTTTCGTTTCGCCACTTGTCCCGTTCAGTATCGCCGTCACCAAATGGTTCCAATGATACTCACGTTGAGCCAGCTTCCCGAGTTTGATATTGGTGCTGTTGATGTCCTTGCCAATGGCCTGTGCCATCTGCGCTAATTCACTCTTGCCCGTCCCTCTACCATTCTGAAGCAGCCTTTGACGTGCCTCTGCACGTAAGGGTATAGAAGACCTGCTTCGTATGGAATCCATGCAGGCGAAGAATTCCTTGGTCCGGTCCTGCACAGGCATCTTGGCAACTCGCGGAGCGCTTCCTGGGTATGTGTGACCAAGTGTGCGGAGATTCGCTTTCCCCACGAGTATGTGCTTTGGAAATCGCAGCTACACCAGTACAGAGCAATGTCAGTCGCAGCTTTCGCCGCCGACAGACGTGGAGGGCGGAACGCAGCACGTGATACTTTGACACGACAGGCGCCGCGGTACGGGTGCTCAAGTTACAGGTGACGTACATTGTCTGCACCTTTCGCTACCGCATGCTTGGTCGTAAATCGTGTATTTCAGCCTCCAAACGAGCCCTACACATCAGGCCCTCCGCTGTCCCCCCGTCGATCTTCTTTGCACGCTATCATCACTGTAATCCCCCTCGCAGCGACTTTCCTGGTCTAAAAATGGCTATGCCTCCTGCGAAAGGTCTTCAGCACGAGAAGAACAAAGTCCTCGTCATGGGTGCCGGGAATTTCGGCTCATGTCTAGCGGACCATCTCGCCGACTCTGAGCATGATGTCTTGCTTTGGTCCAGAGATGGCGCTCAAGTGGAATACTTCAACCAGCACCATAGGAATTCACAATACCTTCAGGACCATCAGTTCTCCATCCGCATCAATGCCATTGGGCCTGAACTTCCCGAAGCATCCGTTATATCGGGAGTGGACGTGATGCTCTTTGCGATTCCGACGGAGGGTGTAAGGTGAGCTTGTTTGTTCGTTATAACCGGAATGCGGCATAAGGACAAATTAGAGAAACGTTGAAGAACCTTCGGCCGCGGATCAACCCAGAAAAGTTGCCTCTGTTTATATTCGTCAACAAGGGTATCGAGACCAAAACGCGTGCCTTGACCCTAGAGATCATTGCGGATACTCTGGGGAGCGACGTCGCATCCGTTGCCACATTTATCGTGAGTTTTCATAGGATAATCTTAAGCATATATCTTTCATCATTTTACAGTCTGGACCCTCATTTGCGAAGGAAAGTGAGACCCTGTTCCTCTATGGCACATAGAGTGAAACTGAACTTTCTTGATTAGTCGTCAAGCGCCAACCAACATCTGTTACCGTGGCGTCGCTCTCCATGACGCACGCTGAGAAAGCGTCCCAGGTGTTCCATCAACCGTGGTTCCGCTGGTAGGGAGCGCAATTCGCAGCTTCATACCTCGACTTCATTAAGTTCATCAGTTACATCGGCGAGGATCCGATAGGCATCGAACTTGCAGGCGCTCTGAAGAACGTTTATGCCATTGCCACCGGAACTGCGGACGGCCTGGGTTTTGAGAACAATACCCGAGCAAGTCAGTATACACTTGAGAAAGCAGATCTGTAACCCGTGCTGATAGTGTTCCAGTGCTTATAACGAGGGGACTATCCGAGATGACTCGGATTGGGGCGGCATATGGGGCGTCCCCGCTGACCTTCTTATCTCTGGGTGCGACTGATGATCCGAGGAATAAGGCGCTGAGCTAATGACATTGCGGACCCAGCGGGGGTAGGCGATCTGTTTTTGACCTGTAGTTCTTCTGCAAGCCGGAATTACACGGTTGGATACCGCCTGGGCAAGGGCGAGAAGTTGGAGGACATTATCAGGACACTTGGGAGTGTCGCCGAAGGCGTTACGACCACGAAGGGGCTCCACGAGATCGTGCAAGAGTTGGGGGTCAATGCACCCATTGCGACTGCTGTCAGTAATCATGATTTCTAACCGCGTGCCGCCGGGATGTTCATGATGGATCTAGGTTTATGAATGCCTATACGAAGGTAAACCCGATCCCGCAATCTTGTTCCAGGATGCTGAGCAGCACTTGCCCATGCCCTCAGGGAAAGACGTGCAAGACACAGCGCGCTCGCTGATGTCTCTACCTTTCATGAGGTAGGGCTGACGATGCTGCCAACATTCGTTGACGATGGCTGAACAGCGTTGCAGAGAACTGGATTTGCCGCAGAAGGCTGAAGGCCCAGCCCTGAATTTAATGAAGAAGCTTGGGCGTGGGTAAAGCTGATGAGCATGTTCCGCCGTGTTTCGGGGTCTGTTCATTACGAGAAGATGGCGCAATGACATACGGCACAATGGGAGGATGACTGTTACTGCCTTGAGTCATCGTCCCGGCCATCCGCCCGAGTGCACCCGAGTTTCTCAAAGGACCTCCAATCCGTGCTAAGCGCGCGGGAGACTCGTCTTGAGTATCGTGTGGATGTTAGCACTGGCTCATGCCTGTGGCGGCGAGAATAGATGCATCAGATGCGCTGGGCCGTTGACCAAGCGGGAAACTCTAAAAGGCCCGGCGGCAGGGGAGCGATCCATTAGACCTGCCTAAACGGGAGCGATGCCGCCCAGGGCCGGGAATTACGTTAGATCGATGCGAGCACGTGCCCCATTTTTTTTGCTGGCGGCACAGCGAGTCCGGTCGTCCAAGCGCAGGCTTGCAATTTCTCTCGTCCGACGTACCTAACGCGTCTCTCCGTCCGCGGCACTCATATTCGTCTTTTTCTCCGCTCGTTCCATCGTCCACCGCCCAAATGGTGTCCGCTCTGTGGCAGGCAAGCGCCGAGGGCAACCTGGAGCTCGTCTCTGACCTCCTCAAGGATGCATCCAGCGCGGATATCGAGATCAAAGGTATGTGCGCACATCCCCATCGGCATCGTGCTCTTCACTCGTGTCCGTCACGTATTCACCCTCTCCGTCTCTTTCCCATCGCCCCTCGTCAGATCACGATGGTGTTACGCCCCTCATCGAGGCAGTCAAAAACGGCCACGTCGAGGTGGTCCGCGCGCTCTTGGACAGAGGTCAGACGAACACGGCTCCTTCCGGAACATGCGTAACATTCCGACTCTTTGCTCGCAGGTGCCGACCCCAATAACGCCTCGAACCACGGCCCTCCTGAGCAATACACTCAAGACCCCGCCATTCTGGAGCTCATACGTGCTGCACAGAGTAGGCTCGACCAAAATGGCGCCCACGCCCAGGGTTACGGCGAACCCCTAATGGAACCGCCCAAAGACTACTACGCCCCTCCCCCGGGCGCGTACTACTACCCTGGATATGCTGGGGGCCCCCCGCCGCCTCTGCCCGAAGGAACTATGCCATACTACCCGCCTCCTCCCAATGAACCACAGTATGGCAACGTGCCTCCGCCAAACGTCGCCCGCATGATACCATGCAGATTCTATCCCGCATGTCGCTACGGGTCCTCCTGCCTATTCGCCCATCCACAGGGACCTTATTATGGTCCCCCAGCGGGCCAATACCCTGTTCCGTATGACCCCATGGCCCCTCCACCATTCCCTCAGAGCTATTATCCCATCTCGCCGCCCTTCCAGTCTCCGAACGGCGTTCCACCTCAGATCGACGGTAACGGCCAGCACCCGACGCCCCCGCCGCCTCACGCGAGGTCTGGATCGGACATTGTCTCTCCGATTCAGACCCATTTCCCACCCATGCCTCCTCCTGGCCCATACAGTGCCGTTTCTCCTGTTGCCGCACCGTTCGCGGCGCCCATGCCGGTTCCGATGGGCGTGCCTCTCCCACATTCTCCTTCCGCTGGTCCCGTCCCAAATTCACAGTACCCCCACCCCCCTGGAGCCACCCCTTTCCCTGTCCAGACCTCTATTGGACATCCCCATGATGGTGCTCGTATAGAGGCCAACGGCATTCACTCGCCACCGCCGCATCAGCCTCAACTTGACGGATACGCTCCGACTCCTCATGGCCGTGACACTGTGTCACAGCATCGCCGAGGGAGCATGCGAAGACCGTCTTTGGTAGGCCGCAAACCACCTTGCGTGTTCTTCCCCTCCGGGCGATGCAGGAACGGGTAGGCCCTCTGTTCCTCTCAGATGATCGCCTCAATGATAACCGCTGTAGCGATGATTGCCGGTTCCCGCATGTCATATCGGATGGCAACAACGCGCATGGCGCTCCGGCATACGGCCACCGAGGAGGTCACCGGCCACGATACTCTTCGCATGTCAATGGGCTTGCTACCATCGACCAGAAAATGGCCAACATGTCGTTAGGAGATGTACGTGTGCTCTTTCGTTATAACACCACCTTGTTCCCTGATATCTGCATAGCACAACGGTCACGGACCTGCGGCTACGGACGGGATAAACCGCTCGATTTCCGCAGACAACGGCGCACGCGGCCGACAACAACCCAACTTTCGGCATCCCGGCCCTGCGGCGGGACCTAATCGTACGGACAAGCGCCCCTATGCGAAGCAGAGGGTGCCAGGTGCGGATGAATTCCCCACATTAGCGGGCACCGCACCCTCGCCCTCCCGTAGCCCCGGCATGCATGCACTGCCGGAGAGAACCGCCGCTCAGGTTTTGCAGGCTCCTGCGCCTGTTCGCAAAGATAGCTTCCGGGATGCCGCATCGAATGGTTCTGTAAACGGCTCCTCCGACACATCGTCAGTCAAGGTATGACGCTCATCACCCTGTTGAGATCTCCTTCTATAATGCTGATATTTTCGGTATAGGAGATTAAGTCCGCGGCACCCGAACCGCCTAGTTCTTCCACCCCATCCGTCCACTCTCCGGAGGCCCCTCCTGCTCAGAAACTTCCCGTCTCATTTGCTGCCGTAGCGAACGGCACCGCCCCTCAGAGTGCCGCCCCCCAACTTCCTGATGCTGCGAAGGAGGTCTCGGTGACCGCCTGAGACATCTGCACTCCTTGCGTTCCTTTTTTCTCTGGCACCTCCTTGTCTTGGTCTATCAGCTGTATTTCTGTGGTCTGTCCTCTGGCCGATTCGCATTGCTACCACAATCACTGCCCCTCTTGCACTACCTAACATCTGACACCCCACGTTACACTGTATCACGCTATCCGGGACTACGTCCGTATACATGCCCCGCACTATCACTATCACTATCACTCCGCTGTGCTTTCTATTTAGAAGCTCGCCCTTGTTTCCCACTGCTCTATTGGCTGCTGTTGGGCCCCATTCGCCCGCAATACCGATATTTACACACGTCGTAATCATTAGTCACCACTTAACATGCCTCTACGGGACGCTTACGGCTTCCATGTGTGAATGTTTTCTATGTGGACTCCGACCTCTGGCACGATCTCTCCTATCCGATACACGGCGGCATCGTCACTTTTACGCAGGGCAGCCAGCGCGCTGTCAACTTGGTCTGCTCCAACTATAACGATCATGCCGATGCCGTTGTTGAAGGTGCGGGCCATCTCTGCGGGAGCGACTCCACCGTGCTTCGCAAGGAAGCGGAACGCGGCAGGATATTCCCATGCGGAGGCATCGAGACGGCATCCAAGGTGTTTGGGCAGCACGCGGGGGATGTTTTCGGTAAAACCTCCGCCGGTGATATGGGACATGCCCTTGATGAGGCCCGCGTGGACGGCGGGAAGTAACTGCTTCACGTATATGCGGGTGGGCTCGAGGAGGGCGCGTCCGAGGGTGAGTTCAGGGTTCCACGGACAAGGATCGGCATAGCCGAGTCCGGTTCGGTCGATGATCTTGCGGATGAGGGAAAAGCCATTCGAGTGGAGACCTGAGGACGCGATGCCAAGCACGACGTCGCCGACGTCGATGTCGGGACGCGGAAGAATTTGCGATCGCTCAACGGCTCCTACAGCGAAGCCGGCGAGATCGTAGTCACCTGTAGGCGTGTTGATCAGAGCTGCGTCCGCGACGACTCGGGGCAAGGAAGTACGTACCGACTTGGTACATTCCGGGCATCTCAGCGGTCTCGCCACCAATGAGCGCGCATCCTGAGATCTGGCAACCCTTGGCGATGCCCTTGACCACTTCAGTTGCTACTTGCACGTCAAGCTTGCTGCACCCGAAATAGTCGAGAAAGTACAGCGGCTCAGCTCCCTGCACTATCAGATCGTTGACGGACATGGCCACGAGGTCGATCCCTGCAGCATAGCAGGTCGTTTAACACCGGTTATGACCGGAGCGTGGCAGGAAACAGTCGCTTACCGACGGTGTCGTGTATGCCGCTCGAGATGGCGACGTGCAACTTTGTGCCGACGCCGTCCGTGCCGCTAACCAGCACCGGGTCCTTGTACCCGGTCGCCTTGAGGTCGAACACGCCACCGAAACCGCCGATTTCGGCGTCGGCTCCGGAACGACGCGTAGCGCGCACAAAAGGCTTGATCTGTTCGACGAGGGAGTTGCCGGCGTCCACCGAGACACCCGCTTCCGCGTACGTCAAGCCTTTCTGCGAGGCGCTTGATGCCGACAAAGCCCTGTTGTGCCGTCATATGGGATTGGGACAAGACAGCCGAGCACGACGCACGTACCGATGAGCGATGTCACGACGGTAGGTCTTGCCTTCGAAAACGACTTTGTCTACAGTCGCGTATGCGGAGTCCAGGGCATCCTGGAGGGTATCGGCGTACGCAGAGACAGCGATCACCCGGCCGCCCGAGGTAACTAGTCGACCGCTAGAGGATGTCGTTCCGGCATGGAAAACGACAACATCTAGAAACGGGTCAATTGACCGCTATCGCGATCCTCTTCGGCAGCTTACTTTTTGGAGTATCCGGGATGGTGATCTCCTTTCCCTTCGCGTAGCTGCCAGGATAGCCTGCCGATGCCAAGACGACGGAGACCGCGAACCCGGGTCGAATGTCGATCCTAACGGAGTCGAGGCAACGACCCGCTGACGCCTGGGACACGAGGAATTGAGAGGACGGAGAGCAGAGTGGTAAAGGGACACACCAGAAGGATGGCAGCGAGATCTGTCTCTTCACCCAGCAAGAGCATCAACGCTTCTGTTTCCGGATCTCCGAAGCGCACGTTGTACTCGAGGACCTTCGGCCCGTTCGGAGTAAGCATGAACCCGGTAAAGAGAAGCCCGACGAACGGGTTTCCTGGTAGATGGGCGGCTGAGTATACACCACGTCTGCACAGGCATTGTAATGTTGCAAACCTTCTTTACGCATACCGTCGATGGTAGGTCGCAAGCAGTCCTTCATGATCTGGTTCATGATCTCCGGAGTGGCGACAGGGGCCGGTGCGTAGGCGCCCATGCCGCCGGTATTCGGACCAATATCGCCCTCGCCGATGCGCTTATGATCTTGCGCCGCGGGAAGGGGGACGACGGTGTAGCCGTCCGAAAACGCGAGGACAGATATCTCCGGACCGGTCAGCAACTCTTCGACGACGACCTCATCGCCTGCAAAACGACGTATAATGTATTCAACATCTACCACCCGGAGGGTATACAAGAGAGGTCGCGGACCTGCAGATCCGAACACACTGTCCACCATGATCTCCCGCAGGCCGGCAATGGCCTCCTCGGTCGTCTCCGGGAGGAGCACGCCTTTGCCCGCCGCGAGGCCACTCGCTTTGAGGACGACGCGGTGTCCGCACGACTGCACATATCCGACTGCCTCGTCCAATTCGTGCGACTTGAAGACCTTGTACGCGGCGGTCGGAATGCGATGCCGGGCCATGAAGTCCTTCGCGAACGCCTTGGATCCTTCCATCCGAGCCGCAAGGGCTGATGGGCCGAAGACGGGGATCCCGACTGTGGGACTTTGTTGGGACTGGTTCTTAAGAAGGTGGCACACGCGTCGCACCTTTGCGGAAATGGGTTTCTACGCCATCCACCAACGGCTGCTCGGGACCGGGCACGACGAGACCGATCTGGGGCACACCCTGAGGCGATATGCGAGACGAGGCACGCGAATCGCACGTACGTTCTTCTCCACGGCGAACCGGACCAACCCCGCAAAGTCCTTGTCGGATATGGCGACGTTGGTGGTCTTGGACAAGGCGGCCGTCCCGCCATTGCCTGGGGATACGAAGATGTGGTCTACCAGCGGCGATCGCGAGAGTTTCCAGCAGAGAGCATGTTCGCGGCCGCCCGCGCCGATGACCAGGACGTTGAGGGCCATTGCGATTAGGAGCAAGCCAGGGCTGCTCCGATGTTTTTCGAAAATTAGGATCTCCAGGAGTCATGTGACTGTCATTGAGTCCGTCCGGCGTCGCGAACCGGAACCAACGGGACAACGAGGCGTCGTGGAGTAGATACCGATCGAAGACGGTTTAGCCAGGCCCGGTGACTGTGGCTTGCGACTGGTTCACCCTCCGCGCGTTGGGGCAAGGGGAGTTGTCGCGGAGGGTTTAGACTGCGGTGGTCGAGGACCGTTGACTCTGAGGTACTAGGCAGCTTGGCGCGTTCGGGCGCAGTAGCGTAGCACATCCAAGCCATGAACACAGCGAGACACGGTGAAAGCGAAGGGCCGGGTGAGCAGAGCGTGTCTGCGTCGGAGCCACTGGGGACGGGCTCGGGACACATGGGAGCGGCAAGGCGGTGTCGACGTTAAGGACGAGCTCAGCCAGGCGGAGCCACGTGCGCTCGCGGTCCTCTGCTCGTCTCCGCGCCTTTGCAACGCATCCTGCTTCCTTCATTCGCCCTGCGCGCGCCCCTTCACGCCAGCTACGCCCCCTGGTCCGCCTGCAGGTCCCTCGTTCCCGCACCGTCGCGCCAGAGTCCCCCAAGCCAATGCGCGCGAAGAGCGGCCACCACTGATGGACGCCTCGCACCAGTCCCAGAAGCCCACTCGCACGCAGACGTCGCGATGGGGGCGTCGCAAGTCCGTCAGGGATGTCCCCGGAGACGGCGCTCGATCGTCCTCGTCTCTGCATCAAATCGACAAGGGGAAGGCGAGGGAGCACACCGAGCAACAAGACCCCCCACCCACCCAGCCACTGCCCACCTGGGCCCCCGTCCCCTCCATCGTCCCCGACCCCCTCCTTGATCTCCCCGCATGGTACCACTCCGACGTGTTCGAATGGTCTGCCGCCACCGCCGTCCAGTTCCGGAGGAAGTATCCGTTGCACAACCCCGTCGGTCCGCGATGGTATAGGAACCACCACCTTATCCCGCCCTCAGTCATCCACGGCAATCGCGCCCCTTCTGTATTCTCCCCCCTCTTCCCTCCCATATCGGTCTCTGGCCACGATAGGCCGGAACACACCATGTCCCTGCCGGTTCCCGTCCGGACGCCCTCCAGCTCGCCGTCGCCCTCCCCCAATACTTCCCAAGTCCAAGTCAACGACTCGGCGCCGACCAGGACGCGCAAGGTGTCGCACACGGGTCCAGGCGCAGATTCTCTCGATGCCTCCGATCCTTCCGGGATCAACTTCCACCATTCCTCGCCCTATGACATTGGCTTGAATCGAGAACGTCACGTCCATACCCAAGACCCTCCAGAGGTACGTGGCTTTACACACGCTGTATGTTCCAACCCTGATCGAGACGGCTCGCAGTCTACGTACGATCCTCGTTCTCGTCGTCCAAGCTCTGTCCAAGCGCAACGTCACAAAACCGTCACCCCTTCGCCACTATCTCAGTCCACGTCTGCCGTGCATCTACAAGCCGATAGCGAAGGCGTCGGTCTACCCCGCAAACTGAGCAAGCGTAGGACCGGCATTCGAGGCGTCTTCAACGGCCACGCCATCAACGACGTCGCTCCCAAGTCTGTCTCGGCTCCTGCGACGCCCATGGATGGGCCGGTGTCGAACCTGTTGACTCCTCCCCCGGCGGACGGCGCAGGCGTGCGCAGGAAGCTCTCTAAGCGAGAGAGCGTAAGGCCCTCCATCGCGGGCAGCTTGGTCACCGTGGAGAAGCGCGAGAAGCGGGGAAGCATTCTCGGCCGCCTCGCGAAAAAGTTTACGATCATGCGCAAACCCAACAGGGAATCACGCATCGAGGCGACAGAGAAGAGAGAGGACGAATGGCAGGACACCAGCGGCGCGCCGACGGGCACGACGACACCGGCGGGGCGGGAGTCGTCTCCGGAGAAGGGCGCTGAGCCGCGGAAAAGCGGGGAGATGACGAGGCGTGTACCCCCGCCTGCGGTGAACACGACGAACGCCGCCCCGAGAGATCTCGACGCCTTGTATGCAGGTCTCCGGGATCAGAAAGCCGCGCAGGAGGCGGCGGTGGATCGTTCGTCCATGTCGGTGCTGGACGCTCCGTACTCCATTGGTCGGCTCACGATCGCCAATCCGGACGCTCCAAGCTCGACCGAGAACTCCCCTGCGCCGCGAAACGTGCCGTTACCTGCGCTGTCGCAGCAGGTCGAGCAGGTCGCGCCGTCGTCGGCGGTGGCGCCTACTCCGGAGCAACCTCGCTCGTCGCCGCCGGCTGCTCCTACGCCGGTCGGCACAGCGAACTCGGATGCTGCACCTGCGCCCACTCCGGTACCGAACGTGACCTCGCCGCGGCCGCCGTCGCCTATGCTCCCCGAAATCCCCCAAGCAACCTCCCCAATTTCGGAGGCTGCATCGCCGCCCATGATTCCTAGCGAAGCCGGCGCGATGTCCCCGGTCGAGCATGGCGCATTCACGATGATGAGCATCCCGTCGGAGGTGTCGGTGACGTCTCCTCTCCCGCCGGCGGCTGTGTTGTCGGCAGCTCCTTGGGCGAACGATTCGCCGAACGATTCGCCGTTATCGAGAGCGTCCATGCTGGCCAATCCCCCTACCCCGCACCCGCCTACAGTGCCTATCCCTCCCGCAACCGCGCCCGTACCCACGTCTTCCGCGCCCGTCGTGCCGCCGATCATGACCGATAACGTTCGGTCCGTGCGGACATCGTCTCCCAAGAAACCATCGCAGGAGGAGAGGCAGAGGAAACGGTCACCCAGCAACGGAGAAGACGCGCAATCGCTGCAATCTCCAAGGGAGGAATCGCCGACGAAGATGCCCAAGTCGTCCGGATCCACGAGGAGCATGCGGCAGACCGAGACGTTCCGCCTTGTGCGCAGCCCTTCGGGAGGTAACGTACCCACAGTGGACGCCATCATGGCTAACGGCGAACAGTGGGCTGTCGTTGAGGGGGGTCATAAGCGGAGCAGGACCAAGGATCGCCCGAAGTCGAAGGAGGAGAGCGGGGGGCACAAGGAGAGCAGACGGGAGAAGCGGCGATCTGAACAGGAGGCCGAGGCGCGCGCGGCCAACGTTCATGCATCCGGATCGCGGTCGTCGATCCCTGCGGAGATGATGGTACGCGAAGATGTCCGCGAGCGGGAACACCATCAACGCTCGACGCACGACGTCTCGCGTCGTCGGTCGCGGGATATACCTCGTGGAGATAGCCGTGGCGCATCTCAAGGTGGGCATGATCCCTCCGCTTCGGGTTCTGGCGCCGGGCTCGAGCGGCGCACGTCGACATCTACACGTCCGACGTCTGAGCTTCCCTCTGCCGCAGACCTCAATGCCCTAAAGGCGCGCGAGGCGTGGGAGATGGAGCGTCTCTTCCGCGGGCGAAGCTTCTATCAACCGGAGCAGCCCGAGTCGATGCGCATGCCGTCGCCTGAGCCTGCGCAGCCGAACGGTTACCACCACCAGCCGATGGCGTACCCCGCCCAGGTCGGCTCCGGGTATCCCGCCACGCTCGGCTCAAGCCACACGTCGTACGTGATGCAGGCGCCGTTCCAAACCGCACCGCAGTCCGCCACCGCGTACTACGCCGTGCCCCCGCCAGTAATCTACCACCAGCCGCCGTACAATCCGCAGGACTACGCGAGCCAGCGCCGGTCCGTCTCTCCTCGCGACGATGTCCTGTCGCACCACTCCTACCCGGACCCGAGTTCTCTCGACCTGATACCCTCCGAGGCTGGATCGCCTCCGCCTCGCACGAATCCTCTGCCGGCACCGCCGCGGCAGTCGTCCTATAAGCCTCCGCCCATATCGCCGACGCACCCGGAGGGGACCTCTCCCGAGCTCAACCCGCAATACTGGAAGAGCTACGCGGGCCTCGCCGCCCACTGATGGATGTCCTTGTCTTCATACCCGCGATCGATTTCATCTTTGGTTTTATGCTACTAATAACGTTATATTCTGTTTGTTTTTCCTTCCCTTACCGGACCTAGAGGCATGTTTCACCATCACCATCATCCAACGATAGCCACGTCCCCACGCATTCACATCTGCCTTGCTTTTGTTTCCTATCTCTGCGGCCTCGGCTGCTCGGAACTATGGCTGTTCATGATGCAATCCCTTCCACTTTTTGCTGCAATTGCGTTTGATTATTCATTCCAAGGGATCATTACAAAGACTATGCTACAGTACAGTGGGAGTCGCGCTTCCGCCTTTCATCCTGAACCAACCGTTTTCATGATAGATGCGAGAATAAAACTGACCGATGCGAAAACAGTAATAGACAAGTATGGCTCCTTTCATACTACAGAGGCAGTGAGGATTGGAAAACCATGATGCGGACAAACACGGCATAGAAGCGTTTTTGGTCATGGCCTCGTGTAATCAAGCTGGACATGGACGAATGATGAGCCCAGTCGTCTGGCAACCGAGGGTACTCACTCACGGGGAAATCTGGTTCTGGGTAGTCGTCGAATTGTCGTTCACCGTCGAGGAACCTACGGAGGCGCTGGACTTGGCTTGACAGGTACATGATGATGATCTGCATCTTGACGTCGAGCTTGAGGGCAAGCAGCTCTTCGCACGTGCGGAGGGCCTGCGTGCGCGTGGAGACGAACATGTTGCCCTCAAAGCCGAGCGCCTTGAGGGCGTCGATCATCTCGCCAAATTCGGAACACCACGCGAGCACGCCGAGCTGTGCGGCGCCCGCTCGATCAGCCGTGGACATATCGCTCGCGAAACACGAACGGTCTGCTTACCTGACCGTACTGCTTGAATCGCTGGTAGAGGACGTTGGGCGCTGATTTGAGCGCAAAGTCGAACATCTCGTTCTGTTCGATCACGCTGGGAAGTGGAACGTATTGTTCCTGTACGGTCGACGGCGCGGACATGGGCGGTGGGGCCTTTTATTTTATTTTATACGTTGAGGACCAGAAGCCGGAAACGTATAGGTGGAGACTGGCACGTACCTCTCGTCGCGGTGGAGCGTCCTTGAACCATTCGTAGCCCGAATAGTCCATCTCCATGCCGAAATCGACGGTCTCTTCGAGCTTGTTGTTGCCGTATGCGTTCATGATGGGCGGGAAATGGGGGCTGGGCGGAGCGGGCGATGCTAGAGGGGTCGGATTCTTGGATGCGGTCTGGACCGGAGGAGTCGCGATTCCTTCCCTGGGCGAAGGCGGAACGGGAGATCGCGCCGCGGGGGTAGGGAAGGGCGATTTGTTCTTGATCGAGCGCTGCGTGGTGGATGGCGCGGGCGTGGCTTGGTGAGAGGTGGGGGACAGCGGTGCCGATGCGGGGAGCGGTACGGCAGCCGGGGACGGGGGAACTCGCAGGGGCAGCGAGGGGTGCTCGGAGCTGACTACGGTGCCCTGACGGCTACGAGTTGCGCGAGAGCGAGGCGGCGAAGGGGCGATCGGCCACGGGACGGTGTTGGCCGCGAGAGACGGGGGAAGGAGGAGGGGCGATGGAGAAGGGTGGCTTGACGGTGCTGTCCTGGAAGAGTGCGGGCTGGGGCGCTGTCGTACGCTGCGGGGGCTGGCGCCTGGGGTGACGAGCTTTCGCTTGAGGTTGGTGTCGATGCGAGGCGGCGGGACGCGGAAGGGTTGCGGGCCAACAGACTGCGGAGGAGTGCGATAATGGAACTGAGAGGGCGGACCGGGGCCGTTGGTGGAAGCAAATAATGCGATATCGGCCTCGAGCTCAGGGCCACGAGGCGATGCGGGTCCGGAGTTCCGGGCGAGGCGTCGAAGGGTCGAGAAAAGTGTCTGGGGTCGGAAGCGGTGACGGAGGGATGGTGCGGCGACGAGGCTCGGGCGGGGGGGATCCGAGCTCGACTTGGGTTTGCTCCCGCGAGCGCCTTGCTGCTGTCCGAGTGTTGTCTCAGTCGATCGCGGATCGTCTAGGACGATCGGCAGCTGCGCGTGGGTGATCTCCACAAACTCGTCGTCCGCGGGTGGTCCGCCTGCGCTGGTTGGCTCGCGCCGGGCCTGATACGGGCTGTGTCGAGCGACACGGTGGAACGGCGAGTTGGGATTGCGTGGTGGACCGTGGTGGTAGCCTGCAGATCTGGGTGGCTGAAGGCGAGCGGGCGGGTCGAGGCCGTTGACGGCGTGTGCAACGGGTCGGGCCGAGCTTCGCGTCGGGGCGCGGGGGCTCGGGAGATACGAGTCGCTCGGCGGAGACGTCGGGAAGGTTCAGTCCTCGATAGTGGACCGATGAGGGGACGAAGGGGCCAAATGGAAGGGTAATTAGTTTGCAGGGCCTCGTGTCTACCGTGCGGCTCAGGCGTGCTCAGAGTGCTCTTACTCGGCCGGACGCAGTGATACGTAAATATGGAAAGAAACCGTGGCTGAATCCTCCGGGTTTCTTGCCGTTGTCCCAGTCCGACTCGGTTGAACTGTTTCAGTGCTGCATGGCCACCAACGCTAGCGGTCCGAAACTGCCTTCGGTGCTGGTTGGAACACCTGCCTTGCAAGATAGTGCGTATCTCGATCCAGATAGCCGTCGCGCTACTGCACATGTGAACGTCGTCCATCTCATATCACGCTGCAGTACAGACCACGCAGGAACAACTCAATCCGGGGTTGGCGCGCAACTCGACGCCTGCAGAGTAAGCACGGATCTCTGAGAGACTCGCCGCCGACGACTCAACGCGTGTTTGGGACGACAGCACGCCGATATACATATGCGCACTGGACGGTAAGCACTCGTCGCACAGACTCTAGCGGATGCCAACAGTACGTTGAGGGATGCACAGCCTGTCATCGTCTGTTCCCCTCCCGGGATCGCCTTATGGCCCACCGAAAGCGTGACCACGATTCAGAGGAGACCGGGCATATCATCACCTGGAACGATCAGTAGTAACATTGTAACAAATGCCAGGGCACCGGCAGAGATCTTCGCTTTCCCGCCGCGCCACCGCGACAATGGCAGGACGGTGCGGGCAACAGCGCCCTGGCTTGATTGATGATCGCTGTGCCCTGGACTGATGCCGGCGTGGGCCACGTAGAACATGTAACAGCGATCAACCAACTGAAATTGAGCGCGAGTTGCTGGATGTGAGCAGGATGGAGAGCGTGAAGCTGGGTGCGAAGAGCAAACAAAGCCAAAGCTCGAGCCGAGAGCGCCATCAGCGAATTCGCTGTTGGCGACCAAGTCGACTTGCGACCAGGCTGGCCTCCTGCGGGACTCCTCCTCCTTCCACCGCTATTCCCCGTTGACCGTCCGACCATAGCCAGTCTGCCGTCGCTATTTGGTTCCAGGACACGCAGAATGTCCTTCTTCAGGAAGAAGAACCCACAGCCGCCCCCGCCCCAGCAACAGGCCCCCCTCGTCGGTCCCAGCGCGAGCGCCGCCCTCGCCCAGATCAGCAAGGACGCCCAGAGCCAGCAGGGCCCCCGCCCGCCCCAGAACGGCGTTCCGCCCGAACAGTGCGTCCCGCTCTTTCTGCTCCTGCCTTGCCGCAATCCTTGACGACGATGCGCCCCGCATCTGCGCGTTCGTTTCAGACGCGCCGCCGCCTCCTCCTCCGCAAATGGGCCCCAGTACAACTCCCAACAGCGCTCCGACGCTCGCGCGGGTGGCAGCAGCCCGAGCATGGCCGTCGTCGGCTCCCCTCCCCAGGGCAGCGCCCTCCAACAGCAGCAGCAGCCGCCCCAGCAGACGAACAACCCCCAGCAGCAGCAGCAGCAGCGGCCGACCTTCCCCTGGTCGACGAAGCGACTCACCTTCCCTCCGCCCGTGACGCTCCCCAAGCCAGGCGTAGCGCCGCCCACCTCGCCCTCCCCCTCGCCGTTCCCCCGCTATGGCCACGCCATGCCCATGGCCGCGACCGGGAACGGAGAACTGTTCCTTTTCGGAGGCCTCGTCGGCTCGCAAGTGCGAAACGACCTTTACATATTCTCGACTCGCGACCTGTCCGCGACGTTGGTTCAGACGGCTGGAGAGACTCCGTCGCCCCGAGTGGGCCACAAAGCTGCCATCGTCAGCAGCGTTTTGATCGTTTGGGGAGGGGAAACCAAGTCGGAGAGGGGCGTCAAGCCCGAGAAGGAGGACGACGGCCTATATTTGCTCAACCTCGGTACGTCCGGCGCCGTATCCGCAGGCTCGACGCTGACGGGGGGCACGCGCAGTGTCGAGAGAATGGACGAACGTCAACACTTCGGGTCCGAGTCCGAAGGGACGGTATGGACACGCCGTCACCATGGTCGGCTCCAAGTTTTTCGTTTACGGAGGCCAAGTCGACGGCGAATTTCTCGGTGACCTCTGGGCTTTCGACCTTAATTCATGTGAGTATAGTCTCCTCCGCAGACAGAGCCTGCTTTTGATCCCGGCCAAGTGCGTACAAGAGCGGCTTGGGAGCTCTACGAGCCCGCGACGGACGTGCGACCACCGAAAAGGACAGGACACGCCTGCGTCACATACGGCGACAAGATTGTAGTGTGAGTCGACCATCCATCCATTCGATACCTCCTGACACGGTCCTCGCAGCTTTGGTGGAACAGATGGCGACAAACATTACAAGGACACTTGGGTGTTCGACACCAATACTCGTACATGGACGGATCTCAAGTGCTCTGGATACATTCCCAAGGAGCGCGAAGGGCATGCCGCCTGCCTGGTCGACGACGTCATGTATGTGTTTGGAGGGCGCGGTGTGGATGGGAAGGATCTCGGAGACCTTACCGCGTTGAAACTCACGAGTGAGAGGCGTGTGTGCCACTCCGCCATCGGTCACTGAACTCGAACACTCCCCACAGCTCAACGATGGTTCACGTTCCAGAACATGGGGCCCGCGCCAAGTCCTCGGTCGGGCCACGCAATGGCTTCTCTAGGAACGAGAGTATTCGTCCTGGGTGGCGAAGCGCCGTCGATCGGCTCTGCAGATGATCCTGCCATGATCAATGTGTTGGATACGAGTCAGTCTGCCAACCGCACTGTTTTCTTCGCGGCACTCGTTGACCTGGGTGTTTGCCTGCACCAGAACATATCAAGTATCCGGAAACTCAGAAAGCTCCGCAAACGGGACAGCAGCAGGGGCAGCCTGTCGCCGACCCTCGCAAGTCCACAAACCTTGGTCGCAATCAGTCCGCCCGGGCGCAAGGTTCTCTTACCGATCTTTCTTCCACAATTCAACCCGGTCAAGGCCCGAACGGCGTCCGCTCGGAATCTCCTAGCGTCGAGCAAGTGGAGCGCTCCATGTCTCCTAATCTGCCCCGGCCGGGGGTCAAGCCTGCGAACGGCATCGTGCAGCAACCTTTCCCGAACCCGAAGGGCCGAGCGCCTCCGCGCCCGAGAAGATCGGACGATGATATTCGCGGCTACGAGTCGGAAGACGCGGTCACCACGGAGTCGGTGGCCCGAGAGCGCGCACTTTCGCCCGACCAACGCGCCAAGAGCCCCTCCGCCTCGGTGACTGGGAGATCAATATCCCCCGAAGCGGGATACGTTTCGGAAATGACAGCGCAGCCCATGAACATGGCCGCGATAGCACTGTCGAAGAGTGGCGGACTGAACGGGCGGAGCCCTTCGCCGAATGTCGATAGGAGCAGACCGCACCCCGATGCGTTTTACCCCGCGGGACAGGTGGAAGGTGCCCCTGTCGTCAACGGAAATGGCCATGGTCGCACGGCGGGCGGATCGGCGGGTAACATCACTGCGGACCTCATCCGGGACCTAAAGGCAAGGGACGCAGAAGTGGAGGCGATGAAAAAGCGGGAGCAGTGGTTCAAGAACGCTCTCGCAAAGGCGAGGCAGTCGGGCTTCGTGTACAGCGATCCTGGCATCGCGGAGAACGGCGTCGTCACGCCACCCCTTGGCGACGCGGGCAAGGAGCAGCGGGCTGCCGAGATCGTTCTCAACTTGCAGCAGCTGAAGGCTCAGATACAGGTGGGCTCCTCGTTGCGACTGGATATCCTTGTTGTCTGACGACTTTTCTCTCAGACCACGGTAGTCGAGCAGGCTCGCCTCGCGTCGGAACGCGTATCGGAGGCTGAGCGGGCAAGGTCCAGTGCCATACAGGAGGCCGCGTATTACCGAGCCAAGCTAGCGGCGCTCGAAGCGTCTGCGCCCTCCGACCTTGCTCGCGTCGAGCGTGAACGCGTGGCTCTGTTGGAGCGGCAGATATCGGCTATTGTGGCCGAAAAGGCTGCGCGGGACAGTGAGGTTGCCGAGCTGACCAGGGCTTTGGAGTCGAAGGATAGGTTGCACGAGCATGCCGAAGCGCGCGCTGCCGATGCCATACACCGTGCGGAGCGCATAGAAGAGTCTTATCAGCGCGTTACTCGCGACCACGACGATCTTCGCAACAAACACGCAACGGTTGAGTCGGCTCTGCGGGACCATGAAGCCCGAGCGTTAAGTCACCACTCGCTGCTCGAGCAAAAGGAAGCCGAGCGTTCTTCCGCTCAGACCCAACTGGAGGATCTCGTGCGCTCGCGTGAGCAACACGTTCGTGCACTGGATCAGGCTCGGACCGCCCTGGACGCGGCCTCTCGCCGGGCCGAGGAGGTGGACACGCAGTTCCAGCGATCGAGAGAACAGATCATGCAGCTTGAAGCAGACATGGCCGATTTACGTGGAGAACTCGAGACGCGCAATAGCGAGCTGGCTGCCGTCAGGTCGCGGCTCGTCGAGACGGAAGATTCCTGGGCGAGGTCTCGTGAAGAGGCGGATGCGTTCCGTGCTCTTACCAGCGGTAGCTTGGGCGAATTGCTGGACTCGCACAAGGATCTTCAAGCTGACGAAGACCGACTGACACGCGGTCACGCTGAAAAGATTCAGGCCATGGAGGCGGAGGTGGATTCGCTGAGGAAGATGATCCGGAACATGGAACAGAGACTGGAGACTACCCATGACGAGCTTGCTCAGGAGCGCCGGCGGAATCAAGACGCCGAAGCGGAATGTCTCAGTCTCGGTGCTCAGCTGGTGGGTATCAGGACACAACTGTCTGCCGCCGTGGCAGACAACGGGCGTCTTCGGAAAGACCTCGCTGCAAAGGACTCGGAGTTCGTGCTGAAATCGAAGGAAGCCTCCGAAGCGACCATACACCTCGGCATGCTGCGCAACTACCTGGCGGAGAACGGTATCGTGGTCGACGAGAGCGAGATTGGTACTACCTCCACCGGTGCACGAGTGATCGAGCTGGAAGATCAGCTAGTGGAGCGCGCTCGCCTCCAGGAGGATACCGAGCGGGAACTGGATCTTGTTGCGCGGCAGAAGCAGGAGGCGGAAGCACAAGTAGATGCGCTTTCCGCTCAGCTAGACCGTGTCCGCTCCACTCAGAGCCCTGCCATGCGTAGGGGCGGGGATAGCAACGCAGAGCTCCGCGCCGCGGAAGCCGAACGTCGCCTGGAGGAGACCGAGCAAAGCTACAAGGCTCGCTTACAGCAGCTCGAAGAGGATTACCAGCTCGCAGTGCATTACGTCAAGTTCGTTTCGAGCTGCTCTATCACGCGCGCGATTTCTAACATTTGTCAATATCAGGGGCACGGAGAAGATGATGCGACGCATCAAAGACGAATTGACCAAGCAAAAGACTCTCAATGGGAACCTGCAAGCCGAATTAGACGCTGTTCGTTCCGGCGCTAGTCCAGTTCCTGGTTCATCGCGACTGCGGGGCATCAACGGTCGGGGAACACCCTCCTCAGATGATAGCCACGAAGTCCTTCGTGGTCACCTGGTCGACGCACAACGACAAACACAGAGGCTCACGAATGACAACCGTGAGCTACGCAGCCGACTTGACTCCCTGGAGAAGGAATTGGTTGACCTCAGGGAGAGCTTGATAGCCTCTCAGCGGGAATCGGACGACAGGCTTTCCCGGATCGAGGAGCTTGAGCAGGAAGTGGAGCGCCTTCAGCAGTCCCTCGCTATTGCTCGTGGCGGCCACAACGAGACTCTGGCGGAGCAACTCAGCAGCGAGAACCTCATTCTCAAGCGAGAGAATGAGCAGCTGTCCCACAAAATCGGTTTACTCCTCGAAGTAGACCAAACCCCGTTCGGTCGAGATCGACCGATGTCCGACATATCTCAACGACGCGCAAGCACTTCCAGTTCGGAGAACGCGATCGCCTTTGAGCACCTATCTAATGAACTCGACGACTGGCAGCGACAGTTGGCAAGCTCGATGAGCAATCGTCGCCCATTGAGCGACCCGGATTCGGACCCCACGTTGTCCAGCCACTCTCGCGCGAGGTCGCGCTCGTAATGCTGATGCTCAGGAGTGTTACTCTCTATTTATCAATGCATATTTTCTATACCCTGATCACATCGCACGCTCTTTCGATCTTTCGGTCTCCGTATCTTAGTATTACCAGTTTTGTCTCCTTTGCTGTCACGTTTTGGTATATGCAACTACAATTGGATGCCAACCCCATAGACCGACATGACAGAAAACCCAATTCATAGGAGTGGCAGGCACTGCTTCATTCGACACCAGGATTTCCACTCGCTCTCTGCGTCCATTCGATGGCTTTAGCCTTGACAATCTCTGCACCATCTTCATCGCCGATGCTGCGCTCTAACTCCAGCCATTTTTTGAAGAAAGATCTAGATAAAATCGGTTAGGAACAGACGATCAAGGGGTTTCAACGGAACTCGCTTCGCTTTGTGACTTGTCATCTTCTGAGTCAGAACGCGGTCGAAGAGGTTACTATCATATCACAAGTTAGACGCAAGTCGAATATGATGAGCATGTATACGTACCGTAAGCCTTGGATATTGGACTGTCCAGCTTCCATGTCCATGTATATTGCCCATATATCCCACCGTTTGGAATGCGAGTCTACGATGCCTTCGAAGATGGTCCTGCCTCGCTCTGCATCGCCGTATTTATATTCAAGCTGAGCAAACTTGGATATGGTTTTCAGGTCTGGATGTTGCGCTGAGGTTAAGCGTTGTCAGGGTATATAGCAGAGAATACACCGACGTTTCCGTTTCTCGAGACTTTGCAGACTACGGGGGAGAAGTTTGCGAGCTTGCTCGTGTTCACCACGTTTCAAATAATGCTCCCCATACAGCGTCCAAACCTTGGAGCTATGCCCGAACTTCTTCGCTGTCCGCTTGTACTGCTCTTCTGCCATCTATACCGCAGCCGTCAGTCAGACTGTTCAGGGGCAGAGTGCACGATGATGGCGTACCTCGTGCTTGCCACTTTGGTCGAAAATGGAAGCGAGGCGCAGATGAATGGTCTTCGAGTCGTTGCTGCGAGCGGCTTCCTTGAAAACACTTTCCAGTGATTCGTCGGTTCCGTAGACATTCTCGAGGTTTAAGAGAGCGATCCACACGTTCAGTTTCTCTTGTTCTTCCCGGAAGTTGATCGTCCTGAGTGCACGACGCCCTATCTCGCGCGCCCTATCGACCTCCGACATCTGCAGTAGGAACGACATGTACTGTATCCAAAGATAGGACGAGTCTGGTGAACTGAGTAAGACTCGCTCGAAGTCAGCGGTAGACTCCGGCATCTTGTTGTGCAGATCGGCAGTCAGATCTTGTTCAATCTGCTTGCGACGTTTTCGTTTCCTTTGGGTAGCTGATTCATCGTTGTCCTCGTCTGCTGACGACTCCGAGCCCGATTCCTCGTCATGAGTTGCACTATCCTTCGCAGACCATTGAAATCCTCCTTCGAGCTTGAGAATGAGATCCTTCGGAGCGGATGTAGATTGTTCAGTTGAATAGTCTTGACGTGCATCGTTTGCACCAGTGGTAAGAGCTTCCACATCAACTTGCATGGTGTGGTCGGCATCGCTGTCGTTCTCAGCATCGTTATTGAAATGGCTACTCGCGACATCATTCATGTCCTCTTCGGGGGACACGGCCTCTTCGTCGATGTGACCTTCCGAGAGAATCCCTATGTGACTGCTCGTCTCAGATCCTGATTCATCACCTGACTCGAAATCGGCCTCTGTGAAGTAAGACGGCTTCAAGCCCAGCGAAATGCGCCGCTTTTCGTGATCGACAGAGAGCACCATAGCTTTCACTTTGTCGCCCTCACGGAAACTACGTAAGGCTAGATTCACGTCCGCATCCGGGTTATCGGAAATCTGGGAAAGAAGTGACCGACGTTCACAGGACACCGCATAGGACTGCTTACTTGAGTTTTGTGGCACAAGCCGCTCAGTTTGGATCCTTCTAATTCGATGAAGATGCCGTAGTCTTCGACCTTTTTGACCTTCCCTTCAATTTTTTGACCCTCCGTCAAGTCAGACAGCAAGAGTTTTGTTTTGGACCCCGAGGATGAACTGACAGAACGGAACGACATTTCCACCTGCTTCTTATCCTGATCGACACTATAGTTCTGTCAGCGACTGTATGACTCGATTCTTGAGACTGAATCCCACCTAAGTATCCGACCCTTGACGATTTGGTTGGGTGAGAACCGGCTCTTCCAATCCTTGACGTACTGAGAACTAGATTGAGCATCGCGCGACTCGAATATCGGGATCTGTTCGCATACCTCATCGAACAACTCCCGTATTTGAACACGAGCGTCGATGTTGCGCCCGAGCATGACGTACAAGCCATGTTCAGAAACGCTCTTGATAAAACCACGTATCGTTTGTCCGGCTTGCAAATCCGCGATGGCAAGGACCTCGGGGTCTTCTACCGTGTTGTTTGACGTTGGATCCATACGAGAGCGCCTCATAGACAATACCAGTTGATTCCGAGACTTATCCACCTCAACTACAACGGCCTTGAGGATGGAATCGACGGCCGGGAACGCGTTCCCTTCCTCGAAGTTGTCTGTACAATCGGTAGGATGCAGCAAACCGGTGATGCGCGCATTCAGCTTGATCAATGCACCCTTCCTGGTATGTCGAAGAACGCGACCACCAACGACCGATCCGACTTCGACGGTATCCATGCTGAGGGCCGAGCCTTGCGTCATGGGGGCCCTAACAACGGGTTTCGTTGCCACGATAACAATGCCTTTGTTCGCATTTCGTGACACAACAACCAAGTTGTTCAGCATTTCGCCGGTGACAAGCGAAGCGCGAAGCTGTGAGGCAGAAATGCCTCGGTAATTCGCAAGGTTGTTCAGAGATAATAGTCCCTTGGCTTGACTAGGCTTCAAGGACAGGAGCACGTTGTCCTTATGGAGCTCGGCGACAGAGCCAGAGACCACATCGCCTACGTTGACATCGGCAACGGGAGATGCAGACTGGGCGTCGACAGCCTGCCGGATGCTGGCAGTGATACGGCCGGTGGCGGGATCCACAGAGAGGATGCGAACCTTCACAGGCTTGCCGACAGGGATGGTGGCGGATAGATCGACACCCATTATGTCACTGTTCGTGTATCAGAATGATGTATAAGCAGGCCGAAAGCTACGGACCTTGCTTCTTTGCGGGGTACAAACGCCTTCAGGTTGTTGAAAAACTCAACCTGAAGGCCCTTGTCGGACACACGAAAAATTACAGCGTGCGTGACCAATCCAACTATAGCATCTTCCACTTGTTTGACGATTGGAAGCGGAGACTCGACCAGCGTTTTCTTCGCCGTTAACGAGATACGATTCCGTTCAGGATTGACGGCCAGCACGCGACACTTGATGCTGCCGCCTGGTTTGAACCGCTTTTGAGGATGCTTCAGAGTTATATCTGCATAATGATTTGGCCAAACAACGCCATCGACGTTGCCTGAAATCTCCACGAAGAGGGCTGAGTCTGTTAACTTCTTGACGGTTCCCTTGATTACCTCGCCAACCTCCGCATCGCGAACCTGAATGAACCTCTTCTCGAGAACCGATGGGCGTAAGGATAACTGAAGGAGCCCGTCCAACGCATGGTACCCTGTCACGCGCGCACGGTGAATCGTCGATACCCGCCAGGGTCCTGATGAACTGGAGAGAGCGGCCACATGATCGTCCGATACTTGGGAGATCTGAGGCATCGTTTCAGACTATACTCTGGGAATTTCTAGGTGTGACGTACGTGAACATAGCCGTTCGTGTCATCTGAAACCTCGAGCACTAGGCCTCGTTCAGGTTCTACCCGTATCACTTTCGCGGCCTCCAAGGTAGTCCCGACAGGGAAATCATCCTGCAGAAGTGAAAGCGGTTTTGACGAGCCATCGACCGCAGCAGCTCTGCCTTTCATGCTCAACGTTAAGATGTGTTCGGCTAATGATAATGCAAATCGACGGGGACTAGTAGCACTGAGATCGTATAAGATCCTCGCCTTGATTTTGCTACCGTTCTTGTACGTGTCTCCAGGAGTTCCATACGGTAAGTGGAAGAGGTCCACGGTCCCCTCAAAGTACCCAAGCACTTGGAGATTCAGGCCGCTCGGCACGACCGCCGTGATCAGGCATTGCACCATGGCACCCGGCAGGATAGAGGAAACATTGCTGACCTCCGACAGCTGAACTCCAGGAGTTAGTACATTTGGTGAGAGCAGCAGGCGCGTACTCACCGATACAGAGGTGAAGACTTCAGGATCTACGGACACCGTGCAAGTTCTACCACTCTTTGCCAAAGAAACGATGTTGACATCGACCACTTGGCCAACACATAAGCCAGCTTCTGTATTCCAGGGGGCTTGTTTTGCCGCCTCAAAAGAGAGAAACGCGGATATTCCGTCACCCATGCCTAAATCCAAAACGTAGCCGTGATCCTCTACACTTTTTATTGCCGCAGACAGTGTCTGTATTGCAAAGTCTCAGGCACGAACATGCGGGACTCATTGCATAGAACTCACAAAACCAGGTTTTAAATCAGCCTTGACGACGCCAGCATTCACTAGATGCGGGGCTACGCTGAGCTCCACTCTCCGACTGGCCTTCTCGAGGTCTCCTCGGCCTTTCAATCCAAGACCTGTGTTATCCGTCGTTCCAGGGGTGTGGATTGCTGTGACCACGCAGCGAACGAACTGTCCCACATGAAATATGTCGAATAACTCCGGAATGCGCGGCTTGTGCGGGCGAGAAGGGCTAGCGCGACTATCGGACTCCATAGCGTCGGATTCTGTCTCATCGCCTTCGTCCATGGCTTCTAAAGCGCTTGTAAGCTGAGAGGATATTTGGGTGATTGGTATATGTCCCATGAGTTGATTGGGTAGTGAAACTATGAGAGCAAGGGGTTGAACAGCTACTATTTGCCCAAGTATTTTCATCCCCGTAGTGATGCGCTGCATTCACGTAAGTTACACGTCAATGAGTCACCGTCAAGCAATGGCTTGCCTTGTAATTGAGATGCTCTACGCGTATTGTATCAGGCTTCGTAGCTTCCCCGCCTTTCGCCTTGCTTTTGATGGTTGACTTGCGTCCTTTAAGCGACTTTCTCGTGGCTGCCTCCTATAATCACTGATAGATCAGGCAATAGTCCTAGCCGGCGACGAGCGAAGCATACTGACCTTGAATAGGACTTCGTCTGCCTCCTTCGCTGCTTCGGCGCGGATGGTCTTGACCTCCATCGGAGTCAAGTTGGTACCACCGCCTCTAGGAAAGTCGACATCTTCTTGGACAAGCAAAGTAGAAGGTTGGTCTGATTTCTCGGTAGCACGTTCAGCCTTCTTATGCGATTCGTCCAATTTCGCTCGCTTCGGTTTGTTGGACTGGCTGGCTGCGTCCAATTGCCGCTTCTTCGTGTTGGACATGTCAAATGCAGAAACCAGCGATTATAAGGTTCGTCGATTGCGCCGGCAGAACCGTACGAAGCTTGGCCTCAGCAAAGGGAGGCGTTCGAAATTTGGAATGAGCTGCAGATCTGAGATTTCTTGTTGCCTCTGGGACCACGTGCGCCTTCCTCTCCTTCCGCGTACACTCACTTGGGGCTCAAGCTCGAGACTTCCAGCTCGCCTCCAGCACGCTGTGAAACCTTTTCGAGCATGGGTAAGTAGCGGTTCTTATTGCTCGTGCATTCAATCTCATCATACGCACAGACTACCAGGTAAACCGCACGTAATCATGACCCATGAGCGTGTCGCTGACTGACGCCTTCTTGTAGAATCGTGTGGGTTCGAAGTTCGGTGGCGGAGGTGTCGCTGGCGCATCCGAGAGCAATGTAGACAGACGGGAGCGCCTGCGCAAGCTCGCGCTCGAGACTATTGACCTGGCCAAGGTACCGATGCTCTCGGTTTAATGCCACTCTCCGTTAACATGCGGTTACAGGACCCTTACATCCTTCGCAATCACCTCGGATCGCTAGAATGCCGTCTATGTCTTACCCTGCACACCAACGAGGGCTCATATCTTGCCCATACTCAGGGAAAAAAGCATCAGACAAACCTTGCCCGGCGTGCGGCTCGAGACATGAAGGAGACGCAACTGATGGTTCCGCCTACTCAATCGAGTGTACAACGGAAAGTATTCCTGAAGATAGGAAGACCAGGATACCGCGTGACCAAGGTGCGCGACCGGGACACGGGAAAAGAGGGCATGATGGTGCAGGTTCATCTTCCACAAATCAAACCCGGGGTCATTCCAAGGCGGCGCTTCATGAGCGCCTGGGAACAGAAACGCGAGCCTCCCAACAAAAACTATCAGTACCTCATCGTACGTCTCTCTTCGTGTTATTCCTTGATTACATTAATCATCGTTTCAGGTTGCGGCGGAGCCTTACGAGACTATTGCTTTCCGCATACCAGCTCGTGAGATAGAGGATGAAACAGACGATGCCGGCTACTGGAACTGGTCTCACTGGGATCCCGATACCAAGCAGTACAGTTTCCAGTTCATGTTCCGTCTGCATTACTGACCGTCGCTGTTGCTACTGTCACTGTAATAATCCTTTGTCAAGTGTTCATTCCGTCACGTCCCTTGCACGAGTATTGAATTTGGTGAGAAGATACACACTCCAACAACTCGCACAAGTACATGGTCAGAGTGTTGCGATGCATGATAAGGACGGTACAAAGGATTTGTATCATCCCAGAAGAGGCCGTTGCTCTCCTTGCACCAATCTCTGCTGCTGAAACAAGTCAGGAAGCATCGCCCTTGCCTGCCGTCCAAACCCTATGAAGGGTCGTCCATTCGTCCCGGATTTTTGAACAGCAGCCACCAGCCACCCGACTCCGAACGGTAGGCAGACGAGAATGAAAGCGAGCCCGCTTCCGCCCCATGCGTAAACCGTCGACTTATGCTCTAAAGGCCATTGAACGCCTATCGTCCTGACCCATGAGCCAGCTCCGACCTGCGTGAATTCCGTGAATCCGCCACCAGCGATTCCGCTCACGCCGCCCTCACCGCCATCACACCAAAGGACCTGGCTCCCCATCTCCTCCGCACGGGCCAGGGCTTGTACCCACATCGCGACACCCACGCCCGTATGCCAAGTGCGAGCTGGTGCAAGGATCAGAGAGGGACGAGAGGGTAGCGTTGTGAAGGCATCGGGAAATGCGAAGTCCAGGCAGATGCTTGCGGTTACGGGAAGAGGGTGAGCCGATTTCGAACCGTTGGGGAAATACAGTCTCGGTGAAATGATGTGTACATCCGGCGGGTCAGGGGACGCCGCCATCGAGAACGACTCAGCAACTGGAATAGCCATCTGTCAGGTCGAGATCGAATGGACAGTAAAGATGCGGGAGCACTGACCCGGTATAAGATGCTGCTTATAATATTCGAAAGCGACGCCGGTCTGATGGATCAGGGCAAATCCATTGCGTTTTTGTACCACCCGGTTTTGCCCACCTGGAGGTGCAATCACCTCTTCGAAAGATATGCCGATATACTTTGATTGGCTTATACTTGCGACGGCCTCTATCGCGGCCCTTTTCTGCTCGGCGTTGTCGAAGCTAACAGCTCCCTCCGGCCACAACAGGATTTCAGCACGGTTTACGTACCGCGTCGTTTCCCTGACGAAATCCTGAAGGGTTGGAACACCGCCGACGGCGGGTGGATGTGGCAGTATACAACCGACAGACAATGGCACGCTGCCGGAGGTATACTGCGGCAAAGGGAGAGTGTGATGGTAGGATGGCACCATGAGGAGTAAAAGAAAAGCTGCAAGAGCTTGGACGTGTCGTGAACGTGAGGGTGAAATTGATTCGTTCTGAACGTCGGCACGATCGCTGTCCTGGGGGAACTCAATGTCAATGAGCCGTTCATGGCCCCTGGTAGGGCCGGTTTCTGTCCCAAGGAACCAAGCCGTGATGAACTCGTAAAGAATCGTGCTCCATGCTGCGGCGACAAAGTCCACCCCCATTTGGCCGGAGTAGGACCGTAACCAGGTGTACGGACCAAGACCGGCCATGGGGCTCCAGTTCAAAAGCCCCCCAACGGGTGAGAGCAACGATATGATACCCCATGTAGTGGCGTAAAGGAAAGGGAACAGTGTGATCTTGAACCATAATGGGCCGAGTCTAGCAGCCACACGATTGTCGACGACGACGATCACCACCGCGCAAAGCGATGTCGATAGGGAGATGGCCATTAACACCCCCAGCCCAATTGTAGGAGAGGACAAGGCGTTATGAGAGGGTGCCCAATACGATGCTCCGACGGCGGCTGCCATTGCGATCCAAAGCAAGATTGCACGCAGGATTGCAATCGATCGTGGCAGTATCATGGCTATGTATAGTCGCAATGCGACGAGCAGGAATACGATGGGGAGAAAAGAGGCTACAGGACCCACTGCGATCGATGCGAGGATGATGCTGGCCACCGTGAAGGTAGCCGTAGGATGGTGGAAGAAGGCCATGTCCACCATGGAGGACATGATGGTGAGAGTGAAGAGCGCAAGCTCAAGACCTGGCCAGCCAAAGACGGTTTATATAGATCCAGAAGAAGCTGTAGGAGTTACGAGACAGCCTTCAACATCCCGATTTGTCCGTGGACACTGCTTGAGGCTGGCCCACGCCCATATCCATGGCGAGTGCGGTTTACTCGCCACCGCCATCGAAGCAAGCGCCTCATTGCTTCCTTCTGCACGATGGACGATGAAGAGAACGAGTTGCGAAATCCCTTTCCGTCGCCGCCGTCACACTACACCAATTATACAAGCCACAACCTGAAACTGCTCACTCTCCTTCGCGAACGCGTTGGTGAGGCCGATCTCAACCAGATCAATCAACAGGAGGTTCTCGGCGATCAGGACGGCGTGCCAGAATGGCCCCTTGCGCAGCTCGAACCCCCCAGGGTTGACTGGATACTGCAAGAGGGCGTTTACGAGGTTTTCGGAGATACATGGAAAGTCAATGAGAAGATTCCTTCCTTGGGTGAGCTGGGGGGAAATCAATTGTATCCTGAAGACCCGGCTGCAGGCGAGTTGCGCGGCCATATGCCCAAACATCCATTCGTTGACTCCATGCCGTCACAGACCGGAGACCAGCACTGTTATCCATCTTGGAATCCACCCTTGTCACGTACTCTGCGCTCGTCAAGTCACTGGTCGCGCCTCCTCCACCTCCAGGATCTGACGTTCCACCAGAGTGGCAACGCCATATAGAATGGATCACAGTCCTCGCTCAGAATATGATCGCGGCGACAAATGACTTGCGACCGGTACAGGTACGCTTGACTCACCCGCCTTTCGGTGATGTCAAGCGCAGGTGTGATTATCGCGTGTCCAGGCCCGAGCCAACCTAGAGCTCATGATGAGGAGACAACTGGAATTGAGGAAGGAAGAAACCGCCGCCATCCACGCGTACGTCTCTATTGTTGGTGAGGATGCCCACTCATTCAATGCTAGGAAATGCCAAGAGCTAGAGGCCAAGCTGGCGGCATTTTGCAACATGTCTCCGGATCTTTCAGCGACATCAGCAACTGACGTAAGACATACTGAAGTGGTGAACGGAATTATGGCTCGGAATGAACCTTGGAGTCAAAATGCGGATGAAGCGGGCATTACAACATCCGACCATAAGGTACATTCCCCGAGCGCCTTATGTGGGGTACTCTCTGATGTATATCACTCTAGCTCGCGAGTTTGCCTACAGAGGACGTGGTATCATTGGATGACGTACTTCGGTGGGCTGAGGAGATTGGTTGAAGGACAGAGTATCATTATTCGGTGGATGTTCCACGGTTCAGCATAGCCGACACCTTCCTATGATGCTTTCTACTTTGCCGTTTTCAGAGTATCAATGTACTAGTGCGAGGAGGTCGCGGAGTTATAACGTACTGTACATACTACTTCGAATATGCGATCACATGTTCGAGTTTCAACACATTCTCGTGACTGGCACCGAAGTACTACTGGCTGTTACACTGATAGTCAGTCTTGAACCGTTTTCTCCGTTAACCGGTTCGCACTCAACGATGACAGGCAGCTAGAAATTCGAACACAGACAATGTCAACAAAGAAGAGGCCGGGCGTGTCGACCGCTACCTCAGAAGCTGCTAGGCGGCAGCTAATGCAGCCGGTGCTTTGCTGGGAGAGACGATGGGTGAAAGCAGACCAGGCAGCCCCAGGGTCCAATATGAAGGTGTACAAGTGGGTACGGACGGAGAAAACGCAGGTACGTTATCTTTATTCTCTTCAACATTTTCCTATCACTGAATCCCAAAGGCAGCAATTCAGCGATGACGAAGGAGACGTGGACGAACCCTTAGCGCCTCTTCCGGACGAGCCAGAAACAGTGGAGGTCGACGAAGAACTCGAGGAAGTTGAAGGCACCGCTCCGCCTCCATCTGCGCTTGCTACGGACACAGCGGCGCCAACGCCCATCACGAAATCTGCCGAGCCCTCTAAACCACCGTCACCGACGCCTAGACCTTCTGAGATGGACATCGAGATAGCGACGCCCGCCGAGCAACTCGATGTGTCTTTGGACCCTGAAGTCCTGGAACAATCTCTGAATCCGCCCGATGCTTTGGATGAAGCGCTCGCCCCACCCGGGGACGAATATGGCGCAACGAGCACGCTCGACGATAGTCTGAGCAGCGTCGTGGAGGGTTTGAACCCGGATGATCTCAGCAACGTGGACCTTTCGGCTCTTCCACCGGACGGCATGGCCTTCGAAGGCGCCCATGATCTGACGCGCATAGAGCAAATCGAGCCGACGGACGCCATCCTCGGGGGGTCGATGATGGATCAGTCTGGCGACCCCTTCGCTGAGCCGCGTGCGTGACGACGCTGGTTTGATACTCGGTATATCATGCTCGTTGAACCCAGCCTTATGTTTTGTTGACATACTGCTATATAGGCATCTCTATTGAAATTGTACATGAATTATTGCCGTGAGTCGTGTCTATGTGGACAGAGATAGGTTTACCCATCTATTCACATATGCTGCCCCTTCACAAGTCGTCGTATCTCCTGTTGACACCCGCAGTTGCGCGTATGCTTTATCGATAAGGTACACATTCATGGAAGGTCCGACCTGTGGGCCGCAGTAGCGCAGTATTCCGAGTGTGCGGCTTCGCGTCTGGTAAGTATGCGGTTATCCCTCGGAGTTATCCGGTCATACAAGGACTTAGACGGAGCGTACCGATTGCGCGACCGTTATATGCGGGGAAGGGTGAGAAAATGAATGTTGTGGGTGCGGGGTATCTGTCCGTGTCGCTTTCGCCATTGCTGCCCCTTTGAGTACATTTGCCGATTCCGCGGAGCAAACTCCTACGACGGGTGTGCCGTGTCAAGCGACTGGATGAGACCGCGATCAGAAGTGGGATCGTGCGTTCTCCGACTCCATCTCTTCCTGAAGACACGGGACACGCGCGTTCTGTTCTCATGATCGTCCTACTTAAACCCTAAGAGCCGCGCTCGGCTCCTACGCCTCATCTCGCCACACAAACGGCTCTATCTCTCTACTGCGCGTCACAGCCATGGACTTTGAAGTGCCCGGGGCTGAGTTACCCCACGTCCCCGACAACCTGACTATTCCACAGTTTCTGCTAGACTCGCAGCATGCGACGCGACCTCTCAGACCGGTGAACTCTCCGTGGCTCATTGAGGACGAGACAGGGAGACACATCGGTTTTGAGGAAGTGAGTGTTCATACCCCTGAGACTCAGCAGCCCGCGGTTCCCAAACGATCCCTTGACTGAACATCCTGAACTGACTACGATGCCACCCTGCCTCCACGTAGTTGCGAAGGAGGACATTCGGGTTGGCAAATGCTCTAAGCGTAAAATATGGTATCGGTGAGCCAACACCCATCCCTTGATGCAGGCCTCGACTCTGATACGCCTTCTTGACTGCAGGAAATAACGACGTCGGTCAGTAATCCGGTCATGTATGCTAGACGATGAACAGCTGTGACACCTTGGATAGTCTGCCTGTTCAGTCCAAACCACGTTGGTATGTTCAGTCCTCGCTTCAATATCGTGTCCGCAGCTCAGAGTACGTATTTTAGATTATCCCGTCGTTGTGTGGGCTATCCACCGACTGGGTGCCATCATCTCGTTTGTTTCGTTTACTGCGAGTACTAATAATTGTCTGAAATCACGATATACTAGTCCTGCGAATCCTGCTTACACTGTGGAGGAACTCGTGTATCAGTGCCAGGCCAGCAAGTCCTCTATGATCATGGTGCACCCCCTGTTCCTGTCCACGGCCTTGTCAGCTGCGCGACAAGCCAACATATCCTCGGACCGCATCGTCCTCGTGGACAGCCTTCCCACGTCCACCGGGACTAGCGTGCCTATCCACTGCCCTCCGACAGTGAGCGATCTCGTCGCTCATGGTCTCTCGGAGCCGTTGCGCTTCAAGGAGCCGCAGCTGAGCACAGGAGGCGGCAAGACGAAACTCGCCTTCTTAAGCTTCTCGAGCGGAACTACAGGAAGACCCAAGGCCGTTGCCATCCCTCATTACGCGGTGATTGCGAACGTGATTCAGATGGCGAAGCATTGGAAGATAAACGAGGATTACACAACTTGGGAAGAGAGACAATGGCGCGCAGGCGATGTTGCCATTGCAGGTCTGTTTGCAGCCGTATTACGATACCGACACAGATAGCTGACTTCATCCCTTTAGTTTTGCCATTCTTCCGTGAGCAAATGAGTGATATAGGCTCTCGTATTGTCAACTAAGTATCCCATTCAGACATCTACGGGCTGGTTGTCAATGTAGGTCGTCAGTCCTATCAAATACCCGTAACCTTGTTCAACATGATCTACGACAGCTCCATTACTGCCTCTTCGCTGGTGTAAGCGCACGTTTACACCTATCCGCATGGACTCGGCTACTGATCAGCGCATCACTCACAGCTCTCTATAGTCGTTGTACCAAAATTCAACTTCGAGAACTTCCTAGCAAGCATCGCTCGATACCGCGTTACTCACCTTCTGTAAGGATCGCGGGCGATATACATTCTCGGGCACCATACTGATCTGCGTTGCAGTCTGGTCCCTCCCCAAATGGTGCTGTTTTGCAAGGTGAACGATTCCCATGACTGTCAAGCTGGTTGTAGCTGACTTCAGCTCAGCACCCGGCCACGAAGAAATATGACTTCAGCCATGTTCGACTGTGCATGGCGGGGGCGGCCCCTGTCAGCTCAGAGCTCACCATGCAATTTACGAAGGTGATGAAGAATGCTTACATTGGGCAAGGTTACGGTGCGCGACGCATTACGCATGATATAAGTGCATTGACCAAGGCACAATCAGGTATGACGGAAACATCGACAACTGTGGCGGTTTTGACCCCCGACCAGAAATTGTTCACTCTCGGCTCTGCTGGCAAACTGATGCCGGGCGTCACCGCCCGTGTCATCAAGGAAGATGGTTCTCTCGGTGGCGTAAACGATGTCGGGGAGCTGGTAGTCGCATCGCCTTCGAATGCCCTTCGTTACGAGAACAACCCTGAAGCGTACGTTGAAATCCAGTGTCTTTCTGAGACGTCCGGTGACCAGTCTCATAGTACGAAGGAAACGTTCATGGAGGCAGACGGCAAGAGATGGGTGAGGACAGGAGATGAGGTTAGGATTAACGAGAAGTACGAGCTCTTCATTGTCGACAGAATCAAGGTCGGGGATATGTCTAAGACAGGGGCACATTGCTGACAACTGCTGGAACACAGGAATTGATCAAAGTTCGAGGCTTCCAAGTTGCGCCGGCTGAGTTGGAAGGGCATCTGCTTGACCACCGTGATGTCTCCGATGCCTGCGTCGTAGGCATACCGCACGAGTATAGCGGCGAGGTGCCCTTAGCCTTCGTTGTCCTGAGCAGCGATGCTGCGTCCAAGTTGAAGCAGGCCGGTACCGGTGAGGTAGAGCGACTGAAGAAGTCTATCATGAAAGTAAATCCTTCATTTTTTCGATGTCGATTACTAGTGAGAGTGAGCAACTAATCTCGTCGCTCAGCATGTCGCCGATGCAAAGGTCCACTACAAGCATTTGTACGACGTCGAAATCGTCTCCGAAATACCCAAGAATCCGTCGGGAAAGTTACTCCGCCGACTGCTTCGCGACAGAGCGAGACAAGCCAGAGCCAAGGTGGAGGTTACGAAGGCAAAGTTATGACGCGGTGATGTGCTACGGAGAGCCCGAATGCACGCAATACCATGGAACTAGCACTCCTTCGCAGAGCAGTAGTAGCTCGAATGACCGTTGACGAATGCAAGCCCTGCCGTGTGGCTGTGTAATATACGCGCCCTTTGCTGTGCTGTTAGCCCGAGAGCCGTCGCGCCTCCCTGTTTCCACATTGACGCCCGTCTCTTCTAAGCCATGGTCAACGTACGGCGCGTAGCGTCGCAGGTGCATAAGCAGGCCGCGCGCTTGATGAAGGCCGACAATTACATGAAAACCGAGCCTGCTTGGTATGGTGCTGTACTGGACCACCCTCCACTCCCTTTACCTCCCCGGTCACCCCCTTCTCGTGACCGCTTCGACGCCGGACAACTGTCTCGGTCATCGAAACAACACGCCCTCGGTACCTCTGAAGTGCGCCCGGTGCCTGTCAAATACCTTGAGGACCAAGTTAGAAGACAGTTTTTCCGCGACCATCCCTTCGAGGCTTTCCGAGAAACGACTTTGGTGGAAAACGGGGAGCTGGAGCCGGAACACCCTGTATCAGGGAAAGAATGGACAAGGCTACGACAGAGGGGCCGAAACCCGAAGCCTGAAGAGTATGTCACAGTGTTAACTTGTATCGACCTTGTCTCAACATCGCTTTTGTTTGGTAGTGCTGTCAAATTTGCTGTCAGCATACACCAGCACCATAACGTCTCCTTGACCCAAGCATATGCGGCAGCGGTGGCTCAGTTCCGCGCTCTACGCGCTGAGCAGACAATCGCGACCTCAGTCGCTGCTATGGAAGCGGAGTCGTACGGCGCACGGTTCGGACACACGGAAACGGAACGCGGGTTCTTGCAAGAGGAAGAACACCTGAAATCGTTCGAGAGTCGGGAGAGCATCGATATGGGCATTGCCATCGCTAGGAAGCGCTGGAAGATGGAGCATGTGCCAGAGGGCGGAGAAGGTCAATGGACCAGGGGTAAGGATTATCAGCGACTATGGCAGGAAGGTGTTAGGCCCCGGTACACACCGCTAACGACGCCGATCGACGCCGAAACCGGACAGAGTCCCGATGCCGAAGCTGTCGCCGCTAGCGCAGACTTCATGGAGCTTCAACGAACGGATCCTATTCTACATCTGTCTCATTAATTATATTATCGTGCATGGCACAATGCAGATTATGTCTCGTCATATATTGTGTGATATGCTCATTAGACGGTGACAAGGTAAAATACAACAAGAGTGACTGGCTACACCTTGATCTTTGATTGTGCGGCCTGCGCGGCATTCATCTGCATCCATGTCTTCTCGACGGTCCCTAGCAACTTTTGCATGTCGGAACTCCAATCGTTCATGATGTCTTCTGGGCTGCGCTTGGCTCTAAAACTGACGATGCCCGCCGGCCGATCTATCCGTGCCCAGACAGAGCCAGATACGACCAAACGGGAAAGCGTTTCCTCGGTTTGCTGCCTTGACAAGTCCAGCAGAGATGTCAGCCGCTCGAGCGTGATGCGAGTGTAGTATCTTGCAACGACTCGGATATTCTGTAATTTGTTCAGCTTCGAGATCATGCCAAGAACGCATGGGATACTGACATGCTCGATGACACGATCATGCAGTGCCTCCCAGTGCTTTTCCGTTTCGAATACATGCGTCTTCCTGAGGAAGGGTCCGTACAGGGATTCAATACCAGGCCACCTCATGAGCTCCTGCGTAGTGAAGCATTTGACGAGGTTGCTGGAGCACGAATCAGATATGTGGATGAACAAGATTGCGACAATACGCACTACTGCAACTCCAACTTCGGCTTGGAGAGTGCCGGGTCAGCAAATAGTCGATGCAGCATGTCGGACTGTTCGTTGTCGTGAGGCGCCAAAACCACGTAGTAAACAATATGTTCCAGCGCCTGGGCATGTGTCAAACCAATCAACTGGGGACTATAAACAGAAACGCTCACAGATTTGCCCTTGTCATTCTCGTCTTCTTTGACGGACGGAGTCTCCCACACTTTGTGGTAGTACTTGGCCGCGTCAAGGTACGAGCTGTGGTGCAGAGCATGCTGGATCATAAGATCGTAGTACTTCAACTTCAAATCCTGGCGTCATCGTGTCAATTACTTGCAAAGTGCAAATTAGATGATCGGAACGAACCTCGTTCTCCTTCTCCTTGAGAAATTCTTCGTTGATCTTGCGCCCGCCGACCCGAGCTTTGATCCATTCTGCCTCTCCTCCGCTGCTCGAGCCCTTCTCCTCCTTCTCCTTCTCCGCGTCTTTCACCCTCGCAACTGCGATCAATAGACGCATTTGCTCCAGGATAAACTCGGTCTTTTCTCGTCGCTCCATGGACGAATAAGTCTCCACTTGCAGCTCGCTGAGAAGCTCAGACGCAGCGACAAGTGACTCTTTCGGGGTCGCCTTGGCCGTTGCCGCCTTCGATGGTTCCGCGAGAGATTCATGATGATGCGCGAGGAGAAGGGTAACGCGCGCGCGAGGAGTCTCGAGAAAGATCTGGGGAGACAGCAATAAGCTACAGTCTCTTATTGACGATGCAGACTTTGCACCTTGCCCTCAGTCACTGCTCGAAGAGTCTCGATCAGCTCCAGCCACTTCTCGTCACCGTCACGTTGCCGGATCTCCGGCAGCCAGCCCATGGCTTGCTCGACCAGGGCTTGCACGGCACCCTTCAGTTGACCGTGCTTCTTACTAAGCGTTGCTATGCTCGAGTTGAGGAGTGTATAATCGCGGGCGTTGTAACATAGCTCCGAGACGGTCTTGACCAGTCTAGTCGTTGACTTCAAATCCGAGGCCTGCAGGTGGCGTGAACAGTTGTCCGTGTTCGATGCTAGGCATCACGCACGTTACGAGTTTGCTTCTCTAGTGCAAAGAGCTTATCCAAAGATTCTTGGAGTTTCCCTGACTTCAAGCCCGGGATCAGTGTGGTGAATGACCTCCATAGAATGACCACGTACCTCCGCCAAAGATGTCGCTTCCGGGAGCAACGTATCAACCTCTGGAGTAAAGTCCCTCTCTTGTTTCTTCTCCGACATGATGTAGTAAGATTCGGTGTGGCTTGCAGCTGCGATGGCAGAGTTTCGGACGCGACTCGGACGCGCGTACAAGGTCGTGACGAGTTCATGTAGCCAGTCACGTGGCACTTCATTAGCCCGATCAAGGCGCTTTTCCTGCTCTGCTACGTCTCTCTTAGTCTCCAATCCGTCGAGGGCTTCAACGTGTCGTATCGTTTCATGGCTGTCATACGATGTCATAACCTACACCAGTGGCCAGCACCAGATTTACATGAGTTCGTAATACAATCCGGAGGCGATCAGAGACACACAGGCGAGACTGCCTCCGAAGCAGTCACCATCGTAGCGTCCGTCGCCTCCTTGAGGGGCCCCTCGGCCGCGGGATTTTCACTGTCATGCCCCTCCTTCTCCTCTTCTTCGTCTACGTGCATGACCTCTTGGGTGGTGTAGATGCGAGTCGCGCCAATAGTGGCAAGCGATCTGCTCATCAACCATAGGGAGAGCAGTAGCGGGGGCGCGATGAAGAGCTCCCGCATAGCAGCGAATATGTGAAAGATGGACGAGACAGGGAAATAAGATGGGTGGTGGCGGACATCCCCGGGGTCCGAGGACATAGATGTGTCGCTGGTGGTCTCCGATTGCGCCTCGCTCAGCTTGTCTGTCGGCAAGTCGTCGGTCATAGGAAGAACAGGCTTGGGTAAGGTGGGTGATTCCGGGTCAATCGAACGATGAGTGAGCGTAGGCGAGCCTTGGCTCTCTTTATCAGAGAAAATGAGTGTGGCATCGACGTAAGTGGACTGCAGCGTCGGCTCTGCTTGGACCGAAACGGATTCCAGAGGGGTTTCTGCTTGCACCGCCTCTTCGACACAAGCTGGACAGAATTGGACGCCTTCGTTCAAGGTCTCCGGCTCGGCGAACACCTCCTGGTTGACCGTGATGGGCCTCGCATCGACCGCCTTCTCGGCGAATTCGCGGGCCGGAACGAGCTCGAAGTCCTCCGGCTCGCGTTGCGCGTCCTGCACCGGCAACGAAAGTACTGGAGGTTGCGGTGCTGGCGGATGTACGGGAAATATATGCTGTTGCACAGTCATCTCTTCCACGACGGCGTCCCGTTCCATGAGGCGGAGTTTCTGAAGGTGGGGCAAAAAGTCCGACGTTTGCTGCCAGCCTTGAGCGTGCACCTCGATGTAACCTGGCCGGTTCTTTTCGTGGAACCATCTCAGAGATTCGAGGTACGGCGCGATGTGGCTGAGACAAATGGCCGCTTGCAGAGGATCCGTGATCCAAGAGTGTCCAAAGTGGAGGCGAAGCAGGGATTTCGAGGAGACAAAACGCGAGGCAAGGACGGCATCGCTGGCGCCGGCGGCATTGATCACGGCATGCAAGGTGTGCAAGTAATAGCAGTGCGTGGTCAGCGCGGCAACACCCTCTAGCGTGAGAGCAGGAGCCTCCCCTGATAGAGGGAAGCGAGCCGTCGGACAGAGCTTGAGCTGTTCAAGGGCGGGACAGGCGATAGCTAGGCGCTCTACGTCTTCGTCGGTGAATATGATCTAGGAGGAGATATGGGCAAATTTTTCATTCGGGGATAAAGAAGAAACACATACCGATGTCGGAAGGTCAAATTCGAGGCGTCGGACCTGCGGGAGGGTTGTGAGCCCTTCTAGCGGAAGCCGCCTCGTCGGTCCCACGACGTCTCCTCGAGACGTGGAACGAACAAGCTCTGGAAACTTTGAAGCTCCCGTGGCGCTAAACTTAAGCGACTGGAGTGCGTTCCCTACCCTGCCGCAGAGCGAGTTGAGCAGCTGGCGCCACTCGCCCTTTTCTGGCGGGTCCTCGATGACGAGCTCGAGGTTGACGATCTCGCACATGGGCAGCTTGCGCAGGAAGACTGCGAGTCCGCCGGCGGAGCCGGTGAGATGGAGCTCGCGGAGCTGGCTGTACGGCCCAATCTTTCTAGCGTAAAGCGGAGAAGACACGACGCGGAGGGCGGACTTGCGGATATCCTTGAAGTCAACGCTGGCGTCGTCGCCGCTCTCGGCGCCGACGGACTCGGGCGTCGACAGACCCGAGCCAACCTGAACGGCATGCATCTCGGAGAAGAACTGCTCGACGGCGCTGTTCGGCCGGCCAGAGAGATCAAGCTGCAGACTCCGGAGGTGCGGGAGGGATGCGATCCATTTCCCAACAGCGCTGCTCACTGTTCCCGGAACTGAGAGAGTCAGCTTCTGGAGCTTCATCTGCGAGCGCATCATATCGGTGAACCCGTCCGGCAGGTTGGCGGTGCTGCCGGTTGCGACGAGCGAGAACTCCTTCAGCCGCGTGCGCTCGGTCATCTTGACGATAAAGTCGTCGATCTTTGTAATTCGGATGCCGATGTCGAGATTGACGGCTTCGATGCGAGGGTGGATGAAGAGTAGCGAGCGATCTAGACCGGCTGGAGTGTCAACCCTCCAGGAGAGGCTCTTCAAGTTCGGCAGTATGTACTCCCGGGGACGCGTTTCCTCGATCACTGGGAATATAGAGGGAGAGACGTTGTTGAAGCTGGGACGACCTCAGTGCTCGGTTCGGCCCACGTATGCAGATAATCACCTTTCGACGTAACGAACGCTTTCGACACGTTCTCCGTATTCCAGCACCTTTTTCCAGTCTTCTTCAACAGGTTCCTTAGCCTGGTATAGGCCTTAGTAATCTTACCGAGTCAAGTATACACTGTACGTACCAGGCCCAAACCCGGGCGTTTGGCTCTTCGCAGGAGCGTCGACGGGAAGAGCCCGATCAGCGGCACGAGGGAGTCCAGCTCTCTCCAGAGCGCATTGAGTGCGGGCTCGCAGAACGCCTTACACGTCCTCGCGAGGCGCGCCAGACCGCGCTTTCCGGCAGCGCCGTCGCCGATATAGTCCATCATCTTCTGCGTCGCATCGGCGTCGCGCAGGATAGCGGGTGCAGCGCTCTGTTTATGCACCGTGTAGGAGCGATATCCACCACCGGCCGTGGAGGATGTGCGAGACGAGCCGGCGCCGTTGGCCTGAGCCCTCTTGCGGGAGTGTTTCGCCATGGTGGGTTCCGGAACAGAGGAGAGAGTAGAGTTGCGCTTTATGGAGATGCGGCGGGCGATATTCGCGAATGGGTTGGCGCGAGAGAGCGACGACTTGAGCGAGGACGAGACGGAGCGGACCGAGGGCGGTTTAGTGTGGTGGCTGGCGACGGAGGTGCGACTAGCGTCAGATGAGGTGCGGGTGCGGACGCGAGCGACTATGTCAGTGAAGATGGAGGGAGACATTGTGCGCCTCGGAGAGGGGGTTTAAGGGTAGTTAATGGGAGCCTCGTGCGTGCGGAGTGCAGGACGGGGCGTGGTTACGAGACGAAGCCCATGCTGCGGGTGAAGTGGATGTGCGTAGGTGCCGGAAGGGAGCAGGAAGGAACTCGGGCGGATTCGATAGGCCGGGAAGCGGGAAAGGGAGGGTCGATATGTCCTCATAGATGAAAGGCATGCGGTCTGCGTGCTTGATCGGTGTCTTCAAGATGCCAATAGAGCAGGGCATCGTCCTTGATGGATACACAGCTTTCCCCGCTGATGAAGTAACGCCGGATGTGTTGGAATGCATCTGTCAGGTCAGACGGAGCAGGAGTGCGTCCACTTGTTCGATGATGAACGTATCAACGAGAGGCAGTTAGTATCACTGAGGCCCGAGGGCTAACGTACTCGCGGTGCACGTGAGCGCGCGCCTCATTACCGTCACGCGTCGCGCCTCGCGTCGTCGAAACCAATTGGGGGACGGGAGCAATCTCGGTCTAATCTCTGGCGCCGTGCACATCCATCGCACAAGTTTGAGCCTGTATGGCTTTGACGAAGAACGCGCCGCATAATCTCGATGATCACTTTGTCCCTCTGTACCCACCGCCGGGATAGTAATGCGTCGTCACGAGAACCTCCGGCGATTAGATGTGCACACCTGAAGGGCGTGTTCGTAGTATACATTCCTGGCACTCCAGGATGCTGACGTTGTCATGCTCATACACGCGATCCCCACACGGGGTGCTGGATCATTGCATGACACCCCCCCCACCGGCGACATCTCATCGGGGCCGAATCCTCGTTCTGGTGATTCACGTACTCGCTTGACAGCCCACGCCCGTCCCGGCCCCACATAACCGCTCATACTCCCGAGTTGAAATGCGCGCCCAGTCATAGGAACTATAGCGCATCGGATTGCTAGGTAACATCTCCCTTACAGTTCGCCCACTTCCCAAGGAACACCCTCTCCCTCCCAATCTTCTTCTCCGGCCTCTTCCTCGTCCCCACTCTCTTCGCCGAGCTCCCCCACCCCCCAAATCGGCCCGCCCTTGTGGCCCACTCGCGCGTCCCCGCTCAAGACGCCGCGGGCGAGCTTCTTCTCCTCCCTCTCCTCCCTCGCCCCTAACCCGATCGACAACACAGATCGCAGATGGTCGGGTAAGTCGATCTCGAACTTGCCCTCCTCGCCCCCCGCGGTGCCGCCAAAGTCGTACGGCAGCGGGGACGGCAACAGGTCCGGGTCTGCCGCCGGGTCTTTCCGCGGGGTAAACTTGCGGGAGAACAGGCCGAGGCTCATCCCGAGAGAGGGATCGTCGAGGTCGAAGCCGTCGCCGAGCGCCTCCTCTTGCGTTTGCGTTTCGGTTTCTGCAGCCGCAGGCGGGTGCCGGTGCGACCAACTCCAGTCGTACACCTTGACCGCTGCGGGTTCTTCGTTGCTCTCCTCCTCCTCCTCTTCTTCCTCCTGCCCATCGTCCATTCTCGACCTCTTGGCATTCGCGCCGTTGTGATACACCGCACGCGCCTTGTACCGCTTTCTCTTTTCCTCCTCGGTCGGCGGCGGAGGCGAAGGCGGTATTAAACCTATGGGCCCGGTACTCTCGTCCGACTTTGGTCGGGTCGGGGCCTCTGTCCGTGCGACAGGCTTCTCCGTGGCCTTCCGTTTTCCCTTTCGTTTTGCAAGTTTGGCTGCCTCTTGTTGTTCTCTTCGCCGTTGTTCGGCGAGGACGCGTTCGGGGACGACTTCGGAGAAGATGTTATCCTTTCCTGGCAGCAAGGCACGGGGCAGCGCGGTGTTCTTAGCCGCATGTTTCGGCTTGAGTGGAGGAGGGTCGTCATCATCGTCATCAAAGACGCTTGTGCCGCGCGAACTGCTCGTACGCGGCACGTCTGGCACGGAGATGCTTCCCTCGCCCGAGCTTCTCGAATTGGACCGGCTTGTTCTCCTGGACGGTGAGTGAGCTTCTTCGAAGAGCAGCTTGAACCCTGGTGGCTGCTTCACCGGGGAGTCGTCTATGAACGAAGCTTCGTCCTCCGGCTCGGATTCGCTGGAGGGCAGCATGGTCGCGGCAGATCTGCGTGCGTGTGCCGACGGCCAAGCCGGAAGCTGCGTGTGGGATGACGCGAGCCGCCTGCGCTTGTCCTTCACGGGGGAAGGCGAGACCGGCTCGCCGCGCAGGCGTTTGCGGGCGCGAATGACGGCAGAGGATGGGCCAGCACGCGGCTGATCCTGGGCTATTCTTGTCGCGGGTGCAGGGTCGACCAAGGCAAGCGCGTCGGGAAGCGCACCGGCGAAGATGGATGCAGGCGGTGGCGTCCGGGCGGCAGGGGTGGATGGGAGGCCGAACGGGTTATCGTCCTGCTGCTGACGGCGGTTTGGGCGCGGTTTGCCTTTGGCGGGGGTGACGAACGGGTTCGGAAGCAGGGCGGGTGGTGGCGCTTCATCTCCGCCTCCTCGCTTGGCGGGCGAGGGCGGCTTGGGTTTGGAGGGCGAGAACGGGTTGGCGGACGCGGTCGGCGGGGGGACGTGGACCGCCCTGGTCTTGGTGGGCAGCTGCTGGAGCTTTGGGGGCGGGCGGGGCGGCGTCGAGGGCGGATCGGACGAGGGTGCGGCGCTGGCGGGCCTGAGCTTGGAGAGCTTCTTGTAGAGCTTGTACTTGTCGGCTGGGAGGACATGAACACGCGACGACGGTGCGATGAACGAAGCTCACCGATGTGCGGGAGGCGTCTGATGTCGTCCACGCCGGGCTCGCGTCCATTGGCCTCCCTGAACGCGCGCTCCCAGCCCTTGAGCTCTGCGCGGAGGCTGGCGGCGTCCATGGGCGGATGTCGGAGAGGAGACGCGTGCGTGACGGGTCACCGCGCACGGGCAGGCGTGACGTTGCGTGTGACGTGGCTCATTAGCAGGCGGTGACCGTGCTGGGCGGCTGGGCTTATAAGCAGCGGCGAGCAGCGGCCACGCACAGATGGCCCTCGACGCCATCGCCGAGCTCGACGAGCGCGTGTCGGTGCTGGTCGTTCAGGCGCCGGGCGACGACGTCGACGCGATCGTGCTCGCCGACGCGGACGCTCCACCGCAGGGTCTCCACCACCGCATGAGCTCATCGACGGCCCCGGGCGCTCGAGCTCTCAAGCCGATCCACCGCCCGCAGCGTATAATATCCGCGAGCGACGCCTTCCAGCAGCAGCAGCAGCAGCAGCGCCAGCTCGTGTCCCCGCCCGCTCCCACATTCTCCGCCAGAACCCCGCCGTCTTCAGCCACCGCAACTTTTCGCCTCTCGCCACCGACCATGGTCGTCGCCCAAGGCCGTCCGCCGGCCCCGTCCCACAATCCCTCGCCGTCATACGCCCCGCTCGCCCGCTCTGGCGCCCAGGAGGCCGCCCCCAACTCCGAGACCGTCGCGAACCCGTACTACACCCCCGCCACCTCGGGCTACTACGACACCCCGCCCCCGATCCCGCCTATCCACATCGCCCACCCCGACCTAAGACTGGTGGCAGCGTGCGTCTATTTTTGTCCTTGCGCAGCCCACCGACGCTCACGCCTTTGCACAGCTCGCCGCCTGAGCTCAGCGCCAGCGCCTCCTCTTCCTCCTCCTCCTCTGGCCCGTCTACGCCCCCGTCCTTCGGCGAGCCGTCATCACCCACGATTTCCGCTCACTCACACGAACACCGCTCCACCACCTCTCTCAACCACGGACACCTCAAAAATCCGAGCGTGGGATCGCTCTCCTACGCCTCCGTCCCCGACAGCCAACGCTCCCCGCCGCGGGGCTCACCTCCCGCTCGCACCTCGCGCGCCTCCGAAGCAGCGGGACCGGCACCCTTCCACGCACCGCCGCCCTCGATGCCCGACACCTCTTCACTCGTGTCCGGCGCCATGCCGGTAGTCACCAGCGGCTATCGCCGCCCGGATGCCCGCGCCGTTCCGGTTTGGAAGCCACGCGATCCAGGACCGTCCCAGAGCTCGCGTGCAGATCCTTCCGCCTCGCGCACCGCCGAGCCCTTTGCACGCAACCGCCACCTCGACCACGTACGCAGCCAGTACACGCACAGCGTCGCCTCCGGTTCAGCATCGGGCTTCGAGGTCCTCTCCCGGCCCTCGCGTACCGTGGCGTCCTCCTCCCGGCACCTCGCCCCGCCCAAGACAAACACTGCGCCCTCGATGCTCTCGAACCACACAGCTAATGCGTCCAATACGGACAAGATTGACCAGCTGGACGATACCGATCCGCTCGGCTACGCCTGGCACCACAGCAGTCCGTACGAGGCCGTCGGCTTGAATATCGGCAAGGGGCCCGGCTCGCATGCTCGCACGCGGTCGGAGGCCGCATCCGCGCTCAACGCCCCGCCGTCAATCGTGAGTGCCGCCGATGCCATCTGGCCCTGCATCACTGACGATGCCACTCAGCCTATCGTTCGCTCGCATCGAGTCTCGCCGTCGACCCACGCGCAGGAGGTTATCACGCCGATCGATCCTCGTCCGCCTCCGAGCGCCGCCATGTTCCCCAGCACTTCGAATGTGAATTACATCCATCCCGAAGACGCCCACGCCCACCGCGAGGGCGAATTCGACGTGTATGACGAGCTCGAACCAGAACCCATGCTCCGTGTCCCGCCTCCTGGCCGTTCCATGGCCAGCTACGAGGAAAGGCATACCGTTCGCGAACACGACTTTGCGCCCGGAGCGGGTCAAGCTCCTCAACACGCGCCCATCCTTCCATCCGGACCCATGGGATCCTACAAGCCCTCTGCGCATGCCATGCGTTCCCCTCCTCCGTCGGCGCCTTCCGTTCGCAGCATCGGCGGGGAATCAGGTTACTCGACGCCCGTGACCTTCCGCGAGGGCGGCGCGTACGCGTCCAGCGTGCGTTCGCGGGCGACCTCTGCGTCCGGCCGCCCACCACCGAGCCATCGCCCGCGCAAGCTCGTGATGCCGACGCCGCTCCAGGGCCATTTGCAGCCGCTGCAGGTCATCCCCCCTCCGTCATCCGCGCAGACGCCGCTCGCTCGCTCGAGCGACAGTGTCCGCACGCGCTCATCGGGCGAGACCTCACGGGCGGCATACGTGCCCATGATGCACGACAGAGGCCACAACCTTCTTCGCAAGCAGCGCGACTCGGACCACGACCACGGCTCGTTCGCCGAGCCCGAGCCGCCGGTCGTCGTGCAAGACGCGGGCTCGCGCTCGGCCAGCCGCGAGCGTGGCTTTTTGAGGAAGAGCGCCGCATCGAGAGATGCGAGTCCCGCACCGCCCGGCGCGGCAACGACCGGCTCGTTCACCAGCTGGTTCGTCACGCCCAAGACGAAGGAGGTCGAGCAGATCACAACAACCACGACGACTACCGCCACCAAGGCGGCCGCCGGCGGAAAGAAGAAACTCAGCAAGCGCCGATAACGCGCCGTGCGTTGCTAGACGTTAAGCCTATCTTACTCTTATATAATCCCTGCTTCATGTCTCCGTTATGTAGTTTTGTAGCTGCTATCGCTTGGGCCTCTCCCTTCACGCATGCCAGGGCAATTGGTAACGAAATTCTTGTGTATACACGACGTTTGACGATCGGAAGGAGGAATTAGTATGTTGTACTTCTACACGGCCAAAAACGTTTATAGATCTAGCAATAACGCCTGCCAAGCAAACATCAGTTCCACATCCTGCCCTTGCAGTTCCTTGACCCGCATCGGCAGCGGATATAGATGCCATCGGTAGGCTGCTCTTTAACCTCCTCCTCTTCCTGTTTCCGGAGTTTGATTAGCGTTGGGCTACAATCGATGTCAACGCAATGATCTCACGTCGTCGTCTCCCGGTACACCGGTATACGAGAAACAGATTTCCTCGTGAGGTTTGATGTTCTTCAGCGCGAAAAAGGTCAAGAGCGGCTTGTCGATATTGGCCTCGTTGATGTAGCACGGGACAATCACCACGTTCGGGTCGCACGAGTGGTTCTGAAAGGCTGGCGTGAGCATGAACAACGAAGAGGTCATGCACGGAGCGTACTATGAACCGAGTAAACTAAGTATATCGTAGAGTGAGTCGATCTCGGCTGGCAAGAAAGCGGACCATGCACGCACGTTGCCTGCGTGGAAGGCGTCATAGACATATATGGACTCCCACGTCAGCGGGTCCGGACCTTTGAGATACCAAAAGTCGATATCGAACAGGTACGTCCGGCCAAACTTGTTATAGAGCCTCGAAGGGATGGCAGGGTCGGTCTAGCGTGAGGCGGGGGACGAAGGAGCAAGCTCACCGGCCTCGCTCCTCGCCCTCTTCGTTGGTGAGCAGTTCGCCGGCGTACGTCCCGATGTACGTCCCGGCGGGGATAGCCTTGGAATCCGCGAAAACGCCCCATCCTTTCCTAGGCGTCTGTCGAACAACGAGTCAGCGAAGGCCCGCAACATCCAACAAGGTCGAGCCACCCGCCTTCATGATATTCAGGGCAACCTTTCTGCCATGCTGGACCACCTGAACCAAAGGATGAGAGGCGGAGCTTACGATGTGTCCCTACGCGTACCCGATTTTTGCACTCGTCGTAGCAGGCGCACCGATAGTTGCACTCGAATATAGGGTACTCGTGCATGTCCTGCGCATATTGAGCAGAGGTACTTCATGTGTGCGCAGTAAAACTCGCCTTCTTGAGCCTGCCGTTATCCTGATACATGAAGCCCTTGAGCCCCGAATTCTTCGTCATCTCGTGCTGCCGCTTGAGGCACGAGCATGTTATGGAATTTGGGTCACAGTATGGCTCACAGCTGCACCCCACCAGGCTGTCCGTGTCAAGAGGCGGAACATCCTTCCCATGCCAGATCCTGTTCGAATAATGGAATTCCGCTCGTGGCACCGGTTGGTTGTCGACGTTGTTCACGACCTGGATGACCGGTGCTCTTGGCTCGTCTGTCGTCCCCGTGAGAATGTTTGTAGTGAAAATCGAGCGCAGCACAGACGGTATGCGCATGTATTTGGGCATCTGAGTCATATACTTTTCGACTTCCCATTTCAGCTCGTGCGCAAAGTAAGTCTTGGGCCTCAACAGCTCCCTGGCCGCCTTTGAATCGATGACGGCAACAATGTGTGAAGGCAGCTTTCGACCCTCCCAAAAATCTTTAACCTCGGCGGATTTGACAACAGCAATTTGCGGACGAGAGGGCACACGCTTCGCAGCCCGTTCGTTTGATTTTGGCCGAAAGGACTCCGACGAGCGTGCAATCAACTTCTGGGCGTTTCTCTTGGAACGCCTCGGTGGCAAGGGAGCTTCAGAAGGCAAGGAGCGTGACGAGGTCTCCGAAGTATTCTACACGCGGTTAGACTCCTATCATCCCTAAGATAAAAGAATCTTGCCTCAGGCATGTCTTGCAGTGAGACAGGCTCCGAATCGACATCAAGCAGCGAGGTTTCCGTGGAGACCTATACGAGGTCAGACTCTCGGCATGACGCGCAATGGAAATTTGGGGCTCGCCTGAGGTCTGTCTGGCAATGAGACAGAGTCCCGATCAATGTCACGCGGGGAGGCTTCCGTAGAGACCTACGCGGGTTGAGATGCAAGCACCGGATAGCGAATTTAAGCTTGCCTGAGGCTCATCCGGCAACGGAACAAATTGCAGGGGGTGGATGCCTTGTGAAGGCACGTTCGAAGACACCTGTGGGAGGTGATTGATACCTTCAGCAGCTAAAGCAAAGAATCATAGCTCACGTCAGGCATGTCTGGCAATGGAACGATATCCTCATGAGCGTCATGCAAGTTTTCGAGCGGGTCCTGTAGAATGTGAGTTTCTCTAGAGACAGCAGAAAATCTGGACTTGCGTCAGGCGTGTCGGGCAAAGGAAGAAATTCCAGATCACCGTCATACAAGATTTTGTCGGACGAGCCCTAGTCGAGATAAATATGTCAATAACAGATCGGAGTGAAAACTCACCTTGGGTATATCTGGTGACAGAAACGTTCCCTGTGGCACATCAAAGGAGGCATCCGAGGCGTCTTGCCCCGCATCTTTCTCGTCCTCAGTCGGCGGATAGTGCAAGATCGCATCTTCTCCTTCCGATGCGGAGGCGACAGGCTCCGACGGGACGGGGAGCATCCCTCTTCCCTCCGAGGTTGTCAGTGATGAGCCCTCTTGCGCAGAATTGGCAGCGACATCAGTTAGAACGCTGGGCTCCTCAAGAGGACGAGATTCTTGCTGAATATCACCGCCGCGAACCGGGCTTCGTTCCGTATCGACACGCTCCGAAGTCAACGCCCGATGCACTGCCAAGCTGGACGGAACCTGCGGGGTTTGAATCCGCGCACGCGGTGCGCCATCCCTGTCAAACCTCCGGTGACTACTCATGGTCGACAGCATGCTACACAAAGAGCTGAAGATATCATGATCAAATGACAAGATCCAGGAACGACGTACCCTTGCAATGCATGCGTACTTTTCCAGGCATCCGTTCCCGGTATGTCTGACAACGAAGACTTCGATTCAGACGATCCGGAATCCGAATCCGAATCCAAAGTGAGGTCAATCACAAATCCTGGTCTCGCCCCCAGCAACGTGTGCGGGTCTTGCGCAGGAGGTGCAGGGGTAGCGCCAGTTGTGGGCAACAGATCTCGTTCGCCGATGGGTAGCACATCTCCCCGTTCAGCCTTCACTTGAATTTGTTCAGCTGTATCAATTGACGATAGAGCATCGGTGTTCTCTTGCAGGGCGGGACCAGTAGTCGGTTGATGGGTTGTCGGTATATGAATTGGGGCTGGCAGAACATCCTCCTCGTTCTGCTGCGCAAGGTGGAGTGTACCTAAGGGTTCTGTCGCAGCTGCTAACAAAGGTTGTTTGTTGAGAATATGGTTGAATGGCGAGACATCGGGTTTCCATTCCACTTCACGACGGCGGCGGGAGGGAATAGCGCTGATGGACCCTTCGGCACGTTTGTCCCTGAAGGGACCCTCTTTGGTATGCAGCCACGTAGACGTCTGGGTGAGAGTGCGCGACGGATTCTGGGTGGATGCAGGCGCAGGAGGGATGGCAGCATACGAGGGAGCAGCATTGACGGGTCCAATATGCAGTTTGTACAAGTCCTCCGTGGCTTCGGTAAGAGGGAGCGGATCCGTCGAAACGAATGAAGGATCCACATTCTCTTCGGCATCCGCAGACAAGGCCGGTTCGGGTGACGAGGAAACCCGCCGTGATGAAGGTAACGGGAGCTGGCTCTTGATGACTGCAGCATTCTCACTTACTTGAGACGTCAACAGCAATAAAATCCCTTACCTGGGTCCTTATCACGATGAATCATGGTGACCTCCGGGGCAGATGCAGGAGGTTCATCATCTGAGTCCGAGATTACGATGACGTCGTCTTTCGAAGAATGAGGAAGCATGCTCTTTTTTACAGGAGTTATCTCCTCGTCAGAGGATGCCAGGTTGATCATCTCGTGCTTCGTCCAGTCAGACTTGCGGGGCCAACGACCTGTATGATGCTTCACCGACGTTTTCCTACGGCGTTGTGCATCCAAGTCAGACGCAGAAACCCGACCAGGAGAAGTTGTCGAAGATATCCCTCCTGTGACCACGCGAGATGCGGAAGTCGATCCGTGCAGACGTTGCTGCTGTGTGCTGTTGGCCGTTGGGAGCGGACGCGTGGATACTTGATCAAAAGAGATGTAATTTTCAGGTTTGACAACTGTCCAGGATATCCACGATGAATGATAAATGGTAAACCGAGAAAGCGAAGTTGAGCAATGGAAAATAGAATACCTTTGGACGACGGGCTGCGCATGAACTCATCGAAGTTTCGAACACCAGGTGACGAGCTGCCTTGCGTCGAAGCGGCGTGCCGACGTGAAGCTTCCCGACAATCAACGCGATGTTTAATACGGGCACCCAAACTGAGCTTACGGGTAATTGGCATGCGATGAGTTACTGAGGTCTGGGACATCCTCGAAGGCGAGTGACTAAAGGTGTGTTTAGCTCCGTGCGTGATAACCGGGGATGGTTGGGATATTGTAGGTAACGGTTTCGGCCTCTTCGAAGGTCGATCCTTGTCAGGCGATTCGTTTGCAGTCCGTTTCGGTTTCCAGGACCGCATGCTGGCACTCAAAGTTAACTGCGTGCCCCGTGTGTTTTGGTGGATGGCCAGTTGAGATACCGGTGGTTTGGCACTCCGGGGGACTTGAGCATCTGGCAGAACAATCTCTATCTCTTCAGCCTCGCTTTCATGCTCATCTTCCGACGTCCCTTTGTCTTTGATACGAGTTGCAAAACAGGGGTTAGAATGAGTTGCACTGAACGGAAAACCTTCGGCGCATTCATTGATGACTACTCTGCAATGAATACGCCGAACGTATAATCTCCGTTACATACCATGAATTGACGACCGGGTAGGTACCGACGGAGACGTCATGTGTAGCGGGTAACGTCGAGAGCCTATGCCCTGGCTGAAATCGACCCTCAATGGTTGGCGAGCGCCTTTACGATGAAGACCTTGGGGTTTCGGCTTCTTCAAGTCCAAGTGCAACACTGGAGCCGAGGACTCGCACCGTAAGCTTTTGGTGTAAGGTGCACGTTGTACTGGAAGAGATGAAAATGCCGGAACCGTGGCTGATATATGCTCAGCCACACCCGCCCGCTGCTTGTCCTCCGAACCATCTTCATGACGGCAAAGACCCATCAACCATCGTCTAAGGTATACTCACGAGCGCTGCCATTGGTATCGCAAACTGAATTGTTCCCCAGTTTTACGTGGAAGATGTCGTCCATCGTAATGGAGCACCGCAGGACTACGGTATAATAACCGTGAGTATCCATCCATCGCACGCGAACTCAGCTTTACTCTTTCCGTTATTCACAGAGGTCCTGGAGTAATGAAGAAGAACTCCCTTTGGAGGGAGAGGACTCCGATGATCCCTTCCTGCGCCCGCTTCAAAATGGTGAAGTCGGCGTAACGTGGGCGCATCCGTCTGGACGCGACATTGTTCACGAATCGGAACTCGTTCTTGTGGATCGAGCTTTCGGACCCGGAGATCTGTGCAAACGCAATATAGACGACATACCCTCAGGGATAATCACGAACGTGGACTGCAGAGTCCTGCTTTGTCACGCCGTTGATGAGACGCCAATAGAAGGCTGGAAAACTATGGAAGAGCTTGAGGATCCGCAGGATGTTGAACTTGGCGATTTCGTGGTGCATGCCGATTGGATAGGACAGGTAAGCCACGAACAACAGCCAACCCCGATGTACCCAATCTGAAGATATTTGCCAATCAGATCGTCGAGGTATGTATCACTAGCACTTCCACGCGTTCGACTCCTCACCCTCGTTAAAGATGTTCGATGAAGCTATTGTTCAAGTCGAAGGAAGCCGCCGCCTTGTGCGCGTCCCCGAACTCAGTGCACATCTCATGGTTGGCGACAAGGGAAAGGTGCGTGCGTGGATATTGCTAACGTGGCTCAAGCTGACGTTACATTCATAGGATATTTTGCCGGAGCCCGCGTTCATGTTACCTATGTTCGGTCTTCATACACCAATGCCCAGACCGGCAGAAACAGATACAGTTCTGGACGTCAAGCATACTGTCCTAGCAGTCTCGTGGCTTGCTATCAATCAATCGGTCCGTTGTCTCTGGTTTCTTCAAAGATTAAGTCCGACGCAGTTTGCAAAAAGTTAGATCCACTCCATGCAGCTCAAAAGCCACGCCCACCTCGGTTCTGGTACGGGAACACATTGTCGCAGTTGACGTTGGTACGGTTGCGGTCAGATTGCACGCCGAGGCGTGGTGATAGAGTTCATCTGAAAGACAGCTCCCTCGTCCCTATCACCAAGCACGGAGAAGGAGATCCCAACGGTCCTATTGAGGTCAATACCTTGATGGTGCAAGACATCAGGACAAATGTTGACGTGCTGTGGCAAGACGGGTCCAGTCAACGAAATGTCCCGTCGACTTCATTGGTGCCATACCTGAACCCAAGCGATACCGACGCGTGGTGAGTGCTGAAAGGATTGTCCTGTTTCAGATTGCCGATGCTGTTGATGTCAGGCCTGGAGATTACGTCCTATGGAAATGCGAAGGTCACAGTCGACCGGCGGTTGTTCAATCCGTCAATGCCGTGGACCGGACTTGCATCGTGCGCTATATGGACGATCATACCCAAGACTTGGCATCGTTGCTTGAGTTAGATGCATACGGCATTGACGACCCTTCTGGTCCCATGTCTTCCTCGCATGAAGGACTTGGTTTGAGCCGCGGCGATCTTGTCCTCATTCATCGGGAAGGGACGACCAATGGAGCAGGGAGCTTCAGAGTGCCGAAGATTGGCGAAGTTGAAGATTGGGCTAGGGAGCCTCCGGAACTGGATGAGGACGGACAGCTGGTCGGGTGGCGAGCAGAGATGTATGGCATTGGCGTCAGCCTCGCGAAGCAAGGCGGAGCGGCAGTTCATCGTGATGGTCAAGTAACATCGAGTAAATGCTACGATGGATCACTCAATTGGCTTGGTGAAGTGATGGATGTTCGTGCATAAACACCTGCGTCATAAGCCCTCCCGCTCATGATCTGCCTCGTTTTACAGCTGCGTCTGGATGGTAGCGTTGAAGTTGGATTGCCTGATCGTACGGCCGCGGTGTTTCCCTTGGAACGTCTTACAAAGCTCTACGACGGCATGGATCAACTGGACGACATGTTCGATGACGGCCTTTCCATCCATTCCTCCGAAGACGACGGCAACGACATCCAAGTGATGGATTCCAACGGACAGTGGGCGGACGTGAACGAGGACGAGGACGGCTGGGAGGATGAAATGGACGTTGACTCCATAGAGGACAAAGAGACGTCCTCGATACCTGAACCTGCTGCGGCACCCACATTTTCAAAGAGGGACAGCGAGCAGGAGCCAATAGAAACGCCTTCCGACAAGACACGATCAGAGCAGTCTCAACTGACCACACCTGACGATGATATAACCAACTGGACCCGTTTCGCGCTTCTTCCGTCTGCCCCAGCTGATCACGCTTTCTATACGACTACTCCGGGACAACCATCTAGGCACTTTCTCTCGAGGCTTGCAAAAGAATATAGAGTGTTATCCAGCAGTTTACCAGGTGCGCGCGAATTGCCAGTGGCAAGATGTTAGCCTGATCAGATTTTAGACACTATACTCGTCCGAGCGTATGAAGACCGTACTGATCTTCTGCGGACGTTGATCATTGGTCCTGAGAATACACCATACGAAGATGCCCCCTTTGTGATCGACTGGATGTTGGAATCAGATTTTCCTCAATCACCGCCGAAAGCGCATTTTCTGAGCTGGACCCATGGGAACGGAAGAGGTGCGCGCGAACTGGTTTTTCTTGGCTGTGTTACTCTATGTTGATATTTTCTCCCCAGTAAATCCGTGAGTGTCGCCACTTCTTTCGTCGATCGTCGTTTCTCATCATGCACCGTCAGCAATCTCTACGAGGAGGGGAAAGTTTGCTTGAGCATCCTTGGGACGTGGTCGGGAGACAAGACCGAGACCTGGAGCCCCGCCAGGTCATCTTTGCTTCAAGCCCTGGTTTCAATACAGGGCTTAGTGCTGGTTAAAGAGCCGTGAGCACTGACATTGATCCCTTTCAGAAGCATGCTGATGGTGTATCCGCTAGCTGGTTCTGCGAGCCTGCGTATGAGAAACTCAGGGGAACCGAAGAAGGTTCGGTTAGCAGGTAACCAGTTGATAAATAACTTGGATCACTGGAGGCTTATTACCAGTTATAGCCGTCTTTACAGCGAGAAAGCATACGTGCTTTCCCGAGGCTTTGTCCGTCGTGCTCTCGAGTTGCCACCTACCGGCTTGGAGACCGAAATAAACTGGTTATACCGCAAGAAGGGGAAGCTTGAAAAAGTCATCCAAGATGCTCGAACGCTTGTCGATAAAAGCAAGTCGTCGATACCACCGACGGAGAAGGAGAATGACCGCGCGGTTGCACGCTTGACAGAAGGAGGGATCATCGCCTTGAACCGCGTTCTGGTCAAGCTAGTTGCTCAGGCAGACCAACCGAGGTCCATCTGATGTGGCCGTACCCAGGCAGTCGGCTGATTTGGTTTGAATTTTACCCTATCCCACGAATTTGTATGTATGCGCACAGTGAAGAGGATTACATCAATGACTCAAGCTCGAAGAGATCTACCGTGTTGTTCCACGCAGTTTCAACAAAGTTCTCAAATGATTGCTCCGCGCGTGCTTGACAAATAACCCAAGCGACGGCGCCGATGACGTTCGGCTCGTTGCGTCCTTTCACGGCTTTACCGGGTACGAATCTTTCAGGCTTGACGGATGGTGACATGTAGAGGTATTGCAGTTCAGCTGGAATACTAGCAAGATATTTCTGACTTGCGTGTGTTGATGTTAAAGAACACCACGGAGCATCTACCGCCGCGGTTGCATTTCACGGTGAATATCGCGACGATGAATATGACTCACCGGTCTCAAGTAGGATGCGAGATGTTGGGACGGATTTCACCGTTGCCACGTTCTCCTCGGTCTTAAGGCTGCACCCGTTGAAGCTGCAGGAGGTACAGTGTATTGCTCTATGAAGTATAAGATGGCGTACCCTATGTGAAAACCCATGTCTACCTGTAGAACAGTGCATAAACAGCGGGTGTATATGGATTCGGATCGTTCCCACCAGTTCTGCAGCCTCTGCGGCTGTCCCAGTGAAACTGTGTACGACACCCCCTTTCGCACCGACACTCCTCCCACCGTTGATCCCGAAGCCCTCTTCGCGGAGAATTTGGACGAAATCGGCATGCGCAGCGCGAGAATGCAAGAACAAAGGTAGACCATGTTTTTTTGCTAGCCAGAGCTGGGAACCTGAAGGCGTGGAGTTGAAGGTTTGATCTAGCCTATAGCAACTCAACGCAGACGGTGTACGGCTTACGGAAATGGCGTCGCTGGACTTCCTCGGGTGCAAAATGCAACCGATCGTAATCTATGAAAACGATCAATGGCTATTTTCCGTGGACCAGATCTGCTCACCTAGACCGCATTCGCCAATCGCAACTACCCGCTTCTTCCCCTTTGTATCCTCCTCTAATATGGCTTCCAGCGCCTGAAGATATGCCGCAGGACCGCCACCATACTGATCGAATTCTCGAGATCGAGTAGGGTGGCATCCAACCGTCGCGAATAGCTCTGTCTGATGTGCTCAATGCACTGCACCGAAAGGTTTAATGCAGATCGACCTTGTTCTTCGGCCAAGGCGAGCGCATGACGAGACTCGTTTAGGCTTCCACCAGTAATGATCATGGACTCGACCCCCGCTTTCCGAGACCTCTCAAGGACTGCTTCGAGATCGTCTAACAAGCAGCATGTGCTCTAACGAATATGCTCCCAGTGATGATACATATACCATACCGTCGTGTTTCCTTCTTCCGTGATATAGCCCGCGAAAGACGGGGTCCGTCAAGTTCACTGTGCATTATGCTATGAGTACGAAGCAACAGTAGTGACATGTCTCATATAGGAGGATTTACCACCGATGTCTGGTGATCGGGGGTTGGCTCATGGTTTGAACAAGTCAATAAATGATAGGTTCTTGCGCATGACTTGCCAATAAATCTGTGCTTGAAGCGACCACTGTCGGCATGAACTGGAGGGGACGACATCAGAAATGACTGGCGACCTCTCGGAGTATGGTTGCTTTTTGTCGCTCGTAAGAGGACAGAGGGCTTTAACATCAACCTTCGGAAGCTTGCCAGTGGGTTGCCGGAGCCCATGGTCACACGGCGAGTTACCCCATACCGGCAATCGTCTGTGCCGGTCCGCGAAGGGGTTGAGGGACCTGCGGTCAGCCACCCTGTTCTTGCAGTGAACGTCCACCACCACCATCTACCCCCAACAGGAACGTCTGGCATGGAGCGCATCAAGCAATTGACCTCGCATCTCTCTGGGAGCTCGAATGGCCTCCCTGCCTTGCATCGCAAGAGCCCGGACGACGTGGTCGTCACCATGGCCATAAGGTACGACGAGAAGCTTCCAGCTTCATATATTGCCGTCGAGATTTCTGATGTTAACATGCACCTCCACAGGAGTCCGCTGTGCAAGTCTAAGAAGGGAGGATTCAAGGACACCAGGCAAGAGTCATGGTCATCAATATCCGAGTTCGCCGTATTCACATGTATGCAGGAGTGACGAACTCCTTATAGAAATGTTCAAGGTATTGTTGGCGTACCCAAAATCTGAATTCATGCAGATTTGTCTGTGCAGAAAGTGATAGCGCACTCCAAAGTGGATCCCGCCTTGGTTCAAGATATATGCGTTGGAGCTGTCCGCATTCCAGATCCTGTGTTTGTATTGCATTATTGTCATGTACGCTCGTGTTCACATCAGCTCTGCAGGTATGAAGCTCGCTCTGCTGCACTAGCGGCGGGATTTCCGGACACCACACCCGTGCAGACGGTAAGCTCCCAGTCAAGAACAGGACTCGATATGCTGAATGCCGGCTCGCCAGATCAACCGGTTCTGTTCATCAGGTTTGATGAGCGTGACGACGATTTCGAATCAGATTCGAGCAGGGCAGATTGAAATCGGTCTCGCTCTCGGCGTCGAGAGCATGACAGCACAGTTGCGCAGCGCGGTCCACGTTTAGTCCAACTTGGATGCTCACCGTTATTCCTTATAGCCCGGACAAGCCAGCTTCACCTCCGAGTGAGGAGATTGCTGCACACCCGGTCGCAAAGGATTGTTCCATGCCCATGGGATGGACATCCGAAAACGTGGCTCAAGACTTCGACATCAGCAGGGAAGACATGGATGCCTTTGCCGCGATGTCATTTCAGCGCGCCGAGGCCGCTCAGAAAGCCGGTTATTTTGACAGAGAGATTGTGCCATTCAACGCGTATGCCCGGGATCCAGGGACTGGCAAGCGCTCTATCGTCGTTATTACGAAAGTACATGATAGTGTGGGCTAGACGAAACTTGATACTCATTGTTGCTGGCAGGACGATGGGATCAGACCTGGGACGACCAGGGAAGCGCTGGGTAAAGTCAAGCCTGCCTTTCCCCAGTGGGGCAGGGCGCAAACCACAGGCGGGAATGCGTCTCAAATCACCGACGGCGTCGCGGCAGTTATGCTCATGACCAGGAGGAAAGCGGAAGAATTGGGTTTGCCCATATTGGCTAAGCACGTCACGACGTCGGTGGCCGGTCAGTATGAGGTCGTTGCCTATTCAGGTAGTGCTGACAGCGTCTGTGTAGGTCTCGCACCGAGGATCATGGGCATCGGACCGTCCATCGGTGAGCCGGGCTTCCTCAAGGGCAATGAATCGCCATTTGACGGATCGCAGCCATTCCCATGGTTCTAGAAAAGGTCGGAATCACAAAGGAAGATGTTGATCTTTTCGAGGTAAAGCTGCACATTCTCTTCGGCCAACATCAGACTCAGGGCTTGGCAGATAAATGAAGCGTTTGCTTCCATGTACGTGTATTGCGTTCGCAAACTGGGCCTGGACATCGACAAGGTCAATGTGAATGGCGGCGCCATTGCGCTCGGACACCCGCTAGATATGTGCTGCACATTGATCGCTCTGGCCTGTTGCTGACACATCGGCGTTGGCACGGTGCACCGGTGCCAGACAGATCGCGACCGGGCTCAACGAGCTTGAACGACGAGGCGGGAAGGTGCGTGATGTCACTCCGGTGAGTAGGATATACCCATGACGATTTCGACACCAGATATTGGTAACCAGCATGTGTATCGGTGAGAGAGTCCGACTGCGTGCAGTCTATGAACAAAACTAACATGCGCCAGGGTCTGGCATGGGGGCTGCGGCTGTGTTTGTTCGAGATTGAGTTATCATCAACGGATGCCGAGCGCGGTGGTGCTCAGCTGTAGGAAGAGAACGTACACACGTAGCGAGGCCTGTGTTGGATTGTGTTGGGATGCGTCCTACTTAGTAGCATTCCAGTGTGATCCAGAAGTGAGAGCAAATGGCCGGAAGGTGTGCTAAAATGGGGGCCGAGACGTTGCCGTGTCCGAAACAAGGACGGGAGATCAATCTGGGGCTGCAAGTGTTCGGCGTGTCACAGGCGGTCTCAGTCCGCCCACAAGTGCCGCAGCCTCTTCACCTTCTTCCTCCTCGACCCCCCGACCCTCTCCCCGCTACATATACCGCCCATCTCGGATCTCGACTCTCCTTTCGCTCCTTAACTTCTCACACGGCCACGCAGTGCCATGGCTAATTACGACCCCCTCCAAGAGGGGTCCCAGCTCAACCTCCATCACAATTCCCCCTACGGCTCCGGCGATCCCTACTACCACCAGTCGACGGGCTATATCACCCCGATGCCCGCCAAAAAACGCCTTAGTCCCTGGATCAAATTTGGTGTCCCGGTCGCCATCCTCGTGATCATCGGTGTTGTTGTTGGGGTCGTCGTCGGCACCCGTCACAACTCCAGCAGCACCAGTTCCGCGTCTTCCTCTGGTGGCAGCAGCCCCGCCGCCGCTAGCTCCGCTGTCAGCGCGAAGAATGCGATCGGTATCTTCGCTACGGCGACGGACAGCTACTACGAGATGCCATTATACCCTTCGACGGTGAGACCCCTTTCAACTGCTGTATCATTCGGAAACCAATGGTGTCTGCCTGCAGACCAATTCTGCTGCGTTTACGAGTCCGACCTTCATCTCCGGCTCGTCCGTCTCGTGGCCGTCCGACCCCTTCCAACCCGCCGACCCTCAGCCTACGGTGGTGCGTACGGACCGACCGCGCCTCATTGCTCCGGCGTACAAGTGGCAGGCGTTACCCGATCTCATTGCGAATGACGTTTACATGTCGTACTGGAATGAGTCCATCTTCAACAATGCTACACAGTACTACTCGCTTGCGCCCGTCGTCTACCATATGGACGGCGACAGCGGCATCCTCGATAACTCGCGCGAGATCAAGATGCGCATCAAGGCCTTTGCGTATGCGTACCGTATGAGCAATGACACGAAGTGGGTGGATAGGGCGTGGTCCGAAATCCAGGTATGCCAACTGGCTCCGCCCCGTGGTTGTCAGATTTTGATTCGACCCGGAATAGAACGCAGCAGGCAACGGTACAACGTCCTTCGGTCCAGACGATGACAAATGGAACTCGGCACACTTTCTTGACACCGCAGAGATGACTGCCGCATTCGCGATTGCGTACGATTGGTTGTACGACATGTGGACCCCCGATCAGAGGAGCCAGATCATGTTCACCATGATCAAGTACGGCCTTAGCTTTGGCCAGACCGCGTTCACCGATCTGGCCATCGGCTGGTGGTCGAACAATGTCACCGGAAACTGGAATTGTGTTTGCAATGACGGCCTCACGTTGGGTGCTTTGGCCATCTTGGGCGACGATACCACGGGTATAGCCGACTCTATCCTTGGCCTCACCGTTCCCAATGCCAAGGCAAACTGCGCATTCGGACCTTCGACCGACGGTACCTGGTCGGAAACCGCCAACTACTGGTACTTCGGCACCACCGGACACGCCGAAATGGCGTCCGCACTCATGACCGCGACCGGTTCCGACCATGGCCTGCTCGACACGAACACCAATTACCACCTGACGGCGCTGTACCACATGTACTCGATGGGCGCCACCTCGCTCTTCGACTGGGGAGATCACGGACCGAACAAGTTCTCTTCGACCGCCAACTCTATGATGTTCTACTCGATGGTATACAACACTCCGATGTATGCGCTCTTCCAGCGTGACCAGCATGATGCCGCGGAGCCTTGGAGCATGTTCTGGTATGACCCGACGGTCTCCGGCGCGTTCTGGGACGGCTTGGCGCTGGACCACTTCTTTGACGACGAATTGACACAATGGGGTTCCATGCGCAGCAGTTGGACGGACATCAACGCGCTGTACGTCGGCATGAAAGCTGGGAAGAATCAGGGACACCAGACGCACAATGATCTCGACGCTGGTGATTTTGTGCTGGACGCGATGGGATACCGGTTTGCGGGAGAATACGGCTCGGCCGATTACCTGTCGCTCGACTACTTCAGCAACGATACGCAGGACAGTGTCCGCTGGCTGTACTACCGCAAGCGGACCGAAGGCCAGAACGCTATCATAGTGGATGCGCAGAACCAGAACGTGGCTGCTGCGCCCAGCATAAAGCACGACACTTCCGGAACCCAGCAGGGCTCTAGCACGGTGTTTGATGTACCCGGCGATTCCACTGCGTACTTCGTCGCGGATCTCACCAGCGCATACTTCAACGTGTACGTTGCCTAGTGATAGGAAAGATTTTTGGAGGCTGATGGGGTCACAGGTCATCGTACCAACGCGGCATCCGCATGATCAACGGGCGGAAGCAAGTGCTGCTCCAGGACGACATCACCGCGTCTGCGCCGATCATGTGGCGGTTGCAGACAAACGCGACGGTGTCGGTAGATTCTTCGGGGACGTCGGCGACGCTCACGATCGAGGGCAAGGTGGTGAAGATGGAGATCTTGAACGCACCTTCGGGCGCGACGATCACGACTGGAGACGCTGTTCGTCTCGCGAGCGACCCCCCTCTCCCTGCCGGCCAGAGTGATCAGCCGAACCCTGGCGTGACGGTGGTGTCGATCAGCCTGGACGCGGGCACGTACAGCCTGCAGGTCCTGTTCAGCCCGCAGTGGGACGGCATGTCGGCGAGCGACTTCAAGACGCCGCCGGCCGTCTCCCTGGACAACTGGTCGCTGACGAGCCACGACTGAACGCTTACTACTACTATTACTACTCGTTCTCGTTATCGACTTTCTTCTCGCCGTAGCTGTGCTGCTCATGGACAGATTTCTATACCGCGTAGTCAGGACGTCTTGTGATGTACACAGGGTCTATATGCTAATCGATGATGTGGATTGACGGGACGTGGTTGGGAGTGATTGGGGGCGTGATGGGGAGGGGAGACAGGGGCATTGCCATAGGGGTGGAGCCTGTTGACAAGGCTACGGCGTTCGTCGTTCGACCGCTGTTTCTCGCCCCGCCCGCACTCGTTTACGGCGCCCCCGCACGGATCTCGCTCTTTCTGTACATTCGAACCAACCTGCCGCCAGCCTACGGCGAAGAGCAACCAGTCAAGCCCGCTCATCGTATGTCTCCTCCCTCCGCCGTGCTCGACCGTCGTTGACCGTCGGCCATCCATCATTTGTTTCCAACCGTCAACTCGGCGCTCTCCGACTCGTCTCGTTTTGCCTTTTGATTTCCACCCCGTCCGCCATTTCCACCCTTGGCCCTGCCGTGCAGAGTCCACAGCCGGTTGCTCGTCCCTTCGACCCCACGTACACTACATCCACCAAACATGATCGCCCTCAAGCCCCGAAAGCTTACCCTCACGCTCGTTACCTATGTCGCGCTCGCTTTGCTCGTGGCCGGCGTTGCCGACGCCCACGCCGCGCAGGACCTGAACCGTCGCGACCACACCCAACTCAACCGCATGCTGAAGAAGCGCGCCCCCGCCCCCCAGGATGGCGCCGTCATCGGTGCCGGGTCAGACCCTGTTAGCATTACCAGCACTGGAACCAGCGCTGCGACCTCTGTCACCTCGGCCGCGACGTCCAACACAGTCGCGATCACCAGCAGTGCAACGACGACCACCAGTTCGGGCACCTCGACCCTGACTTCGGCTACTGCCACATCCTCTTCTGTGCGTTCAATTCCCCGTGACCTATCGCGATCACCGTCTGACCGGCTTGAGTAGGCGGTCACCTCTTCCACGCCTACCACTTCCAGCAGCTCCAGCTCCTCGACCTCGTCGAGCAGCTCGTCCACGTCCTCCAGCGTGTCTTCCACCTCGTCTTCGACGACCAGCAGCTCGAGCACGACTACCATCACGACCACCCCTGCGTCCCAGACGTCCCAGACGCTCAACCTTCAGGGTATCACCTCTGCCGCTGACAGCGATGCCACCACCCAGCACTCCGTCGCACATATCACGCTCACCAGCACCAGCACCGCCGCTTCCAACTCGGCCACCTCGAACAACGACAGTTCGGGCGCGACTTCCACCGGCAAGGTTGCGAAGACCACGATCACTATCCTCATCGCCATCGCGGCCAGCGTCGGTGGTCTCGCCATCATCTGGACCATCATTCGCAAGTGGAAGTTCAAGCCGTCGTCCTCCTTCGAGGACCGCATGGCGCCCATCGACTGGAACCCGGCGGAGAAGGACACCGGCTTGGATATCCCCGGCACTCACCGCCGGGCGAACTCGAGCGCTTCTTCGTTCCACTCGGGTTCCGGTCACGAGGAAAACGTCGCCGGCCGTGGCATGGGTGGTGGATACGGCGCTGGCTCGAACGACGGCCACAACATCGTCCCGGAGCACGACTTCACCGCTGGTCCCGCGCACCTCGCCCCCGTTGGCGGCTACGCGGACCTTGCGCGTGGCCCCAGCCCTCAACCGTACGACTATGCGCGTGGCCCCAGCCCCCAGCCGCAGATGCAGGAGGCTGGACACAACTACGACTACGGCATGCCCATCCATCACCAGGGTGCTGCGCCCGCGCAGAACATGTACGACCCGAACGCCATCCGGTATTAATAGGCGGGGCTCACTCTAAACCGTGATCACCTGGCGGAAAGAAGGATGGACTTCGGCTCCGCTTCATCTATCTTTATGCACTCGGTCCCACTTGAAGTGTGCGCCTTTGGCTCTCGGTTCTTGTCTTCTTTGTTCTTATGGTTTTGTACATGCCGAATATATACGCTGGACGATTCACCATCATACTGTCTGCGCTCTCGACCCCTGTGTCGGCTTGGTTCGCTATTCTCGTTTCGATATACCCCTATTTTTATGTGCCTTAGCGCGTAATCTCGATGCGTTCACATCTTGATTGTGTCAACGGCCTTCTTCAGCTTCGTATTGCGGTTATCAAGGTCGTTGGCAACGTTCTGCAGGTGAGTGCAAGCAAGGTCGCAAGTGCACGGCGAGCTTGGGATGCGAACCTCGAAATGGCTGGACAGAGGCAACTTGCGAAACGGTGCGCGATATCCTCCTGCTGAGATCACTCGGACGATCCTAGCGTAGCACGACGATTCTATTGCATCCACAATCGCGACATCCTATCGGAGAAGCGGGAATACAAAGCCATGACAAGGTAAAGATAAGGCGGCAAGCTGCACAACAACATCATAGAATGGATGCTATGAACAAATAACAGGTAATAAAATAGCAGTCACAGACCGTCCAATACGAACAAATGAGCGTGATTGATCTTTCGAAGGAGGCACGTTCTTCAGCACTGATCAATAAGACGGTTCTTGGGGAATGGCTGCCCGAAATCGTCCCTCCAGGTAGTTAAGTTGGGGTTTGTGTACGCCTCGATGTACCTATCACGAACTTAGCGACCGCAAACCACGAGTCGCTACACAGGACGCACTGTTCGATGTATGCCGCAGTCGGGAAATCCGGAGGGTCGCAACCAATGTTAGTACTTCCTTGCGGCTGGTACACGCGTATGTAATCAATCTTCATGGTGGTCGGGAACGTCAGGTGAGCCAAGTCAACGGTGCCGAAGTTAGTCGACATCCCCAAGTTGGCAATGATGTACTACGGGCGGCGTTTAGACTAAAGTAGCTGCGGGCACGGAAAGTTCCTCACCATAGGCTCCTGCGGCACAGGTCGCGCACTGATCTCCACTGCGGTATCCGCCGCCATACCACCCTGCATGAGCGTCCAGGACACTTTGTTATCGGCGATCCAGGAAATGTAAGCGCCGTCAAATCCGGGTTTATACTCGAAGCCATAGACCGAGAAACAGTCCTGTTCCAACTCGTAACAGCCTTGGTCTGGGATGGCAATCAACAACACGGGGTGCCACGCTAGCCACTGTGAAACGCACCGGTCGCAGTGACGACGGAAGTGGCCTGTTGAAACACGCCTCCGATGTAGCTGTTCAGCTCGGAACTCGACGCATTGGGAATAATCAAATTGTCACTTGTGTTGAACCATATGTACCCAGCGTTGAAGGGCTGAAGTCGAGTCGATGAGTGATCTAGTAACGGCAAGGAGAACACCGTACCGCCCATTGTCCTGACTGCGAGACTTGTCCCGTCCGCGGATCTCCTGTTATCTGGGAGAGAAGTTAGCCGCGCCAGCAATCTGAGAAAAGACATGTTTACCTGTGCCTCGAAGATATCAATTTCGGGCGCCGATCTACCGACGTATGTGCCATCGGAATGAACAGGACCAGGGTGGGATTCGCCTTGACAGGTGCACCGAGACAACTTCTGGCCAGGAAGGAAAGACAAGACACCGTTTTCGCTCTTGTCGCCATTCACAGTGGCTGCTAGGGGAAGGCCGTTCTGAGTTTGGTTGGGAAGGGTGCCGACATCGCAAGCGTCATATGTGTACGGCCACTACGCGTGTGTGGTCAGCGATAAGAATCGCAATACCGGACGGATCTCACCATGCCCTCCAAACTAGCCCCGTAGCCCGCGCGACCCAGGTTTCCCATCGCCCAAACTGCCGGCCAAAGACCGACGATATTGTTGGCCCCTGGTAACGAAACAGCAGTTTCTATGAGGCCTCCGGTGAAGCAAAATTTGTTCCAGGTGGTCATCATTCCGCCCTGATAATCTAGTCCATGGGTCTCCTTCTGCGACAAGCTGACAATCATGCTATGTGAGCCTTTTCCACCAAAGTGACTGAAGGGAGACTAACGTGATGTGCAAATAACCGTCCTTCGTAGTGATGGACGCCGGATCATACCACTCCATGTTGTTTGTCTGCGAAGGGGGATATCAGAGACGCAGGCATATTCACCGCATGAAAAGACACGGACCTGCCAGTAATGAAGGTCGACCGCCTCCCAGTACGGATCATCGCCTGAATTCATCAGTCGCGTTCTCTTCGAATAACGGAGTGTATGTGCTCACCTGGGTAGAACGTTCGCCCGTCCGTGTTGAACTCGTCGCTGAAGACGAGCTGAAAAGTAGATTGATCGGTGAAGCCTGGCTTGGTGTATACTTCCTTCGGTGTATCGAGGTCAATGAGACCCCAATTCCCGGGCATTGAGGGCACCTGATAGCACAATGAGCACTTGCGTTTACAATAGGGTATGATGGTGAGCACACCTGTCCAGATGCGTTGGTCCCACCGAAGTTAAATCCACCGAATGTAGAAAGAGGATGTTTCGTGAAGTACGTAATCAAGGGGTATCCAGCACTGCATCGGCGTATGAGAATAGGTACTCGCGCGAGACGGAGGGAGGAAAGCGTACAAAAGAGTGACCAAACCAACAATCAGGATGAGCAGGCAGCCCAAGTTCGTGAAGCCTCGGTAAGTGAAGACAGTACCACCCTGATCGCTCTTGCGGTCCCGACGGGGGTCAGGGTTGTGCAGGTAGTCGTCAGGCTCCGGCTGGCTCATAGAAAGGCTCGCGCCCCACTGCACAGGATCCGCAGAGAGGGAGAACTGACAATGAGAAGGTTAGTTCTCAACCGGCGTGCACACGCCAAACATGCCGACGAACCTTGTCTGATAAGGAGGGGGCAATAGACGCGGTCTTGCCTTCCTTGGTGACAGTGTAAGGAGTGTCATTCTGTTTGAGATTGGGGGTCAATGGAGCTCGATTGTGAGATGGAGGACGTACCAGAGAGCTGTTGCTCTTCATGTTCCGTAACTGCGGGGGTTCACTTGCAAATGTGGCCTGCACGCCTCGCTGTGCGCCAGCCTGGGCACCAGGGGGTAGAAGATTGGTTGTGGAGGGAGTCTGGCTCGCGTTGCCGTAGGGCCTGGCCCCAAGGGACGCCGTGGAGAAATTGGCGGAGGGGTACTGGTTTGGCTTCTGTACATAGCCAGCGGGTGTCGGGCCTTGATTGGAAGAGTTGTTGGCGGTGAACGGGTAAGGACTGCGGGACATAACGCCAGCTGGAGATGCCTGGGGCTCGCCTAGCTCGGGGTGGTCGTGATGTGTGGGGGGGAAACAAGGAATGAGTGGATCACGTGGAGCTGCATCTCTTCTGTTGTTCCCATCGCAGTCGTTGCGCAGAGAGGGTGCCGGTGAGTATACGCAGATCCCGACCAGCTGTGGTATGTGCACCACAACGTTCAAGACGATGAGCAGAATGTGCGGGCGGGCAGCGCACTATTCGCGCTCGCTTAAGTATCCATCCGCTTACGGCACCCGGCCGAGGCGCCATCCATTTAGCCAATGCAGATCGCCCAAGAACGCCTGGCACTGTAACGGTACGCTATATCTGCACCAACGTTGCCATAATATCACTCCAGTATATATTCTGCGGCACGTTAATATCGAAGGGCAAAATATCATATTTCAACAGCACAATGGCAAAACGTACTCTACATACCATACACAAGGACGCCGGCCTCGGTACATCACGCAGCTTCCCCTTCCAGAGATGGGTCAACTTTCCGCTTCCTCCCCGCCGCCTTCCCAGGAATTGGGCTGCTCGTTTTCAACACGTCCAGCACCCTCGAGTAAACTCAGTAGCCCTCCTCTTGCGCTCAACGGGTTCTCGTTGATTTGACCACGTCGTCGGTACCCTACGACCACTCTTTCGACCCGTGCCAGCCCATCTTGATCTTCGATTTCTGGCCAGTTCTTGTTACCGTCAACCGTATGTTTGATCTTTTGTAAGCGGCTCAGTATGGCTTCGTTGGCGTTTTCGAGCGCGGCCGACGACCCATGGTCACTGAGCGAGTGCTCTTCCAGTACATCCAGCAGTGTTGACTTTCGTTGCCTATACAATTCTCGCGTGTTTCTTGGTCCATTACAGATCAAGACATGGGTCGTGCCTTCGTCCCCATGTGGCACTGGGTCGCTCGGTGTCGACGATCGTCCTTCTTCCAAGCGGTAGTTCAACTCGGTTTTCTCAAGCCATTTCCCAAGCCCGGAGGCCGCTTCTTTAGCCTTTCTGAGTTTCTCCCGTTTTGTCGGACGGCCCTTCCGTTTGGCTGTGGCAGAGACATCCGATGTAAACCCCGGCAATTCTGCTCCGAGAGCACTGCCGGGTCCCGAGGCATCGGGGACAAAAACCTCGCGAGGAAGATCGCGAGGGTTAAGGGCGCACAGATGAGATGCCGGTGTGATATGAAATATCCCAGCCTGCAGTAGTCTGTCGAGAACAAACACCGTATATGGGTGCAGGCGGACCAGCGGTTGTCCCTTCAATTGGGTGGGTAGGTCCAAGAGCGAGGCGTACACATCTATGCTTCCCAATTTAACTTTTAACTTAGGGATGTGGTACGCGCAGATTGACGACACTCACCCAGAGGTATGTTGATCCGGCTTACGGAATGCGCGGTCGGTGCCGATACAGATGGTTGAGTCCAGAAAAAGGTGTATATCGCCCAAAGCGCAAGCACTCGGGTCAAAGATGGCTCGGACTCAGAACATCGCTCCGAGAACAGACGAAGGGTAGTGGCCAAGAATGTGTCTCTGGCACGGTATTCTAGTACCTTCAAGTGCAGCCAACACCAGCCCTCTTCTACCCATAGCTGCTTGAAAAGTGCGAATGGGCCTAGACCAGGAGAGGAAAGATACCGCGCAGAGAACAACCGGACGAGGCGTTCGATATCCTCTCGAATGGCGTGGACATACAGTGAGGACGTGAAGTAAGACGGTTGAAGGGCTATCTCTCCTCTACTTGCAGTCGTTGCCGGGGCCAAAGCCATTAGCCTCGTTGGCGAGCACGTGAGTGACGCGCGCACCTTGCACTGGCAATGTTGCGGTCAAACTGACGACTCACTCTGCCTCATTGCGGTCCTGTGCAACGCCCAACCTCCTATGGCACCGATATTTCAACGCTTTAACCAAGCGATATGCTTCTTCTGCAATGAAACCCAGACGCCGAGCCCTCGGAACTGTCGCCAATTTCGATGTGCTCAGTGCGGCTGCTGGAATCGATACGACGCGGCAGGTGAAATCATGTCCGACGAGCCCGCGATGCACGACGCGTCCTTGAATGCCAAATCTTTTGCGAAGAGAGGTCCGATTTATTCTGTGGTTGTCATTGCCACTCAGAACTAAGCAATGCATCGCAGCGTCGCCTCGAAAGGATCGTCTCCCCACCATGGACGCTCATGCGAGGAAGGCGCAGCTATTCTGCCATACTTGTCAGACAAATCAAATGCTGATCATCAACCTGCTCTCCAACTACCTTCCTGAGCCGGCGGTGCGCATCATGGTCTGTAATTACTGTCATCCACCCGCTGACTTCACACGATAGGATCCGAGCTACTCGCAGCGTCTATCCATGCTTCCCAAGTACAAGGAGTCCCTCCACACCAGGTATCCTCCTGTTTGTGCGCAATGCGCCCCTTTGGTCGACGACGTGATCAGTCAAAGAGAACACATGGCGCGAACCAACGCGTTGGGTGGATGGCTGAAGAACACGAAAGGCAAGGAGGCTCAAAGGCGGCAACCCTCGTCTTCTACACTGCATGAGGACAGACAACGAAAACCATCGAAGGACCGATTCAAACTTGAGCAGGAGCTATGGATGTGGCGAGCAAGAGGTTGCTTGTGGTGCGCAACGCTGCTAGGTTCTGTTGCAGGGCATGTTTGGGGTATGTGGTATACGGAATCTCAGTTCCCCAGCTGAATGACGTTGATAGGGACCTTCAGAGAACTGCCACCACCGTGGACACGGCCTTTTTGTGCGTTCTTCCCTTTGTATATCGTGGTATCAGTGCTTTGGACATTCTGGGATCCGACGTATTCATCGGTGCAGAAAGCCCGGTGGCAAGGTCGTCAAGTCTGGGTACGAGGTAGAGCTCGTTATATAGTAAGGGCATCGACTCCCTACACTGGTGAGACGTTGAGACCGTTGGCAGGTGTACCAACTTTTAGCATGGCTGTCTCGATTAATGACTGCCGTTCTATTTGCTCTCCCGCTCTATGCCCCGGATCGCGACTACTTAAGACTGCTGTCCGGTGCCACAGGGGCCCCTGCTGGGCATGCGGGTGCCTCAGATAATTCATGGCCCATCCTCAAGATGTATTCGGCAGGAGCGTTGGCGTTGGAAATTATGGTGAGTTCATGGCTGAAGCGGCGTATTCCAGCGCTGACACCCGTATCGTCCCAGACTCTGCTTGCGTCGTTCCTGACGCTACGGCTCCACTATCCACCAAAGGTACGACTCATCGATACGAACCCGTCCCGCCGATCTGTGGCTCCAGAAACTCGGGTCGACACCCCTTCCCCGCCCGAACCGGGCATTGATCTGCTTGCGCCGTTGTCCTTCTCCGGAAATCCTGTGTTACAAACCCACGAAGATACCTCAGTGGGACATCCCATCTTCGGCTTGCCTTCCCTAACAATAGAAGCGCATAAAGATTCTGATGGACGACAACCAACCAGCAACACGGACCCTAACGCCATGGACATCGATACACCGTCCCCGGTCAAACCGAGGAGCCCCTTCCATCCCGACCAACGCGATGATACCGACAATTCCGTCTGGCTGCGTCCCCAGCGTTTCTTTCCGCCGGAGAAACCGACGGGTCTAGAAGGTCTTTTGGAGCGGACACTCTTGATTGACCCATCGGTGGGAGAATCAGGAGATTCTGTACGACCAGGGGAAGCTGCCCGGCGGCGGAAAATGTTATACGGGCTAGCTTGGGGTGCTGCCTTACTCTCTATGGGAGTGGCTACGCATCTATGGCACGTAGGGACCACACGGTCGCGTACCGCCATGGACCTTCAGATTCAAGATATGGAGATAGCGACAAGCGGAGATTCATAGCTTAGGGTGATGCCAAGTTGACTAGTTACGACCGTCACAGGGTGTAAACCCACATTTTTTGCACCTTAACATCAGAGAAACATCCTCTAAAACCATTCAGAATTTTCAGATCATTCAATCCGAGAAAATTAACATCTCATTCGTGATGTTCACGTCTCAAAACGGGCAGAAATTTTCAAATATCTAAAGGATGTTTTTTGAATTCTGGAAAGAGGAAAATTCTAGGATTGTTGTGACTCACATAACGCTACTGGAAACAATCACGAAGACGTATCCGAAGCAAGTGACTTACGTAATATTTCACCCGCGGCGTAACCTAGAATAAGTCTACCTACGAGCACAATCATGCCTTCATGCTGTATTCGCTTGTTATGTCTGTCTTTTTCATACATGATCCCATCCAGTTTATGGTACTACGCGTCAGCTTACGCGTAGAACGCGTCGAAGATTCGCGCATGGCTGCGAAGCTCCGCGGATGTTTGGCGAAAGTATTGTAGCGCTTCCGCCGCTTCGCGCCGAGGATGTGACGGACTGGAGGATGCCCTACATAATCGGCGACCCTTGACACCATTCACCTCAACGCCGTCACGGTGCGGGATTTCCACTCCTTTCTCTGACCCTTCTGCGTCGTCCAACGCGCATTTTGGCTCTACGCCCAACTCTCTCGGCCAGGCGTCACAACACGTCCTTTACTCAACTCCCGACAACTCACCAACATCGGAAACGCCGTCCCTGAAGTCGACGACGCGGTTCATGGCTAGCGAGAACGCGAGGATGTACGGCGTCTCACCAGATGCAGCGTCCACCACGAACCTACTAAGCCCGTCCTCCGGGGGCCATGTGAGCGAGAAGTCTCCGCGGTTTCCTCAGGGACCTGGTTCATTGCGCAATGGCTCCAGCACGATGTCGTTGGTGAGTCATCTGGTCTCATGATTGCGTCGAGAATACAAATAATCCACTTTCTATAGGCCGAGCTTAACCCTTCTAATACTGGCAGATCGTCCACGGCGCCGTCGCTATCTGACAAGGTACGGCATGAAAACAGTGAACCTGTGCTCGTTGATGCATTTTTGCCCTAGTTCTCGCTCTCCCCCGATCCGCATCAATGGGGCGCCGAGCTGTCTATCAACCACGCAGAGCCTGATGACTTCCTGCACAACCCAGATCCTAAGCGGGACAGGAAGAACGACGAAGGAGGAACAATCTTCACATACCGCGGTATCACGAACCTCGGCTGCCTGCTCCTGCTCGCACTTTCTCTGGGTACACTCTTGTGAGTGCTTCTGTGTAATCCTGCAAGAAGTTTATGAAGTCGTTACCGACAATAGTGCCGGTTATCCTCTAATCACATACTTCACCCGCACTAAGCAATCGAATCAGGGCGGGTTTAACCTTGGCGGTACGAATGCTACCGGTCAGGTTAGTTACATCTGGCATTCGGACACAGATCGTCACTCAGAGCATATAGGTTCCTAGTATGCCCGGCAACTGGGGTCTCATCGATTTGGAGACACCTAAAGACGCCTATTACAAATCCGCCTTCCGTGACGGCTCTGAGATGCAGCTCGTTTTCAGTGATGAATTCAACACCGATGGTCGGACCTTCTATCCCGGTATGCTTCAGAGCCGCTCAATAAGATAACCCCCAGCAGACGTTGGTTCTTTACTTGGCAGGTGATGATCCATACTGGGAAGCTGTCGACTTGCACTATTGGGGTGTATGTGAATGATTGAACGTGTCAGTGCACCAACTCATTAAGTGCTACGCAGACCAACAATATGGAATGGTACGATCCAGCAGCCATCACGACGAGAAATGGTTCCCTGGAGGTGACGTGAGTAAACCATGATGAAATCGAAAGCACCGCCTGCAACAATGAACTTATTTGACGCAGATTGTCCAAGAAACAGACTCACGGCCTAGACTATCAAGGTGGCATGATGTCAACCTGGAACAAATTTTGTTTCACAGGAGGTTTGATCGAAGCCTCTGTGGTGCTACCCGGCGCAAACAATATCCTAGGTCTATGGCCTGCTATCTGGACCATGGGCAATCTTGGACGCGCTGGGTACGGTGCCACTTTGGATGGCATGGTGACCTCGATTTCCGCTGTCTTCTCTAGCGCGCAGTTGACATTTTTGCTTTCTTTTAAGTGGCCCTATACATATGATTCCTGCGATGTCGGCACTGCTCCCAATCAAACCCACAACGGCTTACCTATTTCTGCGACGAACACGGGGACCGACAAGAACTACAACAATGAATTGTCCTATCTTCAGGGGCAGCGTTTATCACGTTGCACTTGCCCGGGAGAATCACATCCTGGGCCGGTTCACGAAGATGGTACATATGTAGGACGTGCCGCGCCAGAAATCGACATCTTCGAAGCTCAGGTATCTAGACCACCAGTACTCACTCGACATGCATCACTAATCTGCGATTCTCCCTCAGATCAGCGGGGATCCTTTAACGGGACAGGTAAGCTCCGGTGCCTAAAACCGGAATACACGTGCTTTACTGCGACCGTGAATCTAGGTCTCCCAGTCGGGTCAATGGGCTGTCAGTCCATCCATCGTATTCCACCGCAAGTTTAACCTAATTCCCTTTTCAGCCGTTCAACGCTTATTACCAATGGTTCAACACCAGTGACAATCTGATCATTCCAGACCCCAGTATCACCGTACTGAACAGTTACACCGGTAAGTTAAGTTCAATTTCTGCCGGTATCGTCATCCATTCACTGCCAACTCAGGTGGTGTGTACCAGCAAGCGACGTCCGGTGTGACACAGACAAATCAAGAATGCTACGAGCTTACTGGAAATTGTTATTCTATCTACGGATTTGAATACAAACCCGGTACGTTTTGTATGCCACTTCTGAAGGAATTTACTAATATTTGAACCAGGTTTTGATGGAGCCTACATCTCATGGATAGCGGACAACAAGGTTGCCTGGACGCTGAATCAAGCGGGCATGGCAGCGGATACCCGGGTAGAGATTGGACCCCGGCCTGTCCCCCAGGAGCCACTCGTACGTCATCATTAGTACAAGTTACAAGCGCACTAACTCACTCGTGCTGGCAGTATATTCTTGTCAACCTTGGCATGTCAAGCAATTTCGGTTTCGTGGATCTGGATCACTTGACTTTTCCTACTACGATGAAAGTGGACTGGATTCGTGTCTATCAGCGCACGGATAGCGTCAATGTCGGGTGTGATCCTCCCGAATTCCCAACCGCGGCTTATATCAACCAGTGCGTCTTACGGATCTTACTTGCTGACTATACGTTTAATCGGATGGCTAGATATATCGACGCTTACACCAACCCCAACTTGACAACCTGGGTAAATGACTACAAACAAACAATACCCAAAAACTCTTTCTTGGGGCAATGCTAGATATTCCACGTTCCTTCTTTGTTGATTGTCCCGCATCCGCACTGATATTTCACTGCATTGTTATCATATTATAAAGACGCTCGTTCCGCACCCGCATTAAATAGAAATTCATAATAGCATAGCATGTCGATACCCCTCCCATGGAGCAATTTAATTGCACTTGATCCCCTTGAACAAGGGATTAGCGAGGCTTGGCACATGTGCGAACGTGTACCTCCACCTACCCTCTGCCACCGCCATCCATTCTTCGCCGTGTAAAGGGCTGTGATCAATATAAAGCATATGCATACTTCAAAGCTTCAATCAGTGCGTCATTACAGACCTAAGGCCTAAGGCCTAATCAGTGAACCACACATCGATATCCTCAGGACAAGCTAGTCCTTGGCTCATCCAGAGTGGGACCCCGGACGAGTGTGGAGCGTAAGGTAGGTACGCACGAGTAACGGGGTGTGGGCGAGAGTCGCCGCGCGTGGGCGGGTTCAACAAAACCGTACACGCGCAACTGCACTCTGGGCTCCAAGATCCTAAGGACTCTTGGTGCCAATCGAAAGGGTGGGACGGGCGGGAAACGCGACGAGCGAAGCAGGAGGCGAGGAAAGGTGGAGGCTGTGTAGCCTCGCAAGCCCACCTTCCTCGCCTGCTGGACTGAGCTTGTCCTCTGATAGGCCAACGCTCGTACCTCGCGCATGGCCTATCGCCCAACAAGCTAGTCCTTGGCTCATCCAGAGTGGGACCCCGGACGAGTGTGGAGCGTAAGGTAGGTACGCACGAGTAACGGGGTGTGGGCGAGAGTCGCCGCGCTCCCGCCCGGATTGGTACAGGCGCGCCCGGCTTCCCCACCTGAGCGTAGCTCATACGCCGGGCGCGCTACTCAGAGCAGACGGCAACCCCATCAGAGCTGCGCGAAGAATTCTGATATGGTATTGCAAGTAAGTTCGTTACTCATCTACATTCAAACGACGGCGTGTCTCAACGCCCAAGTCCTTCGGGATGCCGCGGGACACCCGAAATTCGTCGACCTTTTTCCCCAGGCGCGCAGCGTCGGATTTCGACATAGCATCCACCAGGCCCGCCGCGATGATGTCCTCCACCTTGCGCCAGTACAAAAGGAATGCGAGGGAAGTCCAACCCCCGATCGCGGCAACGATCTCCGTCGGCGCGCCTTGAAGCAGCCAATGGGTGGTTCCGCCGATGCGGAAACAGTGCCCGGAAAGCGTGCGTAACCTGGCTTTCGACCAGATTTCGTTGCATCTAGTCAACAGGCGAGTTTTTGTCAAGGGTAGGAAAGTGCCGTCCGGTGATTTGTATGCGAAGAGGTGCTCGTTGGGGGCGGCCCCGACGTTGACCATCATGTGGGTGCACATCGCTTTGATTGCGCAGAGTTCACTGTCTTGAGCAACGAGGATGACCGATGCACCTTCCTCCCGGGTCGTTTTCGTCCATGGTACCCTGTAAAACATCGCCTTGTATCCGTCGCCGAGATTTTTCATGTCCTGCAAAAGTGTGGTGCACATGGGATGGTACATGGGGTCGAGCTCTGGCTGCGAGGTTGGCAAGAGCTCGCCGAGTCTGCGGCAACCCCAAAAAGCGCTCGTCACCGCTGCCCAGATGGCCGCGTCCAGAGGGTCCGAGAGAGTCAGTGCGGCGTAGAGACATGACAGGTGCGCCAAGGTTGCCGGGGGACGCGGTTGCCGAGTGTGTATCCGGCCTTCCTTCTTGGCCGCCGTTCGTGACATCCCCACCAGCATGTCGTCGCCGCACCATGGCGCGCCCATGATGCCGTGCCAGGCTCTAAGTCCCGCCAACCAACCCCTGACGCAGCTACCAGAGACGAGGCCCAGAGAGTGAGAGACGAAGGCTGTGATCAAGATGGGAGGTGCTGGGATGCGAAGGGCCTCGGAAACCCCACGGGCGTCGCAAAACTGGGCGTAGCGCAGCAGACCGGCTGCATAAGATTCGCGGGTGTCCTTGTCGAGTGCTGCTGTGGCAATGCGGAACGGGGATTGCGCAACGTCAATCCCAAAGTCCTTCGCCGCCTCCGTCTGGCGCTCTACAGACCATTGCGAAGTCCACGAGGTGAGGCGCTCTGCTGCTGGGACATGCGGGCGAAATGGGCTGGGTGCGAGGTTGCATCCGGCCTTGGACTTACGAGCAAGCGGTGTTACCGAGGATGAGCCGTCTGCTTGCCGTCCGAGTTGGGCTGGTGCATGTGCATGCCGGGCCTGAGAGCCTATCTCAACGATGGCTGGGAGCGCCTGTTGGGTCGCAGGTAGTGCCAGTGTCGGTTCGGGAATGCGTGCAAAGCTAGGTGCGGTCGATGGTTGCGTTGGCTGGTGTGTGCTGGGAGGGGGACTGGGCATTTTGTTGGTCTGAGCGGCTCCCGCCGTTGGCGTGAATGGCGGCGGAATGCGGAAGAACGACATTCGTGTACAACAGTATAGAGGTGAACAATTAAGCTCGTACGATGTATGGTTTCAGTTCGGCAGGAAAGGACATGGGCGGGAGACGAAGAGCTGCTGGCGGCAACATGCCGCGCGATACTGCGTCTGCTGGGTTCGCCTCCGACGCGATGTACTCTAGGTCTAGCGTAACGTTCGTGCTGTCCAAAACTACGCCTGCCCTCCGAATCGCTAGGTTCATCTCGGGATTCGGGGAGCGTCCCTTCTCGAACGCACCAATTGCGGCCTGGCTGTCGGACCAGAGCCGCATCCAGCAGTCCGTCAAGCCTCCCTCCTCCAACGCGTACACGGCGAGTTCGATGGCCAAGCATTCCAGCCAGGTGTTGTGTCTGATACGATCTGGGCTCCAGGAATCTGTGAGTCGCCACGCATCCCATTTGTCGCCCAATACTATCCCTATCCCCCAATCCGTTGAGGCATCTACGTAGAGACCGACCTCTTGGAGGTCGCGCCGTTGCACCAACGGGCGCGACACGTTCGGCTTCGCAAGCTCGAGGTCCCACCAATGTAGCGCATTCTTGATAGCCCCGGGAAGCCGGAGCTTGCGCCATTTGTTGTTCTTGAAGAGGGACGAAAAGTTCGAGAGGGCCGGTAGGCGCGTGCGCCCTGCTGGGTAGACGAAAGTGATGTGACATAGGGATCCGTGGATAGCTTGAATGTCATGCAGAGTACAGCCGGCGTTGTCGAAAGATGCGAGGAAGACGCGGACCCTCGAGCGGAATTTCTTGCGTTTCGTGTCCGTGAGTGATACAGTGCGGTTGGTGTAGTCCCACCAGAAACCTATGTGCTCGAACTCGGAGGCGAACTTCGTGAGTTTGGCCATCTTCCATGGGATCTTCAGTGGCGCGACACTGCGGGAGACCGTATCTTCGTCGTAGTAGTAGCTGTGAGTGTCGATGCGAGCTAGGTTGGAAACTATGGGGGACCGGCTGACGGAAAAGTCGTCCTCGTACTTGGACACTGGCCCGATGTCGAGTGCTTCCCAGATGTCGGCGATTGCATTTGCGATCATGCCCGCGTTGCTGCTGGAGGCTGCGCATCCGAATGGGCATGCATGGTCGATGAAAAAGGTGTTGTCTGGTCCTCGGACCACGAACCACGGTTTGTGCGCAGGTGCAATTGGACAGGTGCGGTGAAAGGCCTCGATGTCTAAAGTCATCGATTGTGACCCAGCTGGCGCCCTCGCAATCTACCATTGCTGCGTCAGCCGTCGCCTATCATCTCACAACTCGTCTGTGCCCAATCGTCTCGAGTCGACACGTCCAACTGGCGGCCAAACACGGTGCATGCTCCTATGGCAGCGACGGGCATGCTCCTATGGCAGCGACGGGCATGCTCCTATGGCAGCGACGGGCATGCTCCTATGGCAGCGACGGGCAGGCTCCTATGGCCGCAACACGATGCGGGCTCCTATGGCCACGACATGCGGTGTGAAAGCCTGGCGACTGGCTCCTATGGCGCAGTGCCCCTCGCACCCAATATGGGCCGGAACGCGACGTATGTCGCAACAAAATGTGCATGACTTACAATGTCTGCGAGGTCTCGAGCGGTGCTGAAGTGTGTCGGGAAATCTTCTTTACTGATGTGGTCGTTGACGGACGGGATGCCAAGGTTTGCGTCGCCTTTTGAGAGATGGCGACAGACTCGATACTTGATCTTGTCGTCGCTGGTGTAGGATGTTGCAATGAGTAGAGGTGAGGACATGAATGGTCCGCGCAGGATGCGCTCGCAGTCTACTTGTGTGAATGGTCCTGAGAAACGGCCAGCGGCGCATTCTTCGTGTATGTAGTGCCGGATAACGTCGGGATGGTCATCGCAAGATCTGTGATTGTTGAGAATCACTGTCGAGGTCAGCAGAGGGAAGTCTCCCATCGGGAAACCCTGCTTCAAGAAACGGATCAAGTACGGATAAGCCTCTGCCAACCGATGGTTGGCCAGGAAGGAGTCGAAAGCATCAGAGTCGTAGGGTGTGACAATCTTCTCGAAGATAGCGTCGTCAAGAGGGTGGGAGCTCTGCAGGCGTGAGCGGGGTATCATCTTCGAGGACAAATCTGGCTGCGGCTTAGCGCGAAGTCCCCGCCTTATCAGGGGGAGCTTGGCAATCAAAGGAGAGCGCGTGGTGGGCGGGAGATCCGCAGAATGAGCAGACGTGCTTCCAACTCTTGGGGTGAGTGCATGGGCGGGTGGCGGCACCACGGAGGTTCCAGACGCGGCAGACAGATTCACCGTCTTTGGTGCGGGAAGACTTGTCGATAAAGCATGCGCGGCCGTTGGGAAGTGTTGCTGCGGTGCAGCTCGCGCCGTTGTGACCAAGGGCCCCGCATCTGACGCATATATTGTCGGAGCTGGCCCGGTGCGCCTTCCGCGATGTCGGGAATCCTTCTTTGGGCCGAAACGAACCATGGCCTGCCTGGTTACCTGAAATGGGACGGAGGAGACGCGCCTCCAACTGCGCTATTTCCCTGCTCCTCTCGGCTTTAGCCTCCCGCTCGCGAGCCTCTTCCCGTGCCTGACGCTCCTCCTCCCAGATGTCGTTTTTGATACGCGATATCATTGCACTCAGGCCGACTGGGTCATGGCCGATCCGGGTGGAACCGTAAGCCCGGCGGGTCTCCTTATCCGTTCGGAGGATGGCTTTGAAGCATGTCTCGGTTTCGGGCTGGCGGCTGAGGTAGAAAAAATGCTTGTTCCAGCGATCGAAAAGGCGGTTGTTGCCTGGTGCGAATGTCTTGAATGAGCGGAGGAGGTTCCCTGCCGCTTGCTCCCAGGACCGTACATCGAGGTCATCCTCCTGGCCTATGACTGCTCTGACCTCTGCATGGTCAAAGTCCAGAACACGCATGGATCTGTCCGAAGGATTTTCGGGGTTGGTCTTCCTCATGGGTAGGTCGGAGCCTCGATCCAGGAAGTATTGCAAAGCTTTGTTGGTCCATAAGTGTATAGGGATGTACATACTATAGCCCAAGAGTTCGAGCACCGACGGATGGAAGTCTATTTCGACCGGGAGCCTGGCGGCCGGGTCGATCTCGCCGCCCGTGGGGTCCAATGCACATCTCTTCTTCGCCCGCCGGGCGTCGTCTTCGGCCTTCCTCTTGCGTGTCTCCTCGTCTATCTTAGCTGCAACATCCCGCTCCTGCTTGGCCACGATCTCGGCCTGTTCTGCGATTAACTCGGCCGGCGTGATCTCGATCTCGGTCTCATCGCCGGAGGCATCTGCCGCCCCTGGTTGGCCATGTGCGAAGGCAACACGGCGTTCCGCTCTCTCCCTGTTACTCTTCCGGATCCTCGCATTGCGAGTCCGTTTTTCGTCCAAAGGGAGTGCATTGAGTATCGGCCGGATGGCGTCGCAGAAGTAGGTCCGGTGGTTGTGGACCATGATTATTCGCGGAGAAGACGGTAGATTACTGAAGTTCGGCGAGTATATGCACAAATAAAATGATTATACGAGCCCTTTTTAAACGCGACGAGCGAAGCAGGAGGCGAGGAAAGGTGGAGGCTGTGTAGCCTCGCAAGCCCACCTTCCTCGCCTGCTGGACTGAGCTTGTCCTCTGATAGGCCAACGCTCGTACCTCGCGCATGGCCTATCGCCCAAGGAGGCGCAAGTCAAGTGGCTGTGTGCAACACTCCCTCTTCGCGATGCCAGCCGAGCTTCGGACATTGGTCGCTTTACTGGGGCTTATCTGGTATACGGCCCTACTGGGCCTCAGCGTTATAGGATGTCACACTGCGTAAGTTGTAACTGGGCTCCGGGCTCGCTTTGTCTGATGTTGGCTTGCACAGTCGTCGGCGGTATCGACTTCGACCTCGTTCTCCCTTGGCTTCTGCGGGTCCAACCACTGTTCCAGGCGTTTCCATACTGCGGCCACTCAAGGGACTCGATACCAACCTGTATGAAAACCTGGAATCTACATTCAATCAGGAGTATCCGAACTACGAGGTTCTCATGTCCGTTGCGGATGAGCAAGATCAGGCCCTGTCAGTAGTCAACGATTTAGTGGCAAAGTACCCCAGCGTGAAAGCCAGAATAATCATAGGTGTGCTGCGTGGGCAACTTGAGATCCTCCTGTCTGACACATTCCAAAAGGAGAACAGGTGGTTGGCGTTAATCCCAAAGTCAACAACCTAGTTCGTTCGTGCCGATTCGCAGAAAATGACATCTTATGGGTGCTGGACTCGAACGTATCCGTTGCACCGGGCACGCTTGCGCGTTCAGTGGACGCTCTCACTGCTTCATCTGCCCATCTTTCCACAAAACACCGCCGGCGAATAGCTCTCGTGCATCACGTCCCTTTTGCCTGGTCCAGCGAACCCACGTTCGGTTCTCAGGTGGAAGAAGCGTTCATGAACACCAATCACGCCAAGATGTATCTGGCGATCAATGCCGTGGCTCTGGACAGCTGCGTGGTTGGCAAGTCCAATTTATACCGACGTTCTGACCTGGAACGGGTGAATGGTTCGCTACGTCCAATTCCTGCGGGCAATGTTAAGCAAGAAGGGGAATGCGGGCTCCCAGCTTTTGGTCGCTTCCTTGCCGAGGACAACATGGTTGCCAGCGCATTTTGGCATGAATTAGGGGATCGACATGATCTTTCTTGCGACGTGGCCCGAAACGCCGTTGGCAAGATGTCGTTGGGGGAATATCTACGTCGGCGCGTCCGATGGATTCGGGTTCGCAAACGCATGGTCATGGCTGCCACGCTGCTGGAGCCATTCACTGAATCGCTCCTTTTGGGCTTCATCGCTGCCTCTAGCATTCGTCAAATGTTCGCCGTGCCCATTTGGTTTACCATGATCATCCACTATGCATGGTGGTTGACTGTGGATCTCGATGTCTATGCTTCTCTTGCAGGACACCCGGTACCTTCCTCAACGTTCTGGAGCTTCTTGTGTGCATGGTGTACGCGAGAAATCTTGGCGTTCCCGATATGGGTCTGGGCAATATCGGGGGATGAAGTGGATTGGAGAGGGAACACATACCGCGTGCTCAGGAATGGGGAGGTTGAACGTGTGCCACAGGGAGGGTCTGGCGGAATACGCGGATGGTGGGCTCTTGAGCAACGGAATGGGTATGATCCTGTATCACAGACAAGCCACTTGAATTGACTTGCATGTAACCGAGCACGTGCAACCGAGGCCCCGTAACTAGTAATAGTATTGACGCCGACGGCTGCGATCATAACGTTCAACTCTCTCGGTTTGTACTAGGACTGCAATACTACCTCATGAGCGACAACGATACTATTCGGCAAAGAATCATATCTTCCGTTTTCAGCAAGCGCAATGCCGGCGGAGTCTCCGAGGATTATGTTGCACACCTTAAGATCTGGGAGGAGACCGAAGATGGCTCCTCGAAACCTCGATTCATCTTGTTAGCTCGTATGTACACCGATCGTCATATTCCATTACAGCTACACAGATGGTCACAGAGACGGCTGAGGGCTCCGGAGTACTTCACAAATCGAAGTTGAATACAAATGGGTCATTTTCCGTTGGCAAAACATGGCGTCTGCCGGAGCTCAGGGGGATTGAGGTTGTAGAGGTACGCTTTCTGCAGATCCAACCTCCGTCTCAACGCCTGATCATTCATAGCCGACTTCTTTCAACATAAGCTTAGCTCGTACATACAAATGGCGGACAGATAATGCTCGAGACCAGCAGAATTTCTTACTGGTCATGGTGCAGCTCTTCCGCGACATCACCGGGGGTAATTCGCCCTTGCAAGTCATCGGTCTACCAGAAGCTCCTCGTGCGCACAATCATAGCTCATGCATCTCACCAGTATTCAATGCTTTGCAGCTCCTGGCCGAGTGGTTCCCAACGAATCGCGTGGACTTCCCTCCTCACCCAGCGGCTCTCTTGCTTTGCCTGCGGCGAATCGTATTCCCGCGTCTTCCAGACCTCGAACCCCATCTCGGGACTTGGATGCCCCGCGAAGTCGTGTTGCATCTCCGACACCGCGCTCTCAATCTCGTGCACCTGGGCCTTCGAGGCCGGCTTCACCTGCGAACGGCTTGCTCGTGTTGCCAAGTCGTCCTGAAGGGTCTACGGGAGCCTCAAGGACTCGCCCATCTTCACCAAATTCTTCTAGCGTTAGTTCAGCACGTCCTCGTGAACGTCGACGACCGTCAAACGCTACCCTTTCGTCACGAACGGAATCAGCGGCTAGCGACGGGCCACCCACGCAGTCAGCTTCAAAACAGCCACCACTAAACGCCGATTCCTCTAAAATGAATGGGACCATTTCCCGTTTTCCAGACGCAGGAAGTGCACCACTACTGGGAAGCCGTCCATCTCTAGACGCCCGAAGGCCCGATATGACTTCGGTCAAATCCACGTCATCCGATAGACTTTCCGCGACGCGCTCGACGAAAGCAGTTTCCCCTGCACCGTTAGGACGTTCCCGGAAGATGTCATCGCATGTTACTGGTGGCACAACGGATCCGCTTCCCCAGCCGAGGGAGAGAAACGCCCGGGTGTCATTCTTCGATCCTGTCAATCAAGCAACGCTTGACCGTCTGATCTCAGGAGCGGATGCGGAGTCCGCGGAAGATGCCGATGGTGCAAATCAGGAGACAGCTCAGGACACGTTGGCTAGTGTGGAGGAGATGCTGGAGGGCTACGAATGGGCTAGCGAGGACGTACTGAGCATGAAGAGAACCAGAGGAGCAGCTGAACAGATTGAGTCCCGGCTTCTGAACGAACTATTGGCTCTGGAGAAGGTCCGGACAATTGTACTCGTGACCCGCGGTCGACTCACATCCTGTTCAGGCTAGCATACACTCGTTCATAGAGTCCGATGACAGGGTTGGCGTCGTTCTGAAGTATCTCGACGATGCCATCAATGACCTCGATGGGATGGAAACCCTCCTTTCATCGTACAAAATTCACTTGAATGTGAGCGGACACCATTCCATGCGATCGTCATGCACCTAACGCTGTACCAAGGCCGTTAGTGATGATATCGCCTACATCCAGTCACAAAATCGAGGTCTACAAGTACAAACCCAAAACCAAAAGGCGTTGTTAGCCGAAATTGAGCAACTGATGGTGACCTCCTTGACTTTATATCCTTGCGATTATTGAAGTGCCCGACAGCAAACTGTACATGTGAATCAAGAAGCGTTGACAGTACTCACCAATGAATCCTTGGAGAAGCCTACTAGCATTGAGAGGTTGGAAGAAGCCGCCGGTGAATTGTACAAAGCATTGCAGGCGGGGCGGGATAGAGGTGCGGTGATTCCCTCGTTTTTCGCATTACGTGAGAGAATGATAGCGGAGAATCTAGACATGGCTGCAACGATGGAAAGATTGGACGAATATCGGACCTACAACTCGCAGTTCTGCAAGCGTCTATTGGATTACCTGTCAATCATGTTCAATGCGCAGGTAATATAACGTGACACATGTAACCTTGGTGCACTTACCGTATGATCAGGCCAAAATGCTCCTCGGGGACACCGAAGGCATATCCCAACCTAGCGGCCGCGGGCGTCCTGATATCTATCCGCATACAGAGCTGGAGAATTATCTTGGACGCTACTCAGGCTTACTGTTATATCTGAAGGAGATGGACGAGAGCGCATACTCCAGAATCTGCGGGGCAAGTCAACGCTTGATCGATCTCTGGATAATCGCTCATTGTGGGTTAGGCCTACTTCTCCGCTGCGAGTGATCTGCATAGTACGCAGATGAAGGCTCTACTTGCCGCCTATGGTGATATGATCAAGACAAGTGATGATATTGACGACCGTAAGCTCATATCCTTTTGTTGAGGCGATGAATAACACATTTTACAGCTATGGGCACGAATACAACGCCTACCACCGGTGGATTCCGAGCAGTTGCTGGCAGTCAGATACGAAGAGCCGGGACATTGATGAAATCCAATCGTGAGAATCGTGTGAAGGACAAGGACAGACCTGCCGACGCGGGTTTGCGAGCATCTGAGGTACGCTCATCGAATCGTTAGTCACGTTGAACGCTCATTGATTGACACGCATAAGGCCTTTGCCTACGTGCTCGAGCGTATAGCTCCTCAGATCTATCGTGAAGACGAATTCCTGTCGGACTTCCTGCAGATAAACGACGCGGCGTTGACTTTTGCGGATTACATGGCCATGGAAAACTATTTCCGAAGACAAGCGGCCATAACCAGCGGACTCGGTCCGGCGACTATGAAGCTTATTAGAGGGGCTCTGGACCTTATCTTTGGCTTTTTGCAAGGGGAGCTGCGAGTGTGGATCGATGCGGCGCTGGACAAAGATAACATGTAAGCAGCAATTTGCCCCGCCGTCCGGTTCTCACACGTCACGATGCAGGCAGATCGTTGGGATGGTTGCGACCATAGAGAAGTTTCTAGTGGACGCCGACGAGAGGGGGAACGCGTTCTGCATGAATGTACTCGAGAAACAGCATTCGCGCCTCAAAGCGCTCTACGAACGTCATATTGTGCGTTTGATTACATCTCATGCTCCTCGTGCTATGTCTCATAGCTTCGTATAGAATGAACAAATCAAGATCGTCGAAGATACGAAATTGACGTCAAAGAAGCGAAAGGGCGTAGCACCGTTCATTCGCCATTTCCCTGCCTATCTCTCGCGGACTGAAGCCCAGCTCATTGGGGCGGACACGTTGGAGATCCGCCAACGGGTTAATGGTGCATACGACCAAATCATCCAAGCTATGTTCGACTGTCTCCAGCAGATGGCCAAAATCTCTGACGAGGGTGAAGACAAAGGGCAGTTGAATTATCATGTCATCCTGATCGGTAAGTCGGGGTTCCGCGTGACTATACCCTCCGTATGTGACAGACTCTCCAGAGAATATGTATCAGTTCATGTCAGAGATGGAGCAAATCGAGATCGGTGCCGTAGCAGGATTCTCCGCGCGTGCTGAGGCAATCTATCGGGAGAATGTGCAAGCCTATGTCAAGATCGTGCTCCGCAGGCCGTTCGCTAAGATAATTGTACGCCGATCTCTATCTCCCTTTCTGAGTTTTATGAACTCCCGTTCCTGGTAGGAATACTTTGACGGCGTCGAGCGTCTTTTGAAGACCACCGCACCCTCAGAAGTTAGCAACAACGCGAGTTACAATAAATCGGCTCTGAAAAGAGTGGTCAAGGAATATACCGGCAAGGATATTCGGAAGCACGTTGACGTCCTGTACAAACGTGTGGAAAAGCACTTCACCATCGAAGACAAGGGTGTCGAGGGAGCACCCGCGAAACCAAGCGGTAGGTGCCCGTTTTTCAGGTTGTAGCATGGTTCACTGAACTTTCGGCCGTATGTGAAAGCGGCCACTCCTAAGCCAATGCAGGCATCTGACGTGCTTCCTGGAGTGTGGAAGGCTTGCGAAGATGAGCTGCTACGAATCACGGATTTATTTAACAAGCGCATCGCACAGTGCTATGAAGGGAGCGGGGTGTCGCTGGAATACTCTTCTAGCGATGTGGAAGCAGCTTTCAAGAAACATCAAACGACGACTTGAGCACGCTGCTCTGCATTGAACGGGTACCCGGTTTATCGTAAGCGATGATAACCGGGACCGGAATTCACCCCAAGACAAAAATGCTTTGACTAGATATCCATATTGTATCATATTCGACCGTGTATGTCCGCAAATCTTGCCGCATCATTGGATAATTTGGTGATTCAGTGCAGCTGAGGCTCCGGAAATGGAGGTGCTTGACTGTCAGGCGCGTTCCGATGATTGGTTGGTGAACCGACGGGCATCCCGGGAGTAACAAAAGAGGGCGAGGAAGGACTGACGTCGTACGGCCTCGCAGCGAATGAAGTGGTGGACGCGGAGGGGGAAGGGTTTGGCCCTGGGGCAGTAGGCTTGCCGCCCGTCGCTATCTGCTGTCCACGCTGCAGCGCTCCCAAAACAGAAGGCCCGTATGCGCGCCACAGTCCATTCGCCATTCCGAGGTAGTTGGACGCATCTGCTGGCGTTGTGCCCTGTCCTTGTTGTCCGCCTTGTTGCGGGATAACCTGGCTTGTGTCACCTGCTTGTTGCCGCGTCGACGCTTTCGTCAGCAACTTGAAGACAGTATCGACGGCGGCAGCGAGTCGACCATGCAGGAATGACAGTGATTGTGTTTTCAGGCGTTCGATACCAGCATCGATGTCAGCTTCGTTGGCAATGATGTAGGGTGCAACGAAGGCCGTGTAGATGTATATCGAACCCTGTAGGCGGTGTCAGACGTCTGTGCACCACTGCGAATGCACAATATCACCTGCGTCTGGGGAAGCGATAAGAAAAGGAGAAATAATGTCTTGATTTCCCAGTAGAACGGGAGCCTGAAGAGCGCCCAGAAGTTAACTCGCAGCAGCTCACGCGACACGCTCTGGGGACTCACCAACTAATCAGCCACTGGAGTGTATACTCAAAAGCCACGAATAGAGATATGACAACCCAGTATTGCGACCATTTCTCCAGTTCAGGGTCGGACACTGGTCGATGTGCAAGTGCTTTGAAGGTAGAGTATCCGGGCAATATGAACGCAAACCAGGCGCTGCGCACGGAGTCGTCTCAGCTTACATCTTCGAAATGCAGGCTATGGATTCTTACCTCACGATATGAGATATGGAATAAACAAGCATGCCGGGTGAAACTTCTCTAGGGACTCTACGGAGGCGAGGGGAATATCTTCGTGATACAGTGTTAGGTGACGACTGAGCGTCGAGATGGAAAGGCGCTTGGACCGCGGCTCCGCTTGTTCACCTTTACAACTTCTGCAGTACTTCACAACGCTCATACCAATTTCTCGAAGCAGCACATACATACACAACAATCCCATGGTTCAGCGTCGTATACGACGCCTTGCGATCACCCATCTAAGTCACCGGTGTAATCACTCCCAGCTGTTTCTCCCATTCCATTCATTTCCTTCTACTTTGTCCGCTCGCCACCTCCATTCTTCCTTCAACTCTTTGGGCAACTTGTCTTCGATCATGTCTGCTACATACTGACCAACATTCGGCAGGTTCTTGAAAGTATGACGAGATCCTCCGGTGGCAATGAACAGTGTGCAAGGTGATGCAGGGTGCGGGCTTATGATCCAGCTACCATCGAAAGCCTCCGAGTCCCAGCATGCCTGCGCAAGTATGATCGTGGCACATTCGAAGCAATCTCCCCGGAACAATGGACGTACCTTGAAGGTCTGGAACGGCTTATTGGCTAGCTCAGGCAGTGTTGCTCGCAGCAGTCGGCGAACACCTTGTTCACCTGTTCGTCGAATATCTTCTGGGACACCCTGCTGAGGATCAACGGGCACGCTGCGTTCGCTTCCGTCACCCGCGTGCCGCATATTGGGTCGCCCGGGAGAGAGATCACAGAGTTTGAGAATTCCGGTATCGGTGGGGGGGAAGAAATATCCCATCCCTTCGCAATCAACGACGCAAAGCGACTTGTAGCGTGCAGCTTCCTCGGGGTTGAGCTGTATATGAGCCGTCATCACGCCGACACCGAGTAATTGGCCGCCAAAGTTCAAAGCGGGTTCGTCAAGGAAAGACTCCGACCAAGCCCCTAGCGAGAGTACGATTTTGCTTGCCCTGTGAATGATACCGTCTTGTGTGGTGACCCCGTCCACAGTCCCGTCGCTACGCCGCGAAAGACCTTTGGCCGTGCCGGCGGGACCATGCACAAAATTGACCCCGAGCTCCACACACGCCTGCTGGACTAATCTGAGGGCCAACGACGAGTCACACCAGCCTGCGTTCCCGTTGTATACGCCCGTCCAGCCGGTCATGTCCCCGGAGAGGATCGGGACCTTGGCCTTGATCTCTTCCACCGTCCGGAGCCGGACGAGTCGGGACGGATCTCCGTATCTGATTGTGTTCTCCACGGACTTGTTGAAGGTTGATTTCTCCGGATCGCTGATGCTCGTGGCAGTCAGCCAGCCCGTTTCGTGAAAGGCGCCGCTGAATGGAGGAGTGCGCCACATGTTGATTGCCTCGTGGGCGATGCGCGTGTAGAGCTCGGTGTCATATTCGGTGCGAACTGATGGCGCGATGTGTGAGCGCGGGGTGAGATGGGGTGAGGGGCGATGTGACAAACCGATTTTGTTGATATCGAAACCGGCGGAGAGGGGACTGGGGACGGGGTGAGCGTCGAGGCAGGTGACGGTGTAGCCGCGCTGCGCGAGGTGGTAGGCGGAGGAGAGGCCTATTGTGCCGGCGCCCACGATGAGCACGTCCATGCTGGATGAGGGAGGGGCAGGGCAGCATCGGGCCGTCTCAAGGTTCAACGTTCAATGTCGAGGCTGTATCGAGCAGTAAGGTTTAGGGCCACGTGCCCTCGCAGCCCCGATTAGGAACAGGACCTGCTTAAGGCTCGAGCCTCAGCTGACCAGCATCCGGTGCGACTTTGACCGGCCCGTCTCACGCGCCCGCCCTTTCACGTCCTCCTCCTTGCCCGCCATGAACAACAGCGCCGGAGCCATGTCCAGCAAGCAAGAGGACAGCGACGGCGCCACCGACAAACTCTCCGACAAACGGGACATCAAGCCGATGGTCAAGACCCTCAATCGCGTCTCTCGTCCGTGCTCTCTTCTTTCTCCTGCGCCGCGTACTGATCCTGTCGTCTATACATTCATCAGGCGCATGCGTAAGCCTCGTCCCTTGCATCCCGTGTGCCTTGCACTTACGCCGCTTCGCGCATCGTACAGAATGCTTGCAGGAAACAGAAGATGCGCTGCGAAGGCGCTGAGAACCCTCCCTGCCGGCGCTGTCGACATGCCGGGCTCGAGTGCCTGTTCGAAAAGCCATCGCGCGAAGCATCGTTGACGGGCGAGGCCGGGCTGGAGTATGTGGATCTCTTTGCATGCCATCCTTTCGCGTGTCGTCCTTTGGCTCATGACCAGTGTCACCGCCAGGCGTATACGAAGCCTCGAGTCTCATGTTGCCGACATACGCGCCTCACAGCAATCTGTTCAGAGCACCCTTAACGAAATTCTCGCCCATCTTCGAGGCGGCGCAACCTACGAGCGCTCGCCAGCCTCCACGTACTCTCAGCCCTACAATGCCCAATCCCCTAGCGTGCAGTCTCACCCCACTCCTACCCAGGCTGCACCCTCTCTCATGGTCGATACCCAATCTATGCCTCCTCCTCAGTCTATCAGCAGCAATTACTCACTGCAGTCCATCGTGAGCCCTACCAACCGGGCTCCAATGCAAAACCAGGCTTACGGAAGCTCTTCCTTACCCACGGGTTCTTCTCAGGCTGCGAATGGACAGTCGAATTGGCATCAGCCTATGCCTTCAGATCAGCAAGGTGTGGTGTACGGCTCTTACAATAACCACGCGCAAAGCCTTGCGATGGCTGGCTCTGCAGCGCTCCGCGATTACGGCGCTGAGGACAGGAGAAAGCCAATTTCGAACGAGAACAGTGCTCATTCCTCCGATATGGAAGACGAGGATACTAGCGAGCTCCCCGCGTCTGGTCTCGTGGCGCCCTGGGAGGTTCTACGTGGACTAGCAAGCGTCGCCATTGAACGAGCTGCCTACGAAAACCTTGGCAGTGCTCCACCAAGTCGACCCAGGACGCCTTCTCCCGACCCCCATCAGCGTCCAGCGAAACGGCGGAGGACTGTGGTCAAACCACGGAACGCGCCATCCTTCCCTGACGGTATGCCGGTTGCCTTTCATGCGCCCGTCCCCATCTTACCTTCTGGTTTAGTCGTCACAAAAGGCATCATTTCGGAGGGAGAAGCCAGGGATTTGTTCAGAATGTACGCGTCGCATCGCTTACAAGACACCTCGCTTACCATCTAGCTTTGTTGATAGCTTCTACCACGGATGCTCGACGTTCCTTTCAGTGTTTGACCCTACGTACGATACCTACGATGATTTGCACGGTCGATCCCCATTCGCCGTTGACTGCATCTGCATGGTGGCCGCCGGGGTCAGGGACGGCGGAGGTTTGAGAGTCAATTTTGTTGTCGCCTTTTCTTTGCTTACCCAGACTCCACAGGCAAGCCAAGCGAAACCTACAAGAAGTGCCTGGAGGAGGTTCAGACGATCTCTCAAGCTACACTCTTTTCTCCTGTCACGCGTCAGGAAGCCGTTCAGGCAATGAGTATGCGACCTCCTTTCCTGCAATGACACATGCTCATAATCTGGTCAATCAGTCCTGGTGGCAGGTTGGTCAGAAAATGGCTGGCTGCCTGGCGGCCACGCCGTTCGTATGGCATTGGAGCTTTGTGAGCTATGCACGTGGCATGTAGCTGAAATCTTGACTGATATCCGAATCGCAGCCATGCACACGGCATGGCCTAGGCTACTGAAACGCATGCAAGCAAACAAGGCCGGTCGAACAGCCGAAGATCGCGAGCTGGTAGTAGCGGCCCGAACCTGGTTTTGCGCCTATGTTTTCGAACATCAGTGCGTATTGTTCTCGACTAGTTCATCAGCTCCGCTCATCCTTTGCATCAGAATATCTTACGGCACTGGACGACCTGCCATTTTGAAAGATGACGAGAGTATCTGGCAGTGTCGACTGCTACTGCAGCATCCACTGTCTGTTGAGGACGACATGCGGCTAGTGTCTTCTGTGGAGCTTATGGCTGTTCGCGAAAGGGTTCATAATAATCTGTCGCCCTTGGACAGACCCATCGACGATATGACCTTCCAAGTTCTTCGCGACGCTGATGCGGAGTTTCAGACTTGGTATGCGAACTGGGATCGATCATTTTCGGAAAAGTATGAGGATGCAGGTAATAGATATGCGATATGTCTAACGTGTTTTAATTGACCAACGATATTGTACCCAGCTTTCTATCGTCAAAGTCTTACGAACCAGCGGATGCACGCCGAGCTGTTTCACAACGCCAACGCTCTGCGCAACATCAATGGTCCCGAAGATGTCGTGCGTATGCCTCAGGCGCAGCGGGAACTCGCACTTCGTTCCATTCGCATCGCTCGCCAGTCCTTGGAAATTACCGTCGGTTCTCCGGCATACAGGGAAGGCATGAAATATGGTGTGTTTCCCGCCATGTGGCCAGGTCGCACGATTGACGTGGATCGATAGCTGTTCACTATACGCATGCAACGGCGACCTTTACCGCCACCCTCTTACTACGCCTTGCTCGCTTGTTGTGGGTGGTTCGGGCATTCATGGTATATTGCGTGTATTTACGGCTCTCTACAGCCCGGAGGAGTGCGACATGGAAGAAGCCAGGGTTCATGTCGAACGCCTGGCGAAGCTTTTGTCCGAAAGTGTGTTCTCGATCCGCCTCCCTTTATCATGTTGCTCACATCTGTCATAATACAGTTCCGGCAAAACGTTATGCCCTCACTCTGAAGTTAATGCTCAAGCGATCTAAGCAACGCGCGCAGTCGCACTCCAGATCTCCGTCGTCCGCCCGGGACTCACGCCGCTCGCTGCCCTCGGCCGTGGATGCCTCGGCGTCTATGATTCGGCAAGGCAATCAGTCTGACGCATTTTCGCCCACGTATACGCAATTCGCAAGCCCTGATATGCAGCACCAACATGCTCAAGGGCAGCCAGGCATGCCCACGCCTTATGCGAATGAAGCCGTCAACATAGATCAGATATGGCGCGGGTTCGAAATGGCCCCAAACGAACAAATACCTGTCTGGCTCTCGGACCAGAGTCTCGGCGGCAACTCGTTCACGCAACATGGCATGAACGCATTTTTGCTGCCACAGGATTACCTCCCTCCAACTCCTCAAATCTGGTGATCCTCCCACTCCGCTGGATTCGCTGGATTCACAAGTACCCCTCCGCCACTATTGACCGATCTTCCTCTCATCCTCCACCCAGTTGGCCATGTCACGACTCACTTGTATATTTCCCATTGCTCTCACTGCGTTTACGTTGACGAAAGACGTGTTGTACATTTATGGTCAAGAGGACATCTCTGGCCCCTGCTATTGCTTCCGTGGATCTTGCACAGTAATGTATCTCACTGCTACCGATACCCCGCCCTACAGATGTAAGTAGTCTAGTGTAGCAAACGTTGACGTCTGTGACTTCGGTTTGACACATGTTGGAGTTGGAACGTCGCGAGTACTACAGCTCGAGCCCGCGAACGGTACTGCATCTTCACTGGCCGTTCCCCCTCAATTGTTCTCGCACCGGATCATGGCAGCTCCCTTTCCCGAAGTGCAACGGGGTGAAGAGACGAGTGCTCCGGATCGCAGAGCGCTGCGCGGAAGTGCGGAAAACAGAGACACGCCAACTTTCCCGATTAAGAGCCAAGGCGGTGGCCGGAGAAGAGCATCGCAACTTGATTCGGACGGTGCTAAAGATGCTCAGGGGACAGCACCGGCTCTCCCATATGGCGACCTGCGTCGGACAGACAGCTCATTGAATCAAGATCAATATTCTGGCGGGCGTGCAGCGGAAGTCTCGAATTGGCTGTCTCGTGGTGTGGGCGACTACGCCCTTGAAGATACTGGTAATGTTCACTCTGGCTCGCACGGGAACGACGACCAGGCGGATCCGGAACATGATGGTTTGGATATGGTTCAACTTCATGGGACTATGGACTTCTCGGCGACACCACGTCTGCACTCGCTCGACAGCACGAAAGGAGTCAATTCCGATGGAAATAGGGCATCGCTCAGGGGCAGATTCAACGAGGACCGCGCTTCGTCGATTGAAGCTGGCAATGAAGGCGGCACATCCCAGCTGCACCCCAACACCGACGCGGACGCAAAGGTCGTGACGGATTATATGGACGACGATGGAAGGCACTTCAACGTGTTGCAGGCCCGCGACGGTGATAATAATGACTACTAAGTCAAGCTAATTGAGACTAATGGCGATTCTAGAGTCGAAGGAACGACGGATGTTTTTGTTGGTTCTCGCCAAGGCTCTCATGAGTTTCGGTGCACCATCTCACAGAGTGGAGGCTCACCTTGAACACTGCTCTTCCAAGCTCGGTATACGATCTGCCTTCATACAATTCCCCAATATCGTCATTGGGGTGTTCTTCAGGAATGTGACGGGTACCGCCTCGATCCATTTTGTTCGAGCGTCCGGGAAGGTCGCTTTAACTTCTCTCCACAAGGTACACCTTGTCTATCGGCGAGTTCTACACGAAAAGAAGGACGTGGGCGAGGCTCGACAAGAATTGATTGAAATCATCAAATCGCCACCGCGATACCCCAGATGGAAACGCTGTATATTCGCTTTCTTCCAGGGCGCTATCATATGCTCGCTCTCGTTTGGTGGATCTCTGTTGGATGTCTTTGTGGGAGGCGTATTCACGGCTAGTGTGCAGTGGCTGAACTTGTACGCTGTATCAAGAAGTGCTGCATACGCGAACGTCTTTGAGTACGTTGATATCGTTGATCAGTTTGTCTTCCTTCTGACGACACATCTCAAGTATCACCTCGGCTATCATCGTCGCGCTCTGCGCCCGACTTCTCAGTGGTATCCCTGGCAATGTGTTCTGCTACAACGCGATATCTTCCGCTGGGATTGTTCTCGTCCTGCCGGGATTTAATGTCTGTGAGTTACATCCCCTTCCGCATGCTCAGTCAACTAAGATGTTAACAGTGGTGTCTTCCTTGGAGTTGATATCTTTGAGCGTGCTGAGTGGTCCGGTCCGAATGGTGTACGCCATTATGTACACCATGTTTCTGGTCAGTAGCGCATGTCGTACTCTGCCTCGTGGGCTGATCGTTCTATAGGGTTTCAGCCTCAATGCCGGTTCCGAGATATACTTCTCTGCCTGGCCTAAGGCTCGTACGCAACTGGAAGCGGCTGCGGTAGCGCTCACGACCAAGGACAGTTTCTACGGCTCAGCCACTTTATTGAACGGAACCATTGAGCTGGAGCCCTTTGACGCCACCTTCACTGTAGCAGATACTGCATCGGCTTCTAGATTTATAGTTCAAGGTTCGTCGCACGCATTGTTCAGCTCTGATATTGATCGTCAAGGTGCAGGTTGCTTCAGAGACCCGCACTGGCCGTGGTGGCGTCAATTACTGCCCTGGTGGACTATGTTATTTCTTGTGCCCGTATATGCGACCCTGTCTTGCATGTCGAACTTGCAGTCCTGGAGAAGCAAGCAATTCCCTGTCATGATATGCTTCTCGATCGCGACATATGCTGCTAATCGAGCGGCCAGGATTGCATATCCGAACCAAGCAAGCTTCATAGCAGCAGCAGGTGCAACAGTCATCGGTTTTCTAGGCAATCTCTATGGCAGGATATGGCGCGGTTCGGCTTTCACGACTATGGTCCCCGGCGTTCTTTTCCTAGTTCCCGTAAGCCCCCATTCCCAGCATGCTCTCCGTGCAATTGCTTATTCAACACAGTCCGCATTATCAGGGGAAAATGGATTAAATCCTAGCTACTCTACGACAAGCAACGCTACCACGCAGTTCTCCGTAGGCTTTCAGCTCGGAATCAGGATGGTTCAAGTCGCGTTAGGCGTCATGGCGGGAGTATACGTTGGCGAATCTATCGCCTACGTAGGAGGGAGAAGACGCAAGCGGAATACACCATTCGCGTTCTGACCATTGGGTTGAGGCAGTGCCAAGCAGTTCCTGCGAACAACTAGATTGTAGTCCTCTATAGGTACATTTCAGACATACGAGTAGTGACGATGTTGGGTCGTGGAGTAAAGTTTCCGGTACAAATGAGGTCGCAAGGGGAAAAGGCTATGACAAAATAACATATCATTGACAACTGGTGAATGCGAGGCAGATACGCGCATAAAGTAAACATAATGTAAATTAAGTGACTTAACCGAATAGCTGCTGTAACTCCTCCATCCTTCGCTGGAGCATCTCGGCTTTGCTGTAATTCTGCCCGAGGGTCATGTTAGCAAGAGCGGTCTTCTTGCGCTGAACTTCGAGCAGGCGGGCTTCTATGGTGTTCTCGATAATGAGCTTGATCGTGGTCACCGGACGTGTTTGGCCCAGACGATGCTACAAGCCAAGTGTAAGATACGTGCTAACCTTGACCGTTGTCACTCACGATGCGATCTACGGCCTGATTCTCAACAGCGGGATTCCTGTACGTCCTTGATAAAAGAGGGCGAGCGTGCAAAATTCGGGTTATGCTCACCAATACGGGTCCATAAGGTACACCCGCTGCGCGGCGGTTAGATTGAGCCCGACGCCTCCTGCTTTGAGGCTGACAAGCAGGACTTCGCAGGCCGGGTCATGCTTTAGTGTTTCCATGGCGCGTGTACGATCGTCCCGCTTCATTGTACCGTCGAGCCGCTCGTAGCGTATCCCAGCCATTTCCAAGGCGTCTTCTATCCTATTACTACACTTAGCATCCCGAAACTCGCCGTCGGACATTCGTCACTCACTTGTCCAGCATTGTCGTCCATTGAGAGCTGTCGATGAAATCAGCAGCAGTTATCAGGAGCAACAGCAAAAACATACAACACCACAGTCTTGACAACGCCGTCATCTACTTCATTGCCTTGGTCGTCGACCATCTGTACTTCGATGGAAGTTGGATCATAGTTGGCGGAATGAGGATTCGCCCTGGAGAATTGCATAAGATCACCGAGGAGAGCTTTGATCTTGGTGGAAGGATGAAAATCTGCCAAGCTCGCCCCCTTCCGCCTCTTCTCCCGCTTAGCCGGCTTCTTTTTGGGCGAAGCGTCCACACTGCTCTGAGCAATGATCTCCACTACGTCTGATGGCCCGAGCGCAGCTTGACAGGCGGAACAGGCTCGTAAGGTATCCTGGGAAGCGTTCGGCCATCCAGGGCATACGCTACGTCGATAGCATTCGATGCAGAATAGGTGCTGGCAGCGTGTCATAACAGGACGCGGTCCACTGGGGCTGTTCTGACGGGTGGGCGCTCGTGACATTGTTCTGCCTTTTCGCCCTCGTTTGGGGCCAGTTGAATTGTCCGGATCCATGGCACCGTCATTCTGAGCGCCGTCAGGACCGCCTAGATCGGACCCACATTCGACACATTGAGCAGTCGCCGACTCTCGAAGGAGTGCAAAAACCGCAGCGGCGCGACTTGGCGTTATACCCTCGCGCGCAATGGCTGCAACGACGTCCTCGTAAACAGACGCGGCGTCTTGAGAAGAGCCTTCTGTAAATAGGCCCTTTCCCTCCACCAGTTCGTAGTGATCGCAGATCTGTCGTAACCGCAATATCTTCTGGAGGATGCCAACGTAGTTCTTCATCACTTCATTCCGGTCAGAGAGTTCCGTGAACTCGGCTTTTGATTCGTTGTAGAACTGATTGTAAATCGCCTGCTCTTGTTCGTCGAACTTCAAGAGCCGGAGCTCGTCCCGACGCGGGGGAAGCGTGAGGATCTTTTGTCCGTCCTGAGCCCTCGTTTCCTTGGTCCGGCGTAACGTGATGCACTTCATGATGGTCTGCAATCTCGCGACGCCTAGCGGCTGCCCATACTTGACTGGTGTGCCAATGAACTCGGTCCAGACATTCTTATCGTCAAACGGTTCTAACCGCAGGAATTTGACTAAGGCGAACACGTCGTCGAGCTTGTTCTGCACCGGAGTCCCCGTGAGACAGAGACGACGATCCGCTATTAGGTCGCACGAGGCACGACATCCAACTGTACCCGTCTCCTTTATGGAGCTTGACAATGAGTGGTCAATCAGTATGCAACTCAATACCAACTACGAACTTTTCTTACTGAGCTTCATCGAGAACGACTCTGTTGATCGGTGACCGCAGTCAGCACCCGCAGTACAGCACTGGGGAGACATATTACTCGCCTGAACCAGTGAATGCTTTGCAGAGCACTGCTCGCTTCCGAGGCGCTCGAGACAGTGACAAGCTTCTTGCGCTTCTTTCCTTTGGCACCGGACAGCTTGACGACTTGGTGACCTCCGCCGTCGTATTCCGCCAAACCGTCGCATTCTTCGTCATCCTCGTCCTCATCCGCTTCCGAGCTTGCCAAACTGCGATTTTGCTTCGAGTATTCCGTTGCTAATGTCGAGAATGTGGTGATCACGGCGTCGAAATCAGCCAAGAAGGATGGATCCGGCCGTCGAGCGTTTCCGTGGTATACATACACGCGCAGAGCCCTTCCTTCATGTGATGACTGGGCATTGTCGGTGGGAAGTTTGCTCAGTGACGGTTGTGATGGCGGTAGCGATTGCGTCAATGACAATGAGGAGAGTGACGGCGTCGAACACTTGCTGGCGGCGTTACCGGAGGTACCTCCCACCACCGTCACCGGTCCCCGCCAGTGCTCTTTGAATTGCTCCTCCCAGTTTGAAATGGTTGAGAGCGGGCATATAATCAACGTCGCGCGACTCTTCGTCTTGATACGACATGCTCGAAGATAATCCGACTCAAGTCTGTCTTGCTCTTTAGCGGCTTTTCCCTTGCTCTTGATTGAACAGGATGGAGCAGACTCCGCATTTCCTTCAGGCATTCCCCAGACGCTACCAGCGAAGTGGTCTGCTGTGAGCGAGTGCTCCTGCGGGGGCGGCGGAAGGGCCAGAAGAGGCGAGGAAGCAAACGCTGCAGCTGAGTCCAAAGTCGCGGCTATCAGGGATACACAAGTGATCGTTTTGCCAAGTCCCATCTAATGCGATTGGTGAGTACGAGTCTCGTCTGCACAATGCCGTAGTATCCCTCACATCGTCCGCAAGGATGGCGCCCTTGGCTTCCTGGGGCTCACGAAAGACTTCCTTCTGCGTGACGAGGTGTTGCCAGGATGGCTGTCCCGAAAAAGGATTCTTCCTCGCTTGCCAGAGGGAAGAATACGTGCCGTTTGGGCCAGGTCGTTCTCGCTCCCTTTCGAGCAGGAAGGTGATGGCCTTCTTCTGGTGCGAGTACAATTTCGTGGCGATACAAGGAGCTGACCCACAAAGATACATCGTAAGAAGCTGCCTATTACATGCGTAATTGCACCACGTACATGGCTCCGTCTCCTCGAGTTCATCACCGTTCCGCAAGCTCTTGAACAGTTCCTCCGCCTGGCTGCGTTGTACTTCCACACTCTTGCAGTTGACCGCGGGTGAGCTCCATCTGCTATTTGCGCTAGATGCGTAGCCGAGCCTGTTAGGGGCATTAGGTAGTAAATTACGTGCGTGTCCGCCGGGAGGTGGATTATGCGGGTTGTAATAATGCGCAGAGGATAGACGTTGATAATCTTGTGACAGAGTAGGGTGATCTAAGAGGAGACCATGCTGAGACAAATATCCGCCGACGACAGGAATGTTTCCCTTGGGTGTGTAGACAAGGAGTTGCAGAGGAAGGATCGGCAGCTGGAAGAAATGTGAGAAAGGGCTTCATTCGCAGGATATCCACTACGTACATTGGGCATCCCCCTTCGGACTTTACCATCTAACTTTATCAGCCCCTTCCCCAGCATTGGCCCGAGAGAGCTCGCGACCTTCTGTTCTACAACACCAAAGGTCTCCCCGGACACCATCTCGCCATTGGGCGCCTTCCAGTTGGGCGCCTTTATATTGATGGTTTCTGATTTTCCAGGAGCCGGTTCATGCTGCAGGCGGACAACCGCCCAATCTGACTCGGTGCCAGCGGGTTCGGGCTGTCGGAGATAGGGTATAGGATACAGCACAAGCGCGGTCACGGAGAGCATGCCAATGCAGACCGGTGTCTTCGGAGGCAGATCACTCGGAAGGCCACCAGGGGCTAGGGGCAGTGAATGTTGCGGTGGAGTGGCAGGCGGGGACGGGGAGCCAGTGAGATCTATCACTTGGCGATCCGGCAGCCTATGTGCGCTCGCCGGAATGACCGATGGTAGCGCGGGAGGTGGGAGAGCAGGTGCATGGGCCAACGGTGGCAATGGGGGACGAAAGGTAAACATAGAGGACAGCGAGACATCGCGTGTTGGTGGACCAGAGGACGATGGCCCTGCGGTAGGGATGGACGGTCGTGCCGAGAGGCCCGAGGGCTGAGCAGAGCGGGGGCGCTTGGAAGCGCTGGGTCGGCAGCGAACATCGTCCTCGTCTTCGGTGTGGTCGTCGTCGCGGGTGAGGTCAATCGGATTGGAGTACATGTTGGAGGAGCTGGTGGCCGTGTATACCGACATGGCGGGCGCAGAGCAGCGGCGAACGAGGTCGATCGTTGCGGCAGCGCCTTTTTGCACGGCTCTCGACCAAGGGCACAGGATGCGCACGTGACCCCTCCGGCAAAAGCGTAGCCAGTATGACTAAGGGCGACCAAACGCCTCCTAACGCCTCACTCATCTGGTAAGCCGTTCCGAATCGCGCTGCCAGCCAACGATCCTCGACTCAGACCGCTGACTCAGACCCCTTCCTGCCTTCCTCATCTCACCCCGCGCTGCCCCATTCAGATCTGGGATTGGCCCAGTATTACTGGAGTCGGCGCCGGAATTGCGCAGCCTGAGATAATGCAATATCGTAGTAAATAAACATATCCGCATTCACTCTATCACCTCGATCGCGCCAGATGGGGATGAGGCGATCTCGCGTCTCTTGATCTGCTTGCTCAAGATCTTGCGCAACACCTGTACCGTGTGCGAGTGACCAGGGAGCTGATCCAGTCGCTTGATCTGCTTCGAAACGCTGCGCTTTACATCAATGCCCGACCCACCTCACGTGTGCTAAAAACATACCTCTGTGGACCCTGCTGGACAACAGGGCAATCCTTGATGAGATGTCCCTGCGTCGAGTTGCACACAGCGCATTCCTGCTTGAACTTTTTCCTCGCGGCCTCTGCGGGGGGCGATGAGGTGCGTTTCGTGGGCACTGCAGAAGGGGCGATGCCACGAGGCTGTGGGTCGGTCGGGTTCGAATGCAGCCCATCGGCCGTCCTTCTGAAATCCACAGCCGATTGCGGCTCTAGCAAGTGTAATGGCTGCCCTCGGATTAGGTGGATCGCGCCGCGCCGGTACAAGACCTCTTCGATCGCCCGAATCGCTGCACGCTAATCCGAAGAGCAGTGTGTCAGGAGCACATTTGTCAATGAGGCTGGTCTTGTGCTGACCCGTTCTTCGAGAGGCTCGTCCACGGCATGTACCAATATAATATGACGGTACTCGGCAAGGTTCTCGGAACTCTCTGTCATGTAGCACCCGCCGACGTCGTGCTGTAGGCCACATAGACCGCATACGTCGTCTTCTTGCATCCGCTCGACGGGCAATGCAGCCTTGCCCTTCATATGTGGTGCGAGCTCTGCCGGATCCAAGGGTTCATCAGTCTCGCTCTCCGTATCATCGTTAGGAGTAGCGGATCCGGCAAACTCGGAACCCTCGTCAGAAGCAACAGAAGGTGCCTTTGCCTTCTGCACGGCCGTTACCTTAGGCGGCGGGACGGCGACACTGAGTTGCTGCTGTGCATATCATCAGGACGATGCCATTGGACTCCCTAAAAGCAAAACAACGCACCTGGGCAGCCAACGCTGCGGCTCTTCGACGCCGTCCTGTAACTACGGTATCGCTAGCTTGCGCTTTCTCCTCCGCGATCCGCTGAAGAGTCTGTGCCCATGAATCGCCCTGTTCGGCAGGTTCTTCGTTGACCGCATCAGCAATTTCCTCCAGTTCGTCCTTATCCGCAGCCCAGACTTTGGCGAAGGAGAATTGCAGACCGGACATCTTGTCTACTTCTTGTTCGTCTCCCTCCTTCTCAGTTTTCTCGATGAGTCTGTCGATATCTTGGTCCGAATCTAGCAGTAATTTCCCAATGGACCGCAATCACAATGGAGCGCACTCGCAGGATTTACCGACTTACAGTGTATGTTCCTGGCCTCTTGTTCCTCGCTGCTACCGTCGAAAAGGGCTTTGGCACCGAAAGTCAGGATGGATTGTACGTCATCCCCGCCGTTCTCCTCGTCGTCCATCTTCTGCACGATGAGATGGTCCAGGACGAGCTTCTTTTTTCCCGTCTGCATGATTCGCTCTGGCGCGCATGATGTTTGCCTGTGCGATTCTACGCGCGGAGTAGTGAAACACACCTTCGGCAGAATCCTTTACCATAAGTTTAAACACCAAGCAAGTCTTCTTTTGCCCATAACGATAGGCGCGCGCAATCGCCTATGAACCGCGTAAGGTCATTCCACGAGACGTAGAAGCTACATGAACTTCACCCACTTGGAGGTCCTGATGGAAACGTGTTCGCGATCAGGGCACCGCTACGATGTGGAATTGATGCGCCTTACCTGATGAGGATTGAAATCGGGGTCAAATACAATGACAGTGTCCGCGCTCCTGTGCGCGGCGAGGTCAGTACCAACGATCTTGCAGAGTGTTCCCGACGTGCCATAAGTTAATGCCGACACCACCAGCTCTCGTGGTGAGCAGAAATATGGAATAGATAGAGCCTTCTTTATTGAACTCATCCATGCTTTTCTGGCGATCTGCTTGCTTCGTGTTTCCGTCCTTGCGTACGACGAGTTGAAGTCAGGACAGTTCGTACGCAAGCGGTACAACGAACCAAGCGGAGGTATTTGACGCCCTCGCCAGTCAAGAAGTCTTCAACGATATCAAGGGCGATCGAAAACTACATCATGTTCAATGGGGTGCCTCTCGAATGCTGACGACACTAACCTGGCTGAACAGGAGAATTCTGTGCCCACGAGCCCACAGCTTCGGCAAGAGGCTCCTGAGTAGACGTAATTTTGCGCTGGCGTCGATGAGCTTTTCGTGCGTCTCCGCAGGAGACAGGCCCCGCGGTTCAATGTCATCCGACACGAGATACGGATGCTGAAGACATCTGATTCAAGGATTAGAGGGGAGGAACCGGAAGTGGAAGCCGATGCATACTTCCGTAGCTGCATCAGCAGATTGTTCATGTTTGCTCTTAAACCTGAAGCACTGGTATTCGGATTTGACCCTTGGGTCAAACTTCGGAGCAAATCAAGGTTCTGGCCTGCACAGAAGTGAATGTTTGTCCAGAGGCTGCATGGCAAGGCGTACTCAGTATAGACCGATAAATTTCTTTCTGCAGAGGGGCCATCGAAACGGGGACGATGACTTCATTCTGTGCAAAAATGTAAGGAGCATATGCGATATGAAATGTAACAATACCTTTGGCGGCAACGGCAGTACTTCCGACTTCATCCGGCGGAGGAAGTACGGTCGGAGTTTCTCGTGCAACTGTCTGACGAGATTCTCGTTCAGTTCGGCATATTCTCGTTCAAGACCCGCAAGGTCGTGCCATTCGGTAGGATCGAGGACTAGCCCCGTATCAATGATACGTCAGAAGCAGGCCGAATATTTACGCACAGTTCATGAGATTGAACAACTCTCTCATATTGTTATTCAAGGGTGTCTGTTGGACGGAATCAACTGAGAATGCAAATAGTAGTTAGTAGAGGTCACTCACTCCTGTCATCAGAACTCGGTGAATGGATTTGAGCTCCCTGAGTTTCTTGAAGATAAGGCTACTATCACTCTTCACTGTGATTCAATCTTGAGTGCCGCGTCCGAGTTATGGTCTTCGAACACAGGCTTACATCTTTGCCCCTCGTCAACGACGAGCACTTCCCATCTTCCTGCTCCCTTGAAGACGGAGCTAAAATCCTTCGGGTTATTGAGAGTCTCGTAAGTGGTCACAAGGACGTGATAGTTCCGAGAATCTCGCAGCTCGAACTCTCGGATGACAGCGCGGGCCTTGGCCTGTATGGATGGCATGATGAATTGTACACTTCACCTCACGAATGGGCCTACCTCTCCATAGAACGGTACCACCCGAAGCTTCGGTGCCCAGCGTTCGAACTCCCGCATCCAGTTGGTGAGCGTCGAATTCGGAACGACAACCAGAGCAGGGAAGACTTTCCACCTTTCGACCAAGGTGCCGAGAAAAGTGGCGATCTGTACGGTTTTTCCCTAAACACTAACGGTCAGGATGGTTCTATCAAGAAATTCTACGGCTTACCAGACCCATCTCATCCGCAAGTATGCAGTGCTGAAGGTTCCACCAATTGTTACACAACCAGTTGAGCCCATCCAGCTATTTTAGGTGGCCTCATCAACCGCTGGACGAAGCCATTACCGAGTAATAAGTCCGTACCTGAAAAGGCATCAACTTCAAAGTATCGTCTTGGCCCAAATCGGGCTGCTGTCCTTCCACAAGGGCGTATTTCTTCTTGTACTCATTTTTGGTACGGTTATCCGGAAGATCTCGCTTCTTCACAACTTTGATTTCGCGAGCACTTACAAACCTTCGGAACGCGACCTCGAAGGCGGGATAGTCGGCATCGTTTGGACACGGTGGGGAGTCCCATGTCGCTACGGAAGGCGTCAGCCGGAGAAGACACCGTAACGGCCGCACGACGCACACTCTTCATACCCCAGATCGCCCCACTTGATGAACGCCCAGATGACCAGATGAGCGTCATCGTCTCTAAGTTCTCTCTTATTGCGTTTCTCCCATTCCTCCACGGTCTCTGCGAGATCATCATCAGGCTGCTCGCCTTGATTATACGCAGCAAATCGTTGCTGCTCAAGCTCTGACGACAGTTCAGCGACGTAATCGTTGCTGACGCTGGCCGACGCCGTTGAGCCCTTCCCTCTAGGTGCTTTTGCTTTCTGGAGTCTCTTCTCCGGCGCCCAGAGCAGTACTTCGAGTACGCGATCCACTGTTTTCCATGAAGGAGGAATCCTCCTTTCAGCATCTATCAAAGCGGTAGTTGCAGTGTTCAGCGAAGAGTCCTCGGGTACACCCGGCACGGACGAGTCTCGGGAAATACTCTCAACGGTAGCGAGATTATCATCCGGAGGAACATTGCTTGGTTGCATAGCATTCTCGGGCACGGGTTCATCGAGCAGCTTGACCTTAGTGCCTCCGGCGAGGAAGTTTTTCAGCTTCGCGGGACTTGTAGAGAGAAGCCACATATGAGGAACCCAGGATGTCCTCCGGTAGCTTCGGTCGACCCATTTGACAAGGTACTCCCGCGGTAACTGGGACTTGTAATTGGAGGAGTCAGCAGGTGGCTGCAGCGCGTTCACTGGATATGGCCTCCAAGCCAAAATCTTGTCGAGGGCGAACGTGAACGAAGAGCAATCGTGACATAGCCACTTGGTCTCGCGTTGGTAGTAGAGGGCATAGGACACGGGATCGTCATGTGCGCCTTCCGGTGGTGCTGGTAGATGAATATAATGAGCAGGACGCTTGCAAGTCAGGCACCTGAAAAGCAGCTCTTTTTGGTGCAAGTCATCCTGCTTCGCATCGTTGGCCATCTTGACATCACCGTCGGGGCCCCCTCCGACGGATGCCTTGGAACCCGGGGAGTGCTCCTGTTGGGAAACACACGGACTATCCACTCTCTCTAGGCAGCCAATACAAAAGCCACCCCGGGTACAGGCACCGCAGACAAATTCAGTGGTTTCCAGAACATCAAGATCGTTTCGCCGCGTCATGTCGCCTCGGCTTCCGAGAGGTAGAGCCTGGTCGCGCTCGCGCGCAGCCTTGAGAATATCGCTGCGTTGAGTAGACGCTAAGCAATTCCAATGAGCTGCTACCGGACACCTCAAGCTATGAAAGGGCGGAGAAAAGTGCATAAGCTGTACATTAGCATTGATAGTTCAGATGCTCACCATCGAACCCAACCGCCAAGAGAGTTGATATGCTCTTCTTCGTCTTCCTCGAACTCGTCTTGCCTCGCCCTTTTACCCCTTTTCTTGCGCAACAACTGGACATGGGCTGGACGCTCCCGGCATTTCTCACAGGTGTCGCGATGGGCTCTCAGACGGGCCGTGTCTTCATCGGAATCATAATCAAGCGCCTCAACGGGACGCACGCAGCCGTACGCAGGCCGAGCCGGCTTCGGAATTTGTTTCCTCAGATGCAAACGGGGTTCCTGGTAGGCCGAATTGAGTTCCTCTTCATCTGTGCCATCTTCCGTCCTGGAAGACCTCTTGGAAGAAGCGGAAGTTCGTAATGTAACTTGATACCGCGGGGCGGTAGCATCGGAATCGTCATCGAAGTCGGAGTCAGGAACGGCATAGACTCTAGTTGCACGAGTCTTCTTAGGACTGAAAGGCAGAGTCTTTTTGTTGGATGCATTGCGTGTGTTCCTGCGGCTGGGGAGATCACCATGAAAGTCCAGGAAGTTATCGCCGCTGTCGATCTCGGACTCCGACAAAGACTGTCCCTCGCTTGATGACTGACTAAGAGACCATCGACCGTTGGATTGCCTCTGCGAAGTCGGATTCCTTCGTTTTGCACGTGTGCCGCGAGATGAAGTATCGGAGTATGCATTGAAGCGTGTAAGCGACCCTGAAGCTTTCTTCGCCACTGAAAGATATATGCTCAGCTTAACATCTCAACATAGAAAAGAGGATAGAACATTACATACAATACTCATTCACAAGCTTGGGGTATAGAAGAGTCATCTTCTTTGCAGGATACTGTGTGGCATGTCGATTGTTGGTAAGCATCGCACCCCGCCCCAGGATATACATACGCACCCTATGCACGGTCTCGTCGCCATGCAGCACATGGTAAGAGAGCACGCCGTCGTCTCGATCTTCGTCGATGATATATTCTGGTTGATCTCTGCCTTCAAACGCTTCGACGGGCGTCCGTGTCGGACCGCGGTACTTGGCTTTCTCCTGCGGCGGTAAGGTAGGGAGTTCAACACCGGAGAAAATCCAGCGCCGCGGGGCTTCCTGAGATAAACCAGACGGAGGGGGGAGTGCTGCTATGGAATTGTCGTTGGTTGCCGGTACTAGCGAGAATGAGATAGGATCTGGAGACGACGATCCTGTCATCGCGTCTGGGGTGGGGAGACGTCCGACGAACGCGACGCGCGACACACCGTTGATGAGTCACGCATCACGCGCACCGGTCCCCGGAGCGTGATGGTTTCTCCCGGAATTCATATCAGTGCATATACAGTGCCCGATCAGTCACTTGTACAGTACCAGTCACTTGTACACCTGCCTTGATCTGGCTCCCCTCGCTCAGAATTAGCTACTTCCTCTTCGAACTACAGTACCATATAGTTAATATACATGCTGGCTACAATATTTGATACTGCATGGGATGCGATTTATCGACTCGATTAATTGTAAGACTGTCCAGAATGTGTGAAGTCCCATTCTGACCAAATTTCTGCTCCTTGCACGTTGTATGTAGAGCTACGATTGTGGAGTCTACTGACAACCGCAGCTCCTTGTATCAACCAAGTGTACCCAAGGCATATTTTCCGTACTCTTATGTGGGCACCAATGCGGAACTACGTCCACCAGGGTGCAAACCATGTGCAAAACAGCCGAAACGACGGGGAAAGTGTGACAGATTTGAGTTGCACAGCCATCTTGGCTCCCAAATATGGTAGCCGTGACAGCCGTTTTGGCAGAGGCCGGCGTGACATAGCCGGTGTGCAAATGAATAGTTTTTGTCTTAAGCGCATGACAGCCAGTAATCGGCATCCACGCAGCTCCTCAACACATTGCAAGCCATAACAATATGCTGAGTTTGTGCAGAAGCACAATGTGCATCATATGAGATAGTTTTTACAAGGTATGAATGGGAGGACATGGAGTAATGGTCAAATTACATTTTTGGTGTACAAAGGACTGGTCGTGTACTGTACTGGAAAGAATGGCGGGTGCCCCGCCAGTCCACCTTTCTCTTGCATGTAAATTAGCCTATTCGCGATGCAGTAGTAAGGCTAAGCTCATGCACGATCCGGGAACATCACATGATTAGCGTGACATTCCGAAAAAGGCAATCTACGGCTGCTTGGTTTGACGTGTCGCCTCCAGGCTCCTTAACCAGCCGCTCGTATCGCGTCGAACTCCCAAATCCTAGCGCGGTAGTCGATGTTGTAACAGAATGAATGTCGGAATGGGATCATGTGAACTCAGGGGTAACATCATGTGATCATTTCCTTTTATATCATAAGGCTTGGGGGAGTACGACGCGATAGAGCGGCTGGCAGATCTTGTATTTCAAATTCTCGGCTTAGGCTCGGCATCCCTGTACAACAACGAGTCTAGGGGCAATGCGAGGCACTGCAAATACCTGAGGAAAATGCCTGAGAGCGACGAATATACCATAAATGGTATATTTGTGCACTTCAGTTGTCCGAAGTCAGTGGCCATGCGAGCGCTGCATCTTGTGGAAGTGTCCAGTCCCATGCCGACTTCGCATGAGAGGCTGCAAGCCGCAGCCAGTGCATAAATGAGATGCAGTTCGAGTTCCATCAGAATACCCAGCATGTGCCTCCACACTGCAGCTGA